TTATCTCACCATATCAACTTTATTAAATTTTTTTCCTAAATTTTTAATTAAAATTCTCTTTTTTTTTTCATTAATTAGAGTTTCGAAAGTATTAAAAAAGCATCATGAGGATAATTTTAAGTATAAGAGAGAGAATACGTATATTTTTATAGAAAAATTCCATAGTCTTTAGCCATGAGTACCTTCACCTCACCCTGTAGGCTAATCATGGATGTGATGTGATTTAACATATGTAATTCAGTATGTCTTTTATGCAGTCTTTTTGCAGCATGCAAACTATTTTTTTTTTTTTTTTAAAAAAAAGGGTAAATCAGATTTATTAAACTCTTTGTTTGAATGAGAGAAAAGCAACTATCAGTAAAATTATTATTATTATTATTATTATCTTCTTACAATATATTGAAAAATAATTTTAGAAATTGATTCATTTATTTATACTAAAAAAACAAATGATTGATAATTTAAATTTATGTGGTATTTATAATACAAGGTATAGATAATTAAGTAATGGACGCAAAGACTTTGTCATGTTGCTATTGAAATCACTAGTCATGGGAACTTTCTCAACAGTCCACACAAGTTGGCCTTAGAAAAAGCAATTTGCAAGGCCGCTTTAAACTTCATATTGCAGGACAAAGAGTTTCTTTCTTTGCTTCCTATGATCACATGATTGCCCACATCAAATTGACACCCCCACCATATTTCTATATCAGAGGTAATAGCTTTACATATATTATTTCAGATGATTTTCAGATAAAATTCTTTCGATGAATCAATAATTTAAAGTATTTTTTGCGTATTTTTAATAAATTAAAATTTATATATAGATGTAAAAAGATCTATTTGAAAAATAAGAAGCCTTTTAATATCTCTTCGTCTGCGAAGAATGCTCGATATGAATTTTTAGAGATAGATTTTTGTTGATTAAGAAATTTTCACTCGGTAGATATCCCTTGTATTCAAATCAATCCAAATGATGATTGCTTGTAATTCATAACAAAATTATGCTTTTTGGCTATGGATTTTTCTTGCTTGGGTCCCAAATTGAACCAAAAGGTTGTCTTCTTGTGGTGTGGTAATAATGTAATATCATCAACTTGTTGTGTACATAGTCTTAAGTCCAATGAATAGGATATTATTTGTTCATCACCAAATGGGGCATGGTGGCTAAAATTCCAAAAGCAATCAATTTGGCTAAAACTTTATAATTTTTATTGATTGTTGAAAGATAATATTGGTTGTTTTATTCATTTTTTATTAGGGTTTTTTTTAGGTGATAGGAATCAAAGATAAGCTACATATCTTTACATTTTCTTTTAGAAATGAATTTAACTAGTGTAAAGGATTTATTTTTAATCAAGGAGTTGACATGGTGTTAATGTAGACAAAATTAATTAAATGTTATTTTTTTTTATTCATTGGGAGATTTGATGGGTCGAAATAACAATACGAGCTACAGTATTTGAACTTAAGACCTTCAACTGTTCACATAAGTGAAAATATTAAGCTTACCATATCTGATTGTCTAATTAAATGTTATTTGTTGGCAAATCTTTTGGAGAACAAAATAAAAATATACAATCTTTAAAGTGCATTTCAATCAAATTGGGTTATGTGGGTCATAATCCTGGCCTACTAATTAGATTAGAAATTAGTAGAACTTGCTTATAAAATGAGTAATATGCCAATTTTGACTTTCAAAACTCAATCATTGTAGCCATCCTTGTGGTTTTGTTTTTCTAAATTTACCAAACTCGGGCTTAAATACTATAATGGCATGCGGTTTTGAGAAGGCAAGGGAAATTGATTGTTGAATTAGTTCTAATTTGGACTAATCCACAACTTTTGTCCCCCCAATTTTTCTATTCTTCTTCTTCTTCTTTTTTTTTTTTTTTTTTTTTTTTTTTTTTTTTTTTCTATTCTTCTTCTTCTTCTTTTTTTTTTTTTTTTTTTCTTTTTTTTTTTTGTCACAAGACGATTTTTTTTTTTTTTTTTTTTTTTTTTTTGTCACAAGACTGAAAATTACAGAATTAGAATATATGATTGAAATACAAATTCATAGATAATCAAATCGAGTTACTTTGAATTATAAGTGGTTGTAGAATATTGAATTGGAGAAAGAAATTTAACATGAGTTTATACTCTATTAGTAGGACATCAAATTCACAAACATTTAAATGAAATAAACGTTGGATCAACAAAATATTGATTGAAATGCTAAGCGACTTCAATTTCCATAAAATTGAAATACAAGTTTAATATCGGAAAGTGCACTTTGGTAAATTGGTAAAAAATCTTTATGTCACACAGTTTAAAATGGTAAAAGAAATGAAATGAATGCTGGGAAAATTGAGCCTCTATCACTATCTATTAACAAGAGTCATGTGAAGTGAGTCACTCAAGTCACCAAAGTCATGGGCTAGAGCCCATTTGTTTTAATTATGGAGTGGAAAGGCAGAATTTCCACATCAACTTGCTGCAGCACTCGTGACACTGATAATGCCTAAAATAGAATTATACTATTTATTTTGTAAAAATATACTAGCCCAGCCCAGACCAGCCCATCCCAGCCCAATTAGAAATAATAATCCCCTTCAGTGAATTACATAATTTTAATATTTTCTAAATTTTCTCCATTATATTTTACTTTCTTTGATTTTATTTGATTTCTCGGGCTTTCTATACACATTCGGTTAGGTTTGCATATTTGCCAATGCTTAGCACATGTAGCATTTGTCCACATGTAGCTTGTCTAGCCAAGATTGTGAAATGAAGCACAAAGCAAATAGGCATTCAATTTGGAAAATTGATCCATCAATTATTATTTCCAATATTGATTGATTTAAAATTTACAACAAAAAAAAAATGAAGATTGATAAGTAAAAATTAATGGGCAAAGATAATCAATGTTAAATCAAGATTGATTCAAGTTAATTGGGTTTGCTTTTGCTTCTCCTTATTATTATTGTTTTGATATGAGAGGGGAGAAGAAAAACCACTACAATCAAAACTTAAAACAAACTATATCATTAATATTATGGGATTCAATCTTAATGAATTGATTCAATCTTATTGAGTTGGTTCGGATCGAATTAATAGATATCCGTGCTCAATCCAATTATAAATGAATCTGATTTTATTCAGTGAATTTGAGTCAAGTCAGGTAAGATGAAAATATTCGAACTAAAATCATTAAAATCCATTCCAAAAAATTTCTAAGGCTATAAAAACATGATTTACATATGCAAATGACATAACCAGAATACATGTACATTATAGTTGCAGATAAGAACTAATTTATTAGATAATTGGATAGGAAGCATCCATGGCAATCCCACAAAGGCCCTTCTTCAGCATCAATATCTCTCTTCATCCTGATGTAGGCTTTCTCACCCCATTCAGCTCCCCATGAGTTCTTAACAATCCAATATTTAGCTTCGTCGTCGCTGCTTTCACCGTACCCTACTACTGCAACCCCATGGTTTAGCTCAGTCCCACATTCTCCTGTAAAAACTCCATCTGAGTAGAATTGAAACTCGGTACCATCAGCATCAATGGAGACCGACACTGGCTAATTTGCAACTGCCTTCAATAGCTCTCCCTCGCTGTTGGTTGGAACAGCTTCGTAGTCTGTGATATTAGTTATCTGGGAAGCTGCCTCGTTGGTGTTGCAAGTTCCGTCATTTCCATTGTAAGGGTAATGAGCTTCACTTGTGATTCCATTGTTGTTTATTATGAATTCAAATGCACTTTCCATTGCACCTCCTTCACAGCCTTCATCTCTGCCTGCAGTGTCACAATCGACTAGCTCTTGTTCTGATAGAGAGATCAATTCACCTAGCTTGTTAATCCTTTCAGTCGCCTGCAGTGTCACAATCTACTTTCATGTTTTTTGATGTCATTATTTATCAAATATAAAAGTATTAAATCTAATCAAAACTTCAAATAGCACCATCAGGAAGTGGATATTCAGTTGGTTTGATTTAATTGAACCAGATCAATGCTAAACTAATGACACAAAATTTGGAATGTAAACTAAACTAAACTGATTTGACTCAATTAGTGTTATTTTTTGAATTTTCATAAAAAAATATAAAAATATTTATTTGATGAATATATGAAATATTAGTTTCTTAATAATATAAATTTGCAATAGAAGGATAGCATACAAATATTAATTTTGTTAATTAATAGCTAAAAGTATTGCAAATAATATGCTCTATTCATTGAAAATTAAAAAAGAAAAAGTAGAAATCAAGTTCTTAAAAAATTAGCTATCTTTATACAATTTTAAAATCTAATAGCTAATAAATTCGTTTTTAAAAAGGAAATCTTTCGTACATTTAACTATCAAATTTCAAAATTAAAAGTTTATCGTAACTTATCCTAATTTGACATTGCTTTGTAATTATGTTACTATGACTTAATTATGTCTTCCAAATATATAATACTAACAACATAATTTCCAGTCAACCAAGGGAATAAGATTTTTGGTAGCATTTGGAATCTTGGAGTTCTTTAAAGTATAGAAATGAATTCTTGAAAAAGAAAAGAAAATAGAAATCGTTAGTTAGCTAGGATTTGAATTTTTGACCATGCTAGACTTCTCTTCACTGGTTAACTCTTAGTGGTAATTGGTAAAGTGAGAGGAAGCAGGTATGCTTACCCTTTTTGTTTTCCAATGTTTGGTGGGTGGTAGATGTAAGTGAAACTACTCCTTTTTTTTTTTTTTTTTTTTTTTTTTTTTTTTTTTTTTTTCTCTTCTTCACTGGTTAACCTCCTTAGTGGTAATTGGTAAAAGTGAGAAAGGAAGCAGGTAGTGCTTACCCTTCTTTGTTGTCCAATGTTTGGTGGGTGGTAGATGTAAGTGAAACTTACTCCTTTTTTTTTTTTTTTTTTTTTTTTTTTTTTTTTTTTTTTTTTTTTTCTGTTTGATGTTATAAGATCAACATTATGTTAAAAGAAAAAAAAATTTATTGGTCATTAGATTTAAATTTGTATTGGGATAAGTACGGTTAATATTGATAAGCTCGAGCTTACCATAGCCAAAACGCTTCCTTTGTTTATAAAAAACAGTTGGCTTAATAGACACCTTCCAAAACCCAACTCGTAAATCTCAAGTTATGGAGATCTCTTCCACAAAAAATGAAACCTGGAGTCTTTGTGCTATTGCAAGCTTCGTAGTCTGCATTATCCTGTTACTAAGTCTAAATCAAGGCCAGGGCAACCTAAATCTTTCAGCTCTCCAAAACATAATCAAATCAGAAAGATCATCAAGTTCAAATACTTCTAAGCTAGATTTGTTAGAGCCCACAAATTTCACTAAGAATGGAAAGCCTGTAAATGAGGAAGTAAAATGCAATATCTTTGATGGGAAATGGGTTTATGACCCTGAGGGAAGTCCTATCTATTCTGCTTCAGAGTGTCCATTTCTCAGTGAACATGTAAGCTGCCAGAGAAATGGAAGACCAGATTCTGAATATGAGAGATGGAAATGGGAGGCTAAGGGGTGTGAAATTCCCAGGTAATTGAACTATTTGTTATAGATCACTTACAATTGTCAGGGCCAAACTGCCATCTCCAGGAGACCAAAACCATCGGTTTGAATTATTTCAAGTGCACTAAGCCAATCCCAATTAGTTACATTATATATATGTTTGCAGTTTTTAATTGAGGTTAGTTTCCTAGGTTTAATGGCGCAGACATGCTGGAGAAACTTAGAGGGAAGAGGGTGATAATAGTTGGAGATTCTCTTAACAGAAACCAATGGGAATCACTTGCTTGCCTTCTTTATTCTGCAATACCTTCCTCTCGAGCTCATGTTGACTGTTTGAGTGGTGCTTACAAAGTCTTCAAGGCAAAGGTAATAAGAGTCTGTAGAACCTTCCTTTTTCTTTTTCGGTGATTGTGAATTCGCAGGCTTTGAACAGCTCCAAGAAACCTGACAAACGAGGGTCTGTTGCTCTCACAGGATTACAATTGCTCTGTGGAGTTCTACTGGAGCCCATTTCTAGTAGAACTCCATGAAGGGAAGCAAGCAAATGAAAGCAGTATTCTAAGGCTTGACAAGCTCGCACCATCGTCTCACAAGTGGAAAGGAGCTGACTTGATGGTATTCAACACAGGCCACTGGTGGAGACACCGCAAAAAGTATAACAAATATAACTTAATTATACCAGAATCACCAGAATCATAGTTTGCAACTGTAAATTATGTCTATTTACTTATTTTGTAGGTGGGATTTATTTCAATATGATGGAAAATTGGTGGAGCAAATGGAACTTGAATCTGCATTTAAAATGGCAATAGGGACCTGGGCAAATTGGATTGACCAGAATGTTAATATGACAAAGACAACAGTCTTTTTCCGGAGCATATCGCCAGAACACAAAGAGGGAGTATGGTGTCAAAACAGAACACAACCAATCATGGATGAATCCTATGTGTACCAATTTCCCAAGCCGATAAAAGAAATTCTGGAAACTACAATCAGAGGGATGAAGACACCTGTCCGTTACCTGAACATCACAAAGCTATCAGAGTATAGAAGAGATGCACATCCAGCTATCTATGCGTTGACAGCTGAGGAGCAGCAATTACCGGGGTCTCATCCTGACTGTAGCCACTGGTGTTTGCCTGGGCTACCTGATACATGGAACATTCTCTTGTATGCAACCATAGTATTAGATAGTTCAAAGGGAATTACAAATTTGGTAGTTTGAATCTTTCTATGAGAATAGTCTAAGCATTTTGCCTCGATTTAACGACTTAGAGAAGAGACGGAAGGGGGAGCGGTAATCCTCAAAGCTTGTGCATCATTCTTTTGTAGCGAATGGAATTTTATATTCCCATTAGATAAAAAAAAAATTTTTTGATTCATATTTTTCACCACTACAGACGATATATATATATCCATTTCTTCTTCACCATTTTCTCAACTTCACTGCCAAAGAAACATGGGTTCGAAGAGACTATAATTGAAAGCTGTTAGCATTATTAACATCTGGCACAGCATCTTAATCATCTCCATCTGCATGCAAAAGCAGTTGAATGGTCACTCTGTACACAAATTTGTTTTGCAGCTATTTATAGAAGCTCCCACTCAGATTCGCAGAAATCAGGAGTTGAGAGGGATTTCTTCGTATCATTTATGGTAAGACTTGGTATTGAAATCTTGGCAAAATCTTTTTGATTGGAATTTGAATCATTGCCAGGCCATATGGCTAGCTGCTCATACTCATGCTTCCTCATCGACCTCTTTCTTGGGGAGAAAACATCCTGAATCTTCTTCTATAAAAGAAGCCCATAAGATATACTATATTTGATGAGTGATAAAAGGATAATAATTACAATACTTGATGATTAATAAGTAATGGAGTGAGAGACAGTACCTTGTAGGACTTGCTTTTTCCTTCAACGCGAGGAACAAAATTGAATTCATCTCCATTCACCATAATACAAGACTCCTCGAGCTTTATTTTGTCAACATTTTGGATGATTTCCAACTCATTTTCAAGAGAAGTTTCAACCTCATTCACATCTTTACTTTGGTCATCAAGCAATCCTGAAAATTTAGGCCAGCATCAGTAGGTGCACAAAAGTAGCAGATAATTTGATAATCAAATCATTAGAGTTGCGAGTTCTGTTAGCATTCATCGGATGAATCAAGATTTAAAAGAATACAGTAATGAATAATAAAACATATTGCAATCCCTTTTTTCCTTTTCTTTATTCTACTAGCACATTTCACCCATTGAAAATCCTACCCAAAAAGTGAAAATGGGAAACATGCAAACTCGGCCAAAAGAATCCAAGACAGATGGTTCATTCGTTCTATATGATAGATCATTACAGCCAGGAAAGGAAATGTGAAAAGGAATCTAGACAGAGCATTCATCCTCATATGTCACACCATCTAGTTCACTGCCAGGGGGGAATCAGGGGGTGGGAGGAGGTTGAGGTTGAGGTTGAGAGAGAAGAAAAAGAAGAAACACTACACTCACATAATTAGAAATCAAATAGATAAACATCAAACTGGAGCACAAAGTTGTACTAAGCAAGCAGCGAATAAAAAATTATTCAACCCAAAAGCTTAAGTTGTAGGGTGAAGAGACTCATAAATCATATAAGAAACTTTCCAGTAGAGCTCTTCCAACCTTTAACTCCCCTTCTCACATGAGGCCTTACACTAGGCAGTCAAACTAAAACAAATCAGAATGAAGCTAGACCCACAAATGGACTCCAGGTCAACACCAAAAAATATCTCATTCAGTTTTAGATCTCCAATTATTGGATGGGAAGGCACAAAACCCATACAAAAAGTCATTAATCTTGTTTTGTCGAAAATACTGATAACAATGTGTACGCTTAGTAAAGATGCAAATCAACATGCAAAAGCATATCCATAAGCAACAATAGAAAACAAACAAAACTTCTTTTCTTCTGTGCACACTGAGTTCCTATAATGGTCTTCAGTAAGAATCTAATAGACTATATTTTAGTCTTGAATGAGCAAAGTTCCAAAAGTTGATGGAATAAGGTTTTCTGCAAAATCATAATTATCAATATGAATAGCTACTTTTCATTAATATCACTGACAATAAGGATGGTTCTACAATGCACCTGTGAAAGAATACCAATACCTGAATTAGAATCAAAATCCTCCTCAGATGCAATTTTACTTCTCTGTACTTCCCCATTTGCACAAGCTTCCACCAGAGGAACTACCCGATGATTACTACAAACATCTGTAGCTGCCAAATAAGAAGTCAACTTAGAACATTCAATGCATGACGCAAATCAATGGGTAGAAACAATCAAAATCAGGAAATAGTCACCATTGGCTTCTGCTAATGAGCTGCCACAGGAGGAAGGTCTCATATCCATTTCTTTTCTCATGCCAGATTCAATTACATTTACCATATCAGATGTTGAGCCACGTGCTGGTATATCAGGCATTAGTTCATTTGCATTTTCAATCCCGCTTTTACTTTCTTCTTCTATGATGTCATGCTCTCTCACTTCAACAGACTCTGAAGTTGTAATTTTAGTGCTCTGATACAAAGGTGCCTTCTGATTTTCATTTGAAAGTTCAAAGAATGAAGATATTCTGGTCAAATCTTTATCCAAAGGAGTGCTGAGTCTTGATTTCTCATCTGGGGACATACTCTCCCTCTCTGAGTTTCTATTGATACCCAGATTTGATGACAAATATCCCTCACCATATCGTTTTGAGGCTCCTCCAGCAGAATATCCTAGATGATTTTCATATGAAGCTTCACGGAATGAAGATGGTTTAGTCAAATCTTTCTCCAAAGGAATTATGGCCCCTATTTTCTCATTTAAGGGCACATTCTTCCTTTTAGAGATTTTCTTGATGCTCAGATTTGATTTATCAGACAGACTTCCTTTATCATATTGCTTTGACGCACCTCCAGCAGAATCCCTTTCAGATAGTGGGAATAGATTATCTGTACGACTGAGTCTCTGGAAAGGAGGTGGATGGCCAAAATTGTAAGCAGTAGCCATTTTTGCATCCTCAGTCAATTTCTCCATATCATCAACCTCTACATGTTTTTCCTTCATACCAACTTTTGGCTTCACATAGAAACCAACATCAGCATAAAGCTCCAGAGGCAAGTCAGAGACTGCACCTTTGGTAGCATCCTCTGAAGATGGTGGAAGCAAATCTTGCATGACATCTGAATACAACTTTTTCACACCGGAACCAACTGTCTGCACCTGATTTTCAACATATTTAACTGTGTCCTGTCCCAAAAACATGAGTGCAACATAAGAAATAAAATCGTATTACTAAATTCAGGGAGCCAATCCTTGTTAAGAGAACCAATCAAGCAAACCAGTTCAGCTGGGTGGCAACAATGATTAACATAAGGAACACAATTGACATGAATAAAGATAAGGGTTCAGATATGGATGGCCATTTCATGAAAGAGCACGGAAATGGTTACTAAATAACATTGGACAAGTTGACAAGAAGATCAAAACGTTCACTGTAATAACTATAGTAGTTCTAGAGGGAAATGGCACTGATCCTTTTGGTAATGATATCTAGCAACCACTTCGGAGTTTCAGGGGAAGTGCCCTTAGAATCCCATTCAGAGGTTTAAAAATTTTGGTATAGCTTAATGTCATAATTAACCAAAAGGACATACCTGGTACATAATTTCTTCAACCTCCAAGCACATAGCTTCAAACTTCTGGTAAATATTACCTACCCACGATATACCTTTCAGATCCATACTGATCATATGTAAACCTCAGACAAAGATTGCTTCCGCTCCACGATCAATAATATGGTCAGAATCCTCACAGTCTCTACTTATATGCTTGATTTCAATCTAAATTCAGCAAGGAGAAAATGTCATTAAATATGAATCACCTTTAGGCAGCAAGTAATATATAGAACAAAAGGATGCCCTCTAGAAAATGCACCACAGAAACTTCACTTGGATCATGCACTAAATAACATTCATAAGGAAAAATTATTTATTTATTTTTTTTCACATAGTCGGCTGCAGCATTCTTTTTCATAAATTTCTAATTTTCACCTTGAGCATAGTCCATTTTATAAAGTATTCTCTTTATTTTTTATTTTTTTTCTTTTCTCTGGTTTACGTGAGTACCCATTAAAACGTGAAACATAGCAGCATCAGCTGATAGCAAAATAACTAAACAACCACCGTATATATGTTATGGTGGAAACTGAATGCTACAAATAATTGATGGAATCATTGTTAAAGTATCAGTCCCCAAATTTGCCTAAACTGCAATTAGCAAAGCAACACTTTGCTCTATAGCTTCCATACATTATATGAGAATTTATTTCTATTTCAAAACAAGATAACCATATTTTAGGATGAAAATGCATAGGACTTTTTAGGCAAATATGCCAAAATTAAATAAATAAGAAAAAAAAAAATCAAAGTTTAGTCCAGAATATTTATGCCAAACTCTATGTTTCTAAAGATTGCTCGTGCAAATACCTACAATGCATTCTGCAGAAAGATAAGGACAGAGAGATAAATCTTCCCACTAGAAACAAAAATTAGTACACTACTTATTTGCAAGAATTGCTCAAACAGTCACCCTTAACAGACCAGAAGGTTCCTTATTGCCAAGAAGAACTAGAATTCTGGGTAAGAAGTACAAAACAAAATAAGCAGTGCACTAAAAGATGAAAAGAAAATTTTGGGGTTTCCCATGCTGCTAGAGATTTCCACTGTAAGGATTAAAAGGCATTTCACCTCTGATTAAATGGCACCATTTTTCGTCACTTGGGATAGTTCATTATAATTTTCACTATGGTAAACTGGCTTAGATTCTATCAAAGAAGAATAATCATCATAAAAAAATATAACATCAATAACAGAAGCAAACTTGGATTATTTCAGAGCTGAGCTCGAAATCAAAGTTCACATCTTTAATCAATTAGACCAACAGAAACTTTCATAACACAAACTGTATCAGGCTTCTCAGTCAATTGACTAAAACCCTTGAAACATATTCGGATAACACAATCTAAATAACGTACAATTCACCCTCTATTCTTGAATTTCACCACCCCTCTCGAAAAAAAACAGCATACGATCATATTGATCAAGAAACTTTTTAGTTCTTGGATTAAAATTTCATAGCCAATTTAAAAAAGTCATAAGTAGCATTAAAAAAAAAAAAAAGTTACAATCAAACCAATTCAAATTCTTTTGCGTATGATCATCAAATTAAGCACTATAATACCCAAAATGCAGACTCAAACATCTCAACAGAAGACAAACAAAGGGAGAAATCATAAAGAAAAAACAGCCACACCCAGCAGAACTTGATCAAAGGGAAGCCAATGAAAATAGTATAATGATTAAAAAGTACATAAATCTAATATAAATAAATATACTAGAACAAGGAAAAGAGCACATGATCAAAAAGCAAAGGCCTTTCAACCAAAGAAAGAACCAGAAGGAGAGAAATTATTTTAGAAAATTGAAGCTAAGAACTTACGTACTGTGGCGGCCACGAAATACCCAGAAGAAGCCTAAAGCAATTTGATGAGTCGGATTATCAAATATTATCTATAAGTAAAGTATAAGTAAATCTGCGTCGCAGTTCAGCTTTTCTTTTTTTTTTTTTTAAGAGGACCCAAAAATACCAACTTTTTATCACACAAGGCAACAGAAAAACAAAGAGACGTGACACAGCTTTCTGTTTGACACGTACGAGAAAAAAAAGAATTAATTGAAAAAAAAATTTTGGGAGAAACAACAATGGGTCCCATAGACACTTCTAAATTTTTAGTGGATGTGTGGGTCCCATTAGTTGTGTTGTGTTGTGTTTTGTGTTGTGTTTGTTGGTTTACTACTGTGATACCATGACATGTTAAGGAGTTAGTTGGTGGTTGGGTTCGGTTTTGGGCTTTTGGAATCTCCCATCAAGCCCAATCATTTCTTTTAGAGAGGAGAATACAAGTTGAATCTCTATAAAAAAAATAAAGTAAGCATAAAAATTTCAAGCACCATGTCGAATTTATAGAGTTTGAATAGGATTCTATGGTTAGATAATATTGCTATGGAAGTAGGTTAGGGAAAGAATATTAGAAATCTTGAAGCAAGCAACAAAATCAAGCTTTTGCTAGTTTTGCTTGCAAGAAAGAAAATTTTTTAAATTGTCCATCTTTAATTAACGTGAGAGTTTTTTCTCCAACAGACTTCTTTTGTTATTAGGTTTAACAATAATTAGTTGCTTTCAATAATCCCAAAGAAGAAAAGGATAAGTTGATCTTGTTTCTCACATGTGTCGTATGCCTCTAAACTATATATGCCAGTGGTGCGGGAGAAAGAGGTTAATAAGAGACATGTGGATTAGTATATTTTGTCATAATTTCTAATAAAAAGTGTTGAAATTGTCATGATTTTGGTAAAAATTGATAAAGAATATATTATACTACCTAAAATTAAAAAAAAAAAAAATTAACTAAATTTTTCCACCCAACTTTTCATTTTAAAATGCATTTTCTTCATTAATACTGAGCATTGACCATACAACAGCTTTGTTCAAATAATTACTGAAATATCAAGAAGAAAGAGATTTTGCATTAGCTTTAGCAAAAGAATTTGCATTACTACTAAAAGCATTTATCTTCATGAAAACTTTGATTGTACATTAATTCCCTTATAACTAGCAGGCTGACTTGCCGGAGAGTGAAAAAATGTAAACCACTTTTAGCAGAATATTTCAATATCCAAGGTTAAATCCGGAGTACGTAATATGTACCACTCATTTTACATAAACATGATCATCAAGCATCTCATAGCAAACATCTCTGTCATTAATCTGTGTCAACCAGCCACTTGAAAATCGCCAAAATCATCATCTGGAATATCTTGCGTGCTCTGTTGCTCTTTAGTGTCTTCCTTTGCAGGGTTTGAGTTGTCTTCAGAAGTTTTATCAAGGGAGATTTTTGGTGGCAAGTTTGATGGAGAATTTGGCCCGCAAGAAACAGGTGAGAGTGTTGCTGGAGGTGGAGGGGGCGGTATGATTCCGAGGATGGGCTCTTTTCGATCACCTTTAACCTCTAATGACAGATTATTTAGACCCTGCTCAAAAATCTTGGACTTCACAATACCACAGCCACCTTTCTGTTGATACCAGAAAAGGGTAAATTTAATTTGATTATTAGGATGCAAGAGTCTTTAAAATTTGAGATGCACATAAGCTCACATTTTTTATTTGCAGCACAAGGTTTTCCCCTTCCTTTAAACTGTAATCAACCGAGGAAGTTTTCTGAAAATGTTGTTCCATCTCCTCTGCAGTTTTCTTCTTGTTCAGATATCTACAATGGGATTTATTGCCAATGTGCAAAGAAAGTATCAGCTGTAAAAGCAAAACAATTTAGTGAACAAGTAATATTGCACATTTATGTATGTTAGAACATACTTGACATGATCATGCAAGGCCGCCTGAAAGTCATATGCTTCTGTTCTTTCTCGGAATCCTATGCCAATAAATGCATGCCGAAGACGACCATCTGCATGATTTCCAAACTAATCAATGCCAAATTTACAAAGAGAGAGAAGCAAGAATAATGCAAAGATATTATTTCTGTATGGGCAATGCCAAAAACCAAGAAAAATATAAAATAAAACAAAATTTCACACTATTGGCAGAGTAGATTCAGAGATTCAACAGAAAGTGTTTAGCATCATCGAATAGAGTTGATTACTTTCCATATCTTTAAACATAACAGTACAAAATCATTTTGAATCCAGCTGTCAGGCCTAGCAAGAATGTTGGCAGTTCATTATTTTCAGAATGCAAACCGAATGAAAATTTCAGTCCAAAACTCAGAAAAAGCACGTTATCTGCTTAGCGTATTTAGAATTATAAATCCTAAGAATTTTGAAGTCTTTTACATATATAAACAATACTGATATACAATGACTTGGGTTGTGGAACATGAAAATAATGACTAACTATGGCCACAATGAGTGACAACCATAAAAAAGCAGGTATAGAAAACAATTAGAAAGATCAATAGTTACAAAATAACTGCTATAAGAGTAGGTTCTATAGAAAGAATAAAACTGGCAAGGAATGCAGCTCATAATCTGCTTCTTTGGTATATAAAAATCCTACGACAGTTACAGATAACATATATCAAAATCAATCCAGTACAAATGGAATTAACAGTTTGAATATAAAATTTGAATTGCGGCATGGCAGCTCACCGATGTTTTCCTCTATTCGCAGAACAAAATATCTGCAAAAGAAAGGATCTTTATTTAGACACCCTCCAGAAACCATGTCTCACTAATCACAATTAGAAACTAACACAAAGTCATAGACTTTAGCATAAAGTAAACTAAATCAGTCAACTTTGGTTATTTCACATGTATCACACACAATCAATAATATTAAAGGTACAATAAAAAAGAACCACACATTCAATGAGAAACAGAATTAACCTGCTGCTGTCAATTACAGGTTCTACTGGATGAGGCTCCCCATTTCTTAAAAATGCCTTTGCATACAATTCACCTATGCAGGACAAACATTTCAGGAACAATAAAGTGCATAAGAAAAAGATACTTCATGACATTTTCTACTAAACAGTAATTCAAAGTTAATCGAACCTGTGGTTTTGTCTTCAAGTCTGATAATGCACTCTTCGCCTTTATTAACGACTTTTAGCGTCCCTTCCCATGCCCATTTGTTGACATTCCATTCATCAGCCCTGAAATGAACTTTAGAGATATAAATAGCAATAACGAGTTCAAGTCATGAATATTATCAATAGAATTGAGCACATGCAAATTTATTATGCAAAGACATCAGCATGAAACATAATTTCAAAAAGTAGCGACATTGGATAAAAATACTGCATTCATATTCAAAAAACAGAATATATACAAATACAATTGGAAAGGGACCGGAAATGCTTCGGTACTTTGAAACTCCCCATTCTTCTTATATTTCCCTTTCTTGTTCCCGAAAGGAATGGAGTTGAGGGATGAGAGTGACAAGGGAAACCTATGCTTAGATTGTCACTTAGCAGTCTTTTATGGCATAACTTCTTAAGTAACTCACAAGCCTCAATAAAAGTCACAAATATGATGCTTGAAGTAAGTGGTTGATTATATAAATTTCCCAGAAACAAAAAGATCTCATCAATGAAAAGAACCGAACACAGAAGGACAATTTTAAATTCTATATAATGCATAAGAACAAAATAAAATAAAAATTGTGTCAAATCATGTAGAAAATATGCACAATCAATGACTATCAGGAATCTTATTTGAGAAGTGGAGCAGAAACCTGTAAGAAGCAGCACTTTTTCTTGGGGGTATCTGCAAAAGGTAACAACGAAACTAGCTTGTTAACTGCAATTTCCTTGAGCTTAGCTTCATCAAGATAACTACATTTGTTTCTTTCAAATTAGTTCACATACAAGTAACCAATAAATTATAGGATGCAGTCAGTCAGTGGACAAAACATAATTACTTACCTAATTCATCACTTTAACTTAAATAGAAAAATGTCACTTTTAACATAATCGACAATATTGTACCATGCAACACAAAAGTAAAGAGATTTCCACTTGGAAATCTAACAGCAATCATTCGCTCGCAAAGTACCCAATTTGAAACTAGAGATAAACGAACTTTTTTATACAGATTCCAGACACAGATAAACACAACCTGAAATACCACTTTAGACATTTTACAACTATCATTTCTCTCTCGATAAAATTGAAAGAAGTTTATGATCAAGCTCCTAACCTCCCTGTTTCCATAGTTGGTTTAACTTCTACATTTCAAATCTAAATCCTGATCTCCAAAACCTACCACTCCATCTCCAAATTAAAAAATCAACAATTCCCACCAATCTGAAGAACCCATTAATAAAACCAAAAGATAAATTATTAACTACAATCAGATTCTAAAGAGAGAGAGAGAGTGCGTTCGTTTACCAAGTAAACGTAGCATTCAGAGACTTGAAAGAGAATAAGCTCTATCTCTTCAGTTTGCTCGGTATCTTGATCATTTGGCGCCTTTTCTTCTTTCTCCATGATCTAAATGTACAAACAAAGAATTCGAAAAACAATTGAGATCGGAATTCAAAATCAGTATAGCATCTCAAAGATAGCAAATTGATTAGGAAAGACACTGTCTTTTTCTCAGTTTCTTCGTCTGGTGAACTGTAATTGTAGACAACACAAACACAGAAAATGAGGTTCCATGTCTTCTAAACTTCTAGCTCACAATAATCAACCTAAGTAACGCCAACCGTTAGATTAGATTACTTTCTCCGCTGTCAGATGTTCTTGTTCTCTGTCGTAGCAAATCTAACGGCTGTGGTCATCAGTTCTTTTGTTATAGTAGTTACGATTGTACGGTCAGGATGGGAGTCAACACAAGAGGTTGGTAGGTAGGTTGGTGTTGCTTGATTTATAAGGAAGAATCATTTTATCTAATGCTGGTATTATCCAGATTCGCCAAAAAAAAAAAAAAAAAAAAAAAAAAAAAAAAGTTAGATTAGATTACTTTCTCCGCTGTCAGCAGATGTTCTTGTTCTCTGTTCGTAGCAAATCTAAACGGCTGTTGGTCATCAGTTCTTTTGTTATAGTAGTTCGATTGTTACGGTCAGGGAATGGGAAGTCAACCACAAGGGTTGGTAGGTAGGTGGTGTTGCGTTGATTTAAATTAAGGAACGATCATTTTTATTCATAATGCTGGTATTTTATCCAGATTCGCCAAAAAAAAAAAAAAAAAAAAAAAAAAAAAAAAAAAAAAACAAACCACATGGGAACTCATTACCATTAACCTGTTGTTTCTTATTTTTTAATATGCTCTCTAAATAAGAAAAGAACAGAGACGTTAAGGTTAACAGCTGTTACTTAGCAAAAATAATATTTATCCATAGGCTTTCCAAAAACCGAAGTCATTTTTTTCAACTGATATTGCAATCTATTTAAAAAAAAAAAAAAAAAAAAAAAAAAAAAACAAACCACATGGGAACTCATTACCATTAACCTGTGTTTCTTTATTTTAATATGCTAAATAAGAAAGAACAGAGAGTTAAGCTGTTACTTAGCCAAAAATAATATTATCCTAGCTTTCAAACCGAAGTCATTTTTTCAACTGATATTGCATTATTTTATAAATTGTGATACCCAACAAAATGATTTGAAGAATCAGTTATTTGAATGAAAAATAAGACTCATCATGATTGAAATTAAAACTATCTAAAAAGTTAGAACAGACAATTGTAAGTGTGGAGACTTCCGTGACTAGAACTCATAACTTCCATGTTACATGTGGAGTAACTTTCCCATAGACTAAAATCACTCTCACCAATTATAAGTATCTAGCTTATTCTTACCTGGTTCATATCCCACAAAATGATGAAAAACTAAAATCAATTAATCAGTAAGAAGAATTAATACAGGGTTGAAACAAAAAATTCAGCGTCTATCTCAATGAATTGGTTAAATATATAGAAGTACATACAATTATACAGTGCAGGATAACCGATTTGTACACTCTGAAGCAGCAGTTCTTGGAACTAATGCAGCTAATATATGAAATGCACATTACATGTTTAATGAGGCACCGTTGCAGTGACAGTCAGGTGCCTTGGATCTGTAAGCACTGAATGTACATTCACGAAACCAACTTCCTTCAGTCTTCCCTCTATATCAGTCAGATAATATTCGTCTAAAAATGGTTCAGTGCTCTTAAATAATGTGAACAGAACCGGGGACAATTCCTGTAGCGTACCAGAAAACAGTTCACTGATAGTCTGATACTATGTAAGTACCATTTGAGCATTAATATATACAATTTTATAGGATATATCTGATACTATGTAAGTACCATTGGAGCCATACCTGAAGAATCTTTGACTTGGGCTGCATAAGAAAGCCAAAATCGCTTTAGTTACTGATTTTGTAGCAGAACATGCTAATATAATTAAAATTAAAGAGTCATGAGAGTTTACTGCTTGATCTGTCAAAGAAATTGTGCCTCCAGGTCGAAGAAGCCGGAACGCTTCCTTGAATAAACCAACTATTGCTCTCTCAGGGCATTCGTGAAGCTGGAAATATATTTCAGTAAGTTGCAAGCAGCATAAGTATCTGCAAATATCAAACTCCAAGAGCTTTCTAAACCCTGACTTTCATACAATACTTGAAAGTCCAGTGATTTCATTTCAGATAGAAAGCATCATTAAGGCGCCAAATTCTCATCTAAAAATTAAACTAGTACCCCAATTTGTAACTACGTAATAGAAATTGTTTTCCTAATGAGCATGATTTAGTTTGCATGCAACCCTGCAATTTTTTTTGCTTGTCCAAAGATATGATTCTGCAATTGAAATCCTTGTTATATAAAAGAACAACCATAATATCTGAATCATATATCCACAGGATCTTGGACAATGCAAAAAATGAAAAAATGGGCCCTTCTTTGGCAAATTTCAAAGTATCTGTTTCTGAACTCAACTCATATTGTTTGGTGGGAAAAACCTATTTGTCATAAAGCCAGAAGGTTTATCCCTGAATAGCATGAGTTTTTTTTACCCCATTAAAATAATTCAAGAAGAATGCTGCAGTAGAGAAAATGCATACCACAGCTGCAAAAGAAACAAGGTCATATGATTTGGAAGGCAGGCCTGTGTCTTCCCCATTAGCATGTATCCATCTGATAGGATTCTTTCTCGGGGTTCCATTCTTTTCCTTGAATTGCGCCACAGCCAGAAAGTAAGGAGAGAGATCAAGTCCCTGCAGCAGTTGTATTGATACACAAAGATAAGTGGGGCATATATCCACATATTAGCAACTAAACAAGTTCTGAATGTTATAGAATTCTGTGGAAAGCCGTATTCGACGAAAGTCGTATGTACGGCTTGGAGGGAGGTTTCCAAATCGTCAATTAATTTATATGACCATCAAGGAACTTGTTTACTTATTTCTTTTATTCCAATGGAATTATTTCTAAATGTGAAAAAAAAAAAAATGAAAAGGTCATCTTATTCAAAACCTCAATTATGAAATCACGGCTAATAGTTTAGCGCATTGTTTGTTATTACTATGGGTCCCGAAGCACAAGGGGATATACGTTGGGAGCTTCATACTTTTGATTGGTTCATTATACAGTTCATATTACCAACCCTTAGAATAGACCCCTATAAAGTAGGAAAATTGAACTCACGGTGACTTTTGCTGAAGGAAACTTGTCAGCAAGAAATCTTGTGCTAACACCTACAGAGCATCCAACATCTAGAATGTCACTAATCATGGAGTTCCCAGAACATCGTAAATGATGCTGTTCAATTGCATCAAGCCAATTCCCACGCATTACTTGATTTGCTTCTTCTAATGTGGAAGCATCAGGTATTGCTCGTCTCACCATTGACATGGTTGCAGGTTCTGCCTCAGCTGCAGCCTGACATTAGACAAGTTATTAAAATCAGGTTATCCTTTCCTTGATACTGTTTTAAACCTTATGAACTAAGAAGATCTTGGAATTTAATTTCACCATTTATAGCATTATATTTCAGTTAAACATGCAGTAACAAATTCAAGAATCCAATATTTACTGAAGGAAAAAATATATACATTTCTTTTTCACAGGATTCAAAGTCATAGACTCACACTTGCATATCAAAAACATTTTGAGTTCATATAGTTTTTGCCCATTTGGAGACAACAAATAAAACCAACTTGAATAGCAAGCATGAAATAAACAACATTCTGACTGTAATAGAATGAAAGTTCTCAATGATAGCATGGTGAAGACTCATTTTCAATGAAACGCATGAGCAGTCATAAACAAATTTATTTTCCACAGATGCAAAAGATATTTTCAATAATGCACAGAACTATGCAACTGATTTGCAACTGGCATAAGAAGTTCCAAAAAAATTCAGTGAAGTTCAAAAATAAAGGGAAAAAACTTACGAGCCATGAAAGATTTCCCTCATCATATGCATGGAAAGGACTGAGATAGTCTGAAAATTCATTAGTTCAGCTTGGTTATTAGATAGGAGTAGAAAAAAAAGCAAAAAAGTGATAACCCTCAAAGTCAAACAAAGAAAATGTCGCAATTGCTATAGCATGCAGATAAGCTTGTGGAATTTAAACAATGAATTAATGTAAAAAGTATATTTTAGAACAAAAATTCAAAAGTCATAACCAATAATACATAAGCATGGAATTAGCAACCCACAAAATTACTTGCCAATCTTGCAAGTGAAGAACAATAAACATACATTACCAATCAATGACAAATAGTTCACTTTAGCATTTATGGATGCAAATATTTAACCACATAACACACCAAATATGGAAGAAAGTAAAAACTAAAAATCCCAATATGCAATTCTGTAATTAAGTTCAACAAACAAGTTCTAAACACACTCTTCTACCTGTTGAAGAAGTTTCATAAATGTTAACATGTTTTCAAATCCTTCAACCTCTGTTGAAGAAGAAAAATGCATATAGCAAAGAAATTCAAGAGCCAAGCAACAATATACATCAAGAAAAGCATTAATTAGAAATTTAATAAGTTCAGAGAATCACAGTCAGGATATGTGATTGAGGGGTTTTGCACATTCTCTAGCTCCTTACACACATCGGATTCCAGAATCTCTCTGCTCATTTCTCTCCATGGAATATTCCTTTTCTCAGCAGTACTGTTCCATGAACATATCAAATTCTAGTCACCACTCAAAATCTGAAGATACCCAAATAACAAAATCTTTAAAAACAACCAACCCACATATTGAGAGTTTCAATTACTAAATTAAACCCACCCACCCACCCCCTCATCATAATAAAATTGCAAAATATAGTATTTTTAAGAGACAGTAAAGGGACAGAACCTGATAAGAACTTGTCTTGCACCAAACTTGAGCACTGCAGATAATGGCTTAAAGGAAATGAGAGCTCCAACAAGACGAGAAAGAGGGGTCTGTCCTGCCCATTTGGGCATTTCTAGTTTTCCCTCTTCGTAAGCCACAGACATCTTGACAATCATTGAATCTGCTCTTCTTGATTGCCTTCTTCCATGGTCAATGCCTGTGGTTTTGCTCGTGGAAAGAACAGAGAGGTTGTGGGTATGTGCATATAATGCCATTGAACTCAAAAGACCAGTGAAGAACTGAAGGTGGAGGCATGTAACTATGATGGGACAAAGACAGAGTGAAGTTCATTAGTGGATAATATATTTTCAGTTTTCCCTATCCATTAGAGTCTATGTCTTTGCTCCACAAAAATTTTCCTTTCATTTTCTCCATGAAAATTTAGTTTGTATCTATTTTTCTAATTATTTTTTGCTTATCTAAATAGTTACTTATCTAAAATTCAATCAAGACTCAGGACTAAATAGTTACTTATCTAAAATTCTTTTCAATGGCAATTTACAGGGAAATTTTTTTCCTCTTGTTGTCTGCTATCTAGAGGGAAATTTTTCCTCTTAACCACATTATTGTTTCGTTTGTAGAATAATTAAAGATGAAATGGGCCAAAACATTAGAAATCTGGCCCAATAAAGTTATCTTAAAAAATTACGTAATTGGATGATTTTCGGCCCGACATTGAATTGAAATGATAGTAAACTGCAAATGGGCACAAACTCCTTTTTGGACTATAGAAAAGGTTAAAAGAAACTTTCTTGACATTATTTATGATCTAAAGGTCAAAAATTTTTAGATTATATTTTATAAGAAGATTTCCTCTTTCAAACTACAAATGGTGCTATTATTTTATGCATTTTGTAGCGCAAATTGCGAGTAGTTGTTCTCGCAGTGTTGTGTTTCTTCAGATTGAGCCATTGAGATTGGCTCAAAGTTGTCTCCAAGCAGAGACCTTTAAGCAACATGGTTAAAGAAAATTATAAATAATTGCAATTTGCATTTCTGATTTTGTTTACCTAATTATGTGAAGGAGCTTTTGACTTTTTGTTAAACAGCTTTTGTTTGTGTAAATAATTGAACTTTTCAAAAAAAAAATTTCCAATAAAAAAAAATATATTAATCACAAGAGAAAATTTGGAGGGGAGAAAAGATTAACCAAAGATCAAAGAGATACCAAAACTCCAATACCACAATAAAAGGAAAGAAATTTTCTTGATATTACCAAAAGAGTTATCTGCAATTTACTACTCACATGGCTTGTGCATGCAAAAAAAGACCAACCCCACACCCAGTCAACAGAGACTTCACCTGAAAAGCATTTTGTAACCTTTATGTAAATATGAAACGGTCAAGCCCCATGAAAATCTTAATATACTAACTGCCTCCTCTTCAACTCAAGCTGTCTTGAACAGTATATTACTGTATGTACAATTACATGAAAGGCATAGCTAAGGCTAGTCCAACTTACCATGCATGCAAAGAAATATCTGTTTTTTTGCTGCTAGCATGGACATAGTATAGCTTGTTTGGTGTGTTAGCTCATCTTCTTATTTCTACTTCTTCCTATCTTCATTCTATTTCTCACATAGCCTTTTTCTGTTTCTCCTAATGGAACTACCAAGAAGAGCTCCAAATTCTGCTGGACCAAAAACTCAATACAGAATTAAAGCAAAGAAACTTTCTTATAAACTATCACATCAGGTTGATGAATGTCATTGGCTTCCCTGGAAGAAGAAAGCTGATAATGCCTACATATTGAGAAATGTGAGTTGTGAAGCTAGACCAGGTGAGGTTATGGCGATTGCTGGTCCAAGTGGAGCAGGAAAGACCACATTGTTAGAGATACTAGCAGGCATGATCCCACCTAGCAGAGTTTCTGGTCATGTTCTTGTAAACGAGCAACCAATGAATGTTAGATGCTTTCGGAGATTATCAGGCTATATCACACAAGATGAGGTTCTTTTCCCACTTCTTACTGTTGAAGAAACTCTCTTGTACAGTGCTCGTCTCAGGTTGCAAGGCAAGTTCCAAACTGCAGAATCTAGAGTTGGAGAATTGCTGAAAGAGCTTGGATTGGAGCATGTTGCCAATGTGAGAATTGGCAGTGAATCAAACCGGGGAATTTCAGGTGGTGAGAAGCGTAGAGCATCCATCGGTGTAGATCTAGTTCATGATCCAGATGTTCTTCTAATTGATGAACCAACATCAGGACTCGATTCAGCGTCAGCTCTTCATATAGTCCTGTTGCTCAAATCTATGGCTATAAAGCAAGGTAAAACAATTCTGTTAACCATCCATCAACCTGGTTTTCGAATACTTGAGATGTTTGATCAGATTCTGTTATTATCAAATGGCACTGTTCTTCATCAAGGATCCTTGCATCTCCTAGAACAACAGCTCAGATTCGCTGGTCATTCCATTCCTAGGCACATTAATGTGCTTGAGTTTGCCATTGAAATCTCAGAAGCCTTGGTCATGATCACTGAAGAAAGTGAAACAGAAGATAGCGAGACAGAAGAATATTATGCGCAGATAAATCCTAACCTTAGCAATGTCGAAGAAATTAAAATAAGTTACCCCAATGGTCGGTTCAAGGAGGTTTTTGTACTAGTTCGTAGATTCTTCACCATAATTCGCAGAACCAATCAGCTCTTCACCGCAAGAATAATACAAGCAATGCTAGCTGGGGTTGTGCTTGGGACAATATTTATGAATGCAACTAATGATCCAAAGAAATACAAGCTACAAACTCAAATTGGGTTTTTTGCATTCAGCCTTACCTTGTTGCTGTCATCCACAACAGAAGGCCTACCAATTTTCTTGCAAGAGAGGAGAATTTTAATGAGAGAAACTTCAAAAGGAGTTTATAGAATTTCTTCATATGTCATATCAAATACTCTTGTGTTTATCCCATTCCTGTTAATTGTGGCCCTCCTCTACAGCACTCCAGTGTACTGGCTAGTCGGACTGAGACGGGAAATGGACGGGTTCATCTATTTCTTACTAGTGGTATGGATGGTTGTTTTGATGTCAAACTCTTTTGTTGCATGCTTTAGTGCTCTTGTGCCAAATTTCATTATGGGAACATCTTTGATTGCTGGCCTTATGGGGTCCTTTTTCCTCTTTTCTGGGTATTTTATAGCAAAAGAGGACATACCAAAGTATTGGATTTTTATGCATTATTTAAGCCTGTTTAAGTATCCATTCGAGTGTTTTATTATCAATGAGTATGGAGCAGGGAAAGGAAAGAGGAGATGCTTGCAGATTACGGAAGGAAACTGCTACCTGTATGGTGAAGGATTTTTGATGCAACAAAATCTGGAAGAGTCAAAGAAATGGAGCAATATAGGAATAATGTTAGTTTTCATTCTTGGATACAGATTTCTTTGTTTCTTGATTCTGTGTTACAGATCATGGAGAACTAGAATTTGAAAATTTTGTTTCATCAATAAAAATGAAAATAAACTAAAAAGATAAACAGATACTTCTGGTTGTTTCTGACTTTCTGCTCTTGTTTCATCCACCTGGTTTATACAATTTCTTGTTTTAACTTAATACTTCTGCGTAAACTTTGTGTTTTTCAAGATTTCAAAAGGGCATTTAGACTGCATTCAACGTCCAAAACCCAGTTCCTATAAATAATTAATGGTTCAATTTAGATCAATAAATCCTTTAATATAGAGGTTTCAGGTAGATTTAAGCCTGAGACCAACTTTCTTATCAATTTCTGAAACTGTCATAGATTACTTAAAAATTTATTTTTACATATGCATTGAGTTGAATGTACTATAAACAGTTCTTTGCAGAGCTAAACTAGAAATGTAAACTTAGCCAAGACATAAAAGTGATGCTTAAGTGAAAAAAATACAGCGTCAAAATATTATGCGTTATGTAATAGACCTCTTGTTAGTTATTAACTCATTCTCATCTCGATAATAATAATAATAATAAAAAGAACAGATTCAATGAATAATACAGCAAGATGATAAGCACTATCAGTTAGAAACATGACAGCAAATGGGTCATATTCAGTAACCAAAGAATCTGTATACTGTCAATTTTATACAGTAGAAGATAAATCATGGTACCAGTCAACTGTATCACCACCATGTATAACAAATTTGCAAGCATATGGACATAAGTAACAGTATACAAAACACAAGCATAGAAATCAATATGCTCACCAGAGATCACCAGATGGGGATGAAAAGGAAGGATCAAATAGAGGAACCCTCCGCCTTTTGTGTGAAAATGTGGATTTCAATGAGAACTCATGTGAAGCAGAAAATTTGTCAAGAGTAGACCTGATAGCCTGATGGACGGAACTTGCAAGAATTGTGCGTACTTCAGTATTTTCACTATGCCCTTCTTTGCAGCTGGTCATCACAAAAACATTCTTCATCCTGTCTTCCAAGGTTGCAATCTCTGCCTGCATTACTGTCAACTGGAGCTTATTAAGTGCTTGTCTTAAATCAGATAGAAGTCCAGGCTTATAATCACAACTTAGCGATACCCTGATTATACAAGGGGTACCATCCAATCCATTCTCTTGTCCTTCAACTCTTACTTCATCAGTATCTGTTGGCACGAGAAAACCTTCACTAGCTTCTGCCGCAGTACTCTTCAGTTCTTTCAAATAGCTTATAACTTTAGCAAGCAATGATGCTTTGTCCATCTGTGAGCTCAGAATGTCAAATTCAATTGCCCCATAAGCAGGAACCTCGACAAAAACATCTAGACAAAACTAATAATTCAACAAGGATATATACACAATATGCACGCTCCTGTGCACAAGTGCAGGGTATGCAAGACAGAAAATGAAAAACCAAACGAGAACTTGAAAACATCCATGAAAACCAAATGAGCCCACTTGCAAATCAAGTTTCCATTTATCAAACATTGTATGATCATTATTACACATGATGAGCTAATCCAATTGAGAAGAACTCTCATCACTAAATATAACTTATTAGCAGAGAATCCTCACTGACAAAATATAATTTTCTCATGATAATAATCAACATTGGAAATTAGCAGCACATGCGATGAATAGTTCTTATTTTTATGATCTCTCAATAAATGCACCACAATCATCGACCTTACCAATAAATGCTAAACATTCACATATTAACATTCGCATACCTACATTAAATAGCTATATAATATGAGAACTTTAAAACTTCCCTTCAAATTGAATTGGAAGTTTGAGATAAAACTCTACCAAATTATAAAAGAAAAGCTTCGGAAAAGAAATCAAAATGCTTAGCATAATTAAACAATTAACAGCCAAATCAATCAACTCATCTCATCATTTATACTTTTACCGTTTGCATGTTATTACTAAACTATTAAACTGCAGTGTCATATTCAAACTATAATGTAATCATCAGAACAACGAAAAAGATACCTTCTTGGCACCAGGTACTAGGTTCCTAAGGGTGTCAAGATGAGAATTAATTCTAGCTCTACGCTTCCTTTCTGCTTCACAATGATTCCTCAAGGCCTCAACACTTCTCTCCGCAGGCACACCTTTTCTCCCAACTGTCACAGTAGCTTCCACAAGCTCTCCTCTTTGACTATCCAAAACCAGAGATGAAGATGAACACGATTCATTTCTTGTTTTGGCTTCAAACCCAGAAGTCATATAAAACCCATCACATAATCCCTCCAAATCAGATGTAACCACACTTGAGCTCCAAGAATGAGGTTCCATGACTAAAATAGAAGTAAAAAAGGGTATAGTGGTGGATAGTGAGGGAGTGGTGGAAACTGGAGATGCAAAAGAGTGATCGAGAGTAAGTTTTGGTGAAGATGACAAGAAAGACGACCTTAAACAATGTAGTTCTGGTACGATTAAACTTGATATTTTTGATTCCCTATTCCTTCCCTTGTTGCAACTATAACTTCCATTAGGGAAAGAAGGAGAAAATGTAAGAGATGAATTAGAATGCGGCCATTCTTTATAAAGATTAAATAATGCAGGCAAAGGCAATCGAGGGTTAAGTCATCAGTGGAGAAGGAAATCATTGTAGTGGAGTCTTCAATTCATCTTTTAATAAAGGGCAAAACACTTCCAAGCCACCTTTCATTTCTTGTCTTCTTCTTATGAAAACTCCAAACTGCAACTTAATATCCAAAACTTATTAATTAACAGGAAAATTTACTATTTAATCCTTGTAGTTTGATAAAATTAACTATTTAATCCAATATTTTTAAAAAACTGTAAATCCATTGCAATGGTTAAAGAATTATGATTAAAGAAAAATTGTTAACGAAAAAAACTAATTAGAAATTAGTGGCAGAATTTTTGGATTTGCTCAAAATCCCACATCCGGCGCCCACATCCTTGAATGCTGTTTTGGTAGATTGTGTGGAACAAATTTGTAAATTATGCCAAACGACAAGCTTGAATGGGACCCTTGTCTTCAACCTCCAACTCAGCACTTTAGCAGAGCCAATCACACCATTACCAAAGCTCTTTTCTTCTTTGACATTAAGGATGTTAATCCATTCAAGATTGATGATAAACTTAAAATTAAACTTTTCTAATGCCCACTAATTTGCTTTGTCACGTGGATCTTTTTTCCTTGGACCATTTTGCTTTGCCTTGTCATGACTTTCATCTTTGCAAAGGTTCATAATTTCCTTAAAATAACAACCTTTTTTGGGATAAATAACTCCACAGCATTGACTTGGTGTCTTTTATGTGAAAGAGGTTAAAAATAAAGGTCTTTGGACAAACTAATTTCTATGTAACCTTTTCTTTTCTTTTTTCTCTCTTGGAGGCTAAATTTATTGAAAAAACATTATGGAATGGAGTGGTGGAGCCAAAAATTAAATTTAAGACGCGGTGAAAGGGTAAATAAAAAAATAGTAATTTTTCAAGATAAAACAAAATTCAAAAGTTAAGGGATGGTGGCCACTCTCTCCCTTCGCCTTTAATGGACCACATAATAAAAATAATTATTTTCTGCTTCAAATAATAATTATAAAATTAATAAAAAACTTTACGATAAAAAAATATGAACTCGAGTTTTTTTCACTGATATAATAAAAAAAGATTTGAATCCAATGCCTAACATTCTTAAATTAACAATTTATGTACAATCTTGATTGTTTTACCAATGACATTTCACCATGGATTTACAGTGGAGCTTTAACAAATATGTTTCATTTTAAATAAATCTTTATTATTTTAGTTGGACATGGAGAAGGCTTTGGGGTTGGTAGTAGTCCAATGCTTTTAGGGTTTTCAGTCCATGAAATGGGCTACGTTTTAGCTGAGGCCCATTAATGCGGACAAGAGCCACTGTGATTGATTTCTATTTGACAACCTTACATGTCTCTCTGCACGAGAAGAATCTTAATTAAATAATTACTAATTAATCCAGCAATGCCATCTTTTAATCAAAAGGATAAACCCTAATAAACATTTTGTTATTTTCTTAATGTAAAATATAAAAATTACCTTCATAAACATATCACGTATTGAACCGAATCAAGCCGCTTGGATTCGAATTTTTTATTAGCTACCAATTTACCTAGCCATAAACATATTTTATATCTATTTAGAAATATGACTAATCTACTTTGTACGTATGAATTCACTCATGCAATAAATTAATAATTAATTATAATTTAAGAAGAATATTAAGTTTTAATACTGTTTATTATTATTTTTTCAGTAAATTGACATAAGTTTTTCTTCCTATAATAATAGCTAAAAGTTCAATTTTTTTTGCTGTTGACTTAATTTTTGGAATTACATATTATAAGACTCAAATAAAATAATTGAATTTTTTTCTGTAAAAATTGAAACCAAATCAAAATTTTAAAATCAAATAATTGGACTAGATTGATCGGAGCGATTCGGTTTTCCGTTTGATCCGAATGATGTGTACCCCCTAAAATGTAGACACGTATATCTATAGTGTAAGAAAAATCCATGAGCAACAGGTGTCTGTGACTCTTTCTCTCTTCAATCTCTAGCAGCCCCTTCCCATCCTCTCTTTGTCCATTAATGGCGGCCAATACTTCGTTGTCCCCTAGTCTGTCCTCTCCGACTCCGCCGTCTAAATCTCTAAAATCTTCATCCAAATTATTGTCATCTAAAGTGGGTTTGGGATTTCTATCCTCTAATTCCTATAAGCCACTTAAAGCTAATAAGAATGGCAGTAACAGTAATGGCGGCTCAGCTGTCGGTGCTCGTATGGTATCAGTGCCTACTGTGAAGCCTACCTTTTCTCTTGACTTTGAAACCTCTGTTTTCAAGAAGGAGAAGGTCTCTCTAGCTGGACGTGATGAGGTATGTTGTAAAATGAAAATTGTAAATTTTTCATCACTAATTTTTCTTTTAACATGAAAATTTGCGACTTTTTTAGTCTGATATGAAAATGAAATGGTTATTCAATGGTGGTGTTTGGCTGATTTAGTACATAGTGAGAGGAGGGAGAGATTTATTCAAGCTGCTTCCAGATGCATTCAAGGGAATTAAGCAGATTGGAGTCATCGGTTGGGGTTCTCAGGTGATAATAATACATTTTTTTTTTCCACTGATTAATCTCAATCATTAAATATTTTGCATGAAACAATGAATTTATTATTATTATTTTTTTTAATTTTAAGGGTCCTGCCCAAGCTCAAAATTTAAGGGATTCTCTGGCCGAAGCCAAGTCTGATATTACAGTAAAGGTAATCTGCATTTTCCTATATGTATCGGTTTTAGTTGTTTGGATTGCTGCTGGGAGGTGGCTTATCAATCTCTATTGTGTTTTTCTTGTTACTTCGTATGATACAGATTGGACTCAGGAAGGGATCCCGTTCGTTTGCTGAAGCTCGTGCTGCTGGTTTTACCGAGGAGAATGGAACTTCAGGTGATATATGGGAAACGATTTCAGGCAGTGACCTTGTGATGCTATTGATATCTGATGCAGCACAGGTTGGTTGCTATAGTACTGAATAAGTTTGTAATCTTGCGACATCTTGGCTGAAATTTCTCTTTTCATAATATTTTTTTACAATTCATGGATATTATGTTATATTAGGCTTAATAAACTGTCTAGATAATATTCCTACTCTAATTTTATCTTTGTTGTGACAGGCCGATAATTATGAAAAAATTTTCTCCTATATGAAACCAAACAGCATACTTGGACTTTCCCATGGATTTCTACTTGGCCATTTACAGTCAATGGGAATTGACTTCCCAAAAAACATTAGTGTGATTGCTGTGTGTCCCAAAGGAATGGGTCCATCTGTGAGAAGACTCTATGTCCAAGGCAAAGAGATAAATGGTGCTGGAATTAATTCTAGTTTTGCGGTCCATCAGGTTCTCTCCATTCCTTATATACATGTGCAGAAAAGAAAAGTTGTACTTGTGCATTTGACTATATTTCATTCACTAACTCTTCATGTCTCAATTGTTTTCCATGTGTAGGATGTTGATGGTAGAGCAACAGATGTTGCCTTGGGATGGTCAGTTGCCCTTGGTTCACATTTCACTTTTGCCACTACATTAGAACAGGAGTATAAGAGTGACATCTTTGGGGAGCGTGTTATGTATAGCTAATAGCTTCCAGATTATTATTTTGCTATGCTTTGATTGCCAGATTTAGGACTTTTCGCTCTTTTATTGTTTGAAGGCATTTTACTTGGTGCTGTCCATGGAATTGTGGAGTCCTTGTTTCGACGATATACTGAAAATGGAATGACCGAAGATGAAGCTTACAAGAATACTGTGGAGTGCATAACAGGAAATATATCCAAAACCATATCAACCAAGGTTGCATATGATCCAATTGGACTCTTATTCTCTGCATCTTGTTCCTTTCACATACCAAAGATAACTAGTACCAGCAAGAGAATAATAAGTCCTTATATGAGACACATATGTATTTCTCCAAATTGATAATCCGTTCAGATCTTACATTTTAACCCACCTTCATATAAGAGTTCTTTGGAGAACTCCTTGTTTACATGCTAGCTCACTTGCAAGGACAACTTGATCCTGGCTGTGTTTCAAGCTCTAGCATGACACCATGTTGTGTTGTTTAAAATTTAAATAAGGACTGAGTTGGAAGTCATTGTTCAAATTGAACGATACCAAGTGTTCCCACTTTCATGTATAATATACAATATTTTTGTATGAGAATGTAGTTTATTGAGTAGTAAACAAGCATCATTCATGGCTAACTGTTAAATTTTTTTTCCTCATATAGGGCATGTTGGCTGTGTACAATTCCTTTTCTGAAGAAGACAAAAAACTATTTGAGATTGCATATAGTGCTTCATACTATCCTTGCATGGACATTTTGTACGAGTGCTATGAAGATGTAGCCTCCGGTAGTGAGATCCGCAGTGTTGTCTTGGCTGGGCGTCGCTTCTATGTAGGATTACTACACTTTATCTTTTCTTGATACCATACTATTCTATAAACTCTCATTTTTTATTCCGGTTATTGATGTTGATATCTCATCTTTATTGTTTTCATTTTATAGGAGAAAGATGGTCTGCCAGCTTTCCCAATGGGTAAAATCGATCAAACTCGGATGTGGAAGGTTGGTGAGCAAGTACGATCGGCTCGTCCGGTGGGGGATCTAGGACCATTATATCCTTTCACTGCCGGCGTTTATGTGGCATTAATGATGGCTCAGGTATTATTGCTTCATTTTGTATAATGAGATGTTAAAATTACCATGGACCCATAATTATATTTGTAATATAAATGTATTAAAACATGGGAGGGAGGGAGGGAGGGAGGAGCGTGGGGGCCCAGGGGAAGGAAGCGGTTGTTTTAATTATCATATCTCTTGGTTTTTTGTTTTCCAGAAGAAAGGGGGTTGGAAATGGAAACAGATAGGGAGTTCTTGTATTTTCTTTTTTGGCTGCCTAATGTCTCCCTAATTTCTTTTGATTTTCAGATTGAAATATTGAGGAAGAAAGGGCACTTGTACTCTGAAATAATTAATGAAAGTGTGATCGAGTCTGTGGATTCTTTGAATCCATTTATGCATGCTCGTGGAGCTTCTTTTATGGTTGACAATTGCTCAACAACTGCTAGACTGGGATCAAGAAAATGGGCACCTCGTTTTGATTATATCCTTACCCAGCAAGCTTTTGTAGCTGTGGACAATGGTGCTCCTGTAAATCGTGATCTCATCAGCAACTTCCTATCAGACCCAGTGCATGGAGCCATTGAGGTTTGTGCCCAATTAAGACCTACTTTGGACATTTCAGTGCCACCGGATGCCGACTTTGTGAGACCAGAGTTGCGCCAATCTAGCAATTGAGATGCAGAGTTGAAACTTTAGCTTGAATGGCTATTTGAAGCTAGCTTTGAACGTTTTGTTTTTTTGTTTAGCTGTGAGACATGGCCATTTATGAGTTAGTATTGGGTGAATGTGGTTTTTGCTATCTAGATGTTGGAAGAACTCCCTTAGCACGGTTTAGTAAGAGAAATATGAGAAGAGCCTGTCTTTTGGTGTCAGTATTGTATCTTTTGAAACCAATAAAAATAAGTGACTTAGGCTTTGAGAAGTAAATTTTCCACTGTAGTATTAAATATCTGTTAAAATAAATATTGAAATTTCTAAGTATATAAAGGTATTTAGGGTTAAAAAAATTTTATATTTTCAAAATTTATCATAAAACTTCTTTAAAAAAAAAAATTTATGTACATGCTTCTTTTGGAAAATAATTATACTTTGTGTTTAGGGTATTACAAATTTATATTTCTCTTCTGAAAATGAAAACTTAAATTCTTCATTTGATCAATTAAATATATTTCATTAATTAATTTTCTTAACCATTATGCACATCAAAAACCTCTAGATAAATTATTTTTTGAAAACAAACAAGTCCTCAGAAAATAGGATGGATGTAGAAATGCCATATGTTTTAGTCGCATTTACATATACATGCATCTCGACTGGTCACACCAGTTTAACCTTTGGTTTGAAAGGCCTTAAACTAATCCCTCAATTATGCAAGGACATGCGTCTATAACAAAGACGGTTCAAACTAAAGGTGGCCTGTAAAGCATCAACTGCTTTGCAGTGCTGAAAAAGAGGAAATTTCAAAAAGAAAAGAAAGGCAGTTCATTACTTCTAGAAAAAACAAAATGTTCATTAGAACTGGGTTCAAATACTAATCCTTATCTATTACAACTCAAATTAACAAAACAACTGAGAAAAAAACAAGAATAACAAGGAAAAACCTTGAGCTATCATCAATAACATTTAGCAAACCATCTGGTTCTAATTGTAAGGACCTAGGACAGGAGAGTGTAAATGCATGCTAAATCTGAGTGTTTAGCCATCATATTCTCCCTGATAGAACTTGTTCTCTGGAAAATAAACAGCCACAACTTGATTACCACCAAATTTCCTCCCATTCATCCCTGCTCGGGCTTTTGTAGCACCTTCTATATCTGCATATTCCAAGAACACCTGAAAATAACAAAAGACTTTAGTCATCAACTAACAGCATCAAGAACAAGAAGTACCTGGAAAAGCACTAGGGCAAATGCTATACAGTAAAAGAAAGTCATCTGTAATTACCTTCCCGACTCCTGGTAAAGCTTCACTGTCTGCATTTGGGCGTGGGATAACAACATTCACCAACGTACCTGCATATAAGGTGTAAAAATATGCAAACCGCGATTTTTCAAATCAATGATTTTTTTTAAAGAAAAAAGGAAAAGAGTTTCAAGCAAATATAAATAGGGGATAATGAAGTCTTCTGTCTGTGTATGTTAGGCCTGATTCTTTATAGCAGAATGTGGGACTACAAAAGGCTGTAAAACAGACATACAACACAAAAGAAAATAAAGAAAATCAATTACTATGTAAGAAGCCTCACAGGAGAAAACAAAAAGAGGCTAACTAAGAAACCCTCGCAGGAAGGGGGAGAAAGATGCACAACAGGAGAAGGGGGCTGGGGAGGGGGCTAATTCCTGAATATATATATATAGAAAATAATAGACAGCTCAGAGGTTTTACCAAATTTCCCGCCTTCTGTTCTCATATCTTCCAAGATGTCTTCATATTCCTCATCATCTTTAAGTTCATCCGGATTAACAACTTGAGTCAGGCATACTACTTTAGTGGGAAGAGGTTGTAACATAAGTCTCTGCATAAATAAAAGGCGTCCATTAAGTAACCTATAAAAACTACCAAACTGGAAACAGAATAAGATAATTGGTTTAAAAATGGATGTGGACATAGATGTAATTGGGAAATTAAGACGATGCAATTTTCACCTGCAAGGCAATCTGCTGTTGTGCATGCAATAGTACATTCTCTTGCTCAGGCTTAGGTTGGTTAGCACCCTGGTTGGCACGCCTGACTGTGAGAGTTTTATCACCCATTTTGATTCCATTAAGGGCAGCGCAAGCTATGTCTGTAACTGAAAGATCTTGGTAAACACAAAATGCGTATCCTTTTGAGTTCCCAGTTTCTCTGTCTTTAACTAGATCAAAACCCCGTAGAGGCCCAAAAGATTCCAATAACTCTCTGATTTGTGCCTCTGTGAAGTAATAAGGAAGTCCACCGACAAATATGCGGTCTGGACCCTCGAGTCCACCAGCCGAGCCTGGGGTTAAACCAACTGCAGCCAGGTTCAGATTGGGATTGGGCTGGCTTGGACCAAGTGTTGCAGCAAGAGAAGGATTATAGTCACTAGGTCTCCTCACCTTGACAGGTGCCCCCTGGAATTTTTTTTTTTTTTTTTTTTTTTTTTTTTTTTTTTGGAGCGCAAGCTATGTCTGTAACTGAAAGATCTTGGTAAAACCACCGAAGATGCGTATCCTTTTGAGGTTCCCAGTTTCTCTGTCTTTAACTAGAATCCAAAACCCCGTAGAGGCCCAAAAGATTCCAATAACCTCTCTGATTTGTGCCTCTGTGAAGTAATAGGGAAGTGCCACCGACAAAATATGCGGTCTGGACCCTCGAGTTCCACAGCGAGCCTGGGTGGTTTAACCAACTGGCAGCCAGGTTCAGATTGGGATGGGGCTGGCTTGGACCAAGTGTTGCAGCTCAAAGAGGAGATTATTAGTCACTAGGTTCCTCACCTTGACAGGTGCCCCCTGGGAATTTTTTTTTTTTTTTTTTTTTTTTTTTTTTTTTTTTTTTTTTTTTTTTTTTTTTTTTTTTTTTTTGAGAGAGAAAAAACAATTCAATAGGTCAGTATCACATAACAGCAAATACCACACAGATCAGAGTATTGAGCTAATTAAGATCCAACAACAGCTTCAATTACCTCAAAAATAATCCCATCCAAAGCCATTGCATTACTGGCCTCCTCAACAGATCTCATCTCCACAAATGCAAACTTCTTTTCATGATTAATATAGACATTCACAACAGCATCACCAGGACCAGCAGTGTTTCCCCCAATTGCAGCCATAACTTGGCTAAAAAAGGTTGCTACGGACTGCAGAAGAAAATAATAGGTTACTATGAGAACTCATATAAACAACATCATACAAATCAAAAAAAAAAAAGGATAGCATATGAAACCTGTTCGTTAGCAGTAGGGGGAAGTCCTCCAACATATACCCGCCGAGCATGCCTGGTAGCCTGGTGCAACAATATATATTCAATTAGTGTTAATTAAAGAAGTTCTCATGGATGCATACTTCAATGAAAATGGATTAAAAGGGAAAATGTAATGCATGTTTAATCCTGCGAACCTGTTGTGTCATTGCTTGAACTGGCATAACAGGAAGAGCACCAAACTGCTGCAGGGCAACCAATGACCCAAAGTTACTAAAATTCAAAGATCCAGATAAATTACAAACTGCACAAAGGGGCAAGACATACCTGACCAGTTCCTAAAGGGAACATATTTGGAAACATTCCAGAAATAGCAGGATTTGTCCCAGGAATCTGACCTGCAGAAGGTAATTTGATTATAATTAGAACACAATCATAAATCAAAAGCATACTCTAATGCATTCAAGGTACCAAAACTGACCCCTGCAACATTTTCTAATAGAATAATTAAGTCCTAACTCTTACAATAATTTTATCAAAAGAGATGAAAGGAATACATCATTTATTCAAGTTCTGGTGGAAATATTTGCAAGACTACCAAAACAGGCAATAGTTGCCAGTTGAAGACGAACAAGAACCATCAAACCGGTGCACTGATTCCTCCTTGTACATAAAAGCTACAGAAGTCGGCTCACTCCCATAGTCAGCACAGTGGGGCAAGTAGCCCAACGTTGCCTTCTTACAACAAAAGATGGGAGACCAAAAACAAACAAACAAACACGAAACACAAGAAAAACCAAAAACTCTCTCAGTTCCAGAATTATTTCACCAAGCAATAAATAACAATAAGAGTATATACCCATTCAGATACCACAGCTTTAAGAAGCTATATATACATAATAAAAGAACAAAATACTGCTTACCAAAATGACATCATGTAATTGCTACGAACTTTCCACACTATATCACACAAAAACAAAGGCAGCAGTTAAAAAATATGACAATTTTTAAACTAATTAAGGAGGGTACAAGTACCTGCAGCAGCAGCTGCTGCAGCTGCACCAGCCAACATTGCAGATGGAGGAGGAGCCATATCAAAACCACTGATCCGTTTGCTGCAAGCAGAAATAGTTAGCATGTCAAGAGCAAACGCGAATAAATAAGTACACTGACATAAAAGTATCCTAAATTTAGGTAGCTACTGTAACAGCCCAGACTGACCAAGATATTGTCTACTTTGGGCCACAAGCCCGCACGGTTTTGTTCCTGGGCGCCGACACAAGGTAGGCCCATACCCTCCTTACACCCTGGCCAGACCACCCAAAAGGCCTCTTGACAGTCTAAAATCTGTTCTTACTTATATACATTACTTGCACCTTGCACTTAACCGATGTGGGATTCGCCTAAGGTGTTACATTAACCCCCTTCGGGACTCAGCGTCCTCGCTGAGGTTTGCCCCACCACCGGCCAGAGGAACAAGGAGGTTTGCCCCACCACCGGCCAGAGGAACAAGGCTTGGGCTCTGATACCAAGCTGTAACAGCCCAGACTGACCAAGATATTGTCCGCTTTAGGCCACAAGCCCGCACAGTTTTGTTCCTGGGTGCCAACACAAGATAGGCCTGTACCCTCCTTATGCCCTGGCCAGACCACCCAAAAGGCCTCTTGACAGTCTAAGGTCTGTCCATACTTATGTACATCACTTGCACCTTATACTTAACCAATATGGGATTCGCCTTAGGTGTTACAGCTACCATGCTCAACTCAAAGATAAAATGACTGTTGTCCTCAGCTGAAGAAAATCTTAATACCAAAGCATACCTCTTTGACCGTGAGCGGGAACGGGAGCGGGATTTGGATCTGCGCTCAGATTTACCCCTTGAAGGAGATCGTGATCGATGCCTATGTCTGTCTTCTTTGTCCCTATCGTAATCTCTCCGCCTGTGAATTTGACATTATCCAATAAATTAATGACAAATTTCATAACAGATGAATGAAATAAGAAGTAGAGCAGTATTCAGATATAGTTTCAAATGAGTAATGAATTTTAATCACCTGTCCCTGTCATAGTCTCGGCTTCGGTGATAATCATCGTCATCTCTATCTCTACCCCGTTCCCTCCTTTCACTCCGATCTCTGTCTCTGTGCCGATCACGATCTCTGTGGTGACGGTCACGGTCCTTTTCCCGATCTCTTTCCCTATCCCTGCTCTTCTCTCTACTCTTGTCCCTCTCACGATCCCTATCTCTGTCTCGATCCCTTTCCTTATCCCGCCCTTTCTCTCTTTCCTTTTCCCTACTTCTTGATGACTCTCTCTCATGCTCACGGGACCCATGCTGCAATGGAAACTTTTATTAACATGATTATAGAATACTAAAGAATACAGAATACAGATAAATCATAAAATCTGGGAAAGATAATAACAAAGGTACTCAATAGCATAACATGTATCTCTATATGAGGTTAACAATTAAAACTTAAAACAGGACTTCAGCAAAGTATGATGGAGTTAAACAAAACACTTCAAAATTACTTAGTTGGGAGAAAAGTGGAGAATTTGACCTATCTACTGATCACAAAGAAATGCAACTCTTTTGAAATCCCCTATTGTACATCTTTATATAGTGAAATTCAATACGATTGCTTCAAAGTGGGTATCATCACAGAGAGCAACATCAACCAATAATTAATTTATTAGAAGATGCAAAAAGAAAGCAGTTGCAGCGACTAAAAGTGGTGCACAGAACTGACCAAAAAGCTAGATCAGACCCAAAAACAATACCTCCTTGAGTTAACAAAATCACTTCCAAATCTTTCACAATCAATTGCAAGAAGAAAAAAAGGCCGTAAATAGTACACTCTTTTTTCAATTACAAACACTTTCTAGGCAATCCAATGTTCAAAACCCTAAATTAGTGCATAACTTCGAGCATACAGCTTAACATGATTTAATAAGAAAATTCACTCACAAATAACAAAATGGATACAAACAATTGTATATAGGTGAAAACCGTAAAATACCCTAGAAACTTCAAAAATGATTCCAGTCTGTCTCTTCCAAACAATTAGCCCAAAATAAAACAATATCGAAGTTTTTTCCTCATTAAAGCCATAACCGAAACAAGTGTAAATTCTCAATACCTGAGATTTGGAATCGCTGTGATCGTCGGCGCCGCCATGGCTATGGCTGCTAGCTCGAGGCTGGGGGGAGGAGCCACCACGAGCAGAGCCATAGTTATCGTGTTCGAAGTCCGCACCATTACCGTCGTAACTTCTTCCTTCGTAGTCAGTCATATTTGGATTAGATTGATATTATTATTATAATCACTATTATTATTCTCGCTGTGTCCTCTTTTCTGGCTCTGGTTCAGCTGTTTTATGGTCACTACCAGATTTAACCTGTGAGCTTGAGACCCAGAATCCAAAATCGAAGAAATTGGAGAATTCTAGGGCACGGAATTGGGTTCCCGTATTTATGCAAGGAATGGTGGTGCCTGGAAATCGTAATCTGGTAAAAATCAACAAATCATAGGGTATCATGGTAAAATCATCATAAACGGCATTGCAATTTGCATACCAATCTCTTCTACTGTCGGTTTGGCGGGTGCAGTAAAAAAAAGTGCTGCTTCTGTTAATTATATTTAGAAATTATTATTATTTATAAATAGTGTCTGTTGATTTCTTATTTTGGGCACAATGATCAATCACTTGAATAATATTAAAAGAAGAAAAATTATATTTCATTACGAAAATAAAATGTCTGATTACCATTTTAAAAATGTAATTGTAATTAAATTGATTGTTATTATCATAAATTACTTTAGCATTAGACCTACAAGTTAAAGACAAATTTAAAAAGAAAAAAAAAAATTAACCATGGGGTTAGTAACAGTCTGTTAGAATTCATGCTGCTAAGTTTATATCTGTCTTACATATTTAGAGTATAGTAAACATATAAAAATTATTACCATTAAACTTATTTTTTTCAAATTAATAACTTTACATAATTATTTTATTTATAATTATTCTAAAAATTTTTAATTAATATTTTTTATTTACATAAAATAATATATATCCTTAATAGACATTTTATATTTTAAATGAGCATAATTATTATTTTGCTCTCCACAAACATATTGAAAAATTAAGGCATAAGTTTCATTGCTATTGCTTTAAGAAAAAGAAAAAGGTTTTATCTCTATTTAAAGGTAAAAGGTGTAGGCTGAAATAGTTAAACAGAGACAATTATGCACAGACGTCAAATGTAAGAAATAAAATAGAGAAGCTTTATGTTACTCTCACAGTACCATATTCTAAAAATTAAATAAAAATAAAAAAAGAAACAAAATTTTCTCTTAACGGGCAAATCGGACTGTAAACTATCCATTGGTTTGAAACTCTCACTTATGAACTGCTTGGATATAGCCATATGAGTGTCAGGATCTCAGGGCGGCTTCCTTTTAACATCATCAGGTTTAGAACACATCTTGCCAGTTAGCAATATACCTCCCCAATGTACAACCAACAAGCGTCTTTCCGCACACTGCTAAATAGTATGAATTGATGAATGTTGTTGCCGCCCGATCCTGCTAATTAACAAAGCACTTTATGTTATGAACTCAGAGAAAGAAATCACAAGTTACGTCATGTTGGTAAAAATATGAATGAAAGTTAGATTATGGTATCAGATCTTCATATGCTGTCAAATCCAGAATTTTATACATAATGAAGTTAGTAAAAATTTCATCTGTACCTTGTAACTATTTCCTCATCCTCTAAACGTAAGGTGTGATACAAAATCATGAAGGCTTTCCATCACCACTCTTCAAGACCCATGCAGAAGCTTTGGATTCACAAAAATCAGTCATGACCTGGAAATTTAAAAAAAAAAAAAAAAAATCAGTCAAATTTTTACAGTCCACATTAGAAATAATGAGATAAAATCATCTTGTTTTATTAAATATTGAGATGTTTGCAACTAGTTTATACATTTTGTGGAGCAATGAAATATACAAATTTCCAAAGTTTATGTTAACTTGGTGCAATGTTTCAACATTATTCAATTCAATAGTGCTTTCCACAAATTTGTAATGCTTTGACAAAATTAAACCCCATCTACTCCCTACCAGAAAAAAGGTAAAAAAAGAAGAAGAAAGAAGGGAAGTCACTGAAATCCCTACCAGAAAAGAGGTAAAAAAAGAAGAAGAAAGAAGGGACGTCACTGAAATAAAAAATTCATTGTCCTGGGGTTTGAACTGATCAGATTCCAATATAGCAGATACCATTTAGTCCATCATTTATAGATGCTTAAGTCAGAAGCAGCTGATAAAACCATAAAAATAACATTTTTTTAATCCTTAAGGCCAGAATGAGAAAATATTAGCGAAAATTGCCTCATGAATTTTTTGCTAATCATCATGGGAGGAAGTAATTCTTCAGATAGGATTAAATAATAAAAGCAGGTAACCTACATGGATGAAGTTACCAGATTCGTGATGCATAAATAAGAGTTGCAACCAATGAACCATGAATATCTTTTTCAAGTTCCAGAATTCATAACCAAAATTAAGCCCTTTTCAGCCATATCCTAAATGAAAATAAAAATCCCTCAACCTAGGGCTGAGCATTATCTAATGAGGTTTGCACGTATGATTTTCCAAATCACAAGGTTTAAAAGGTTGAAACTTTAAAGCTAACCAAGAATATAAAATAAACCATTGCTTCACATCAAAGAGTTGAAGAATAAAATAAATAGGGGGGACTACCAATTCTGCTAATGCAGTTCTGTGTCACTGACCTTGGTATATTCAGTTGTGTTAATATCCCTCTTCAAAACAAGCTTGGCTGCTTCATAGACTTCAGACTTCTTAAGCTTTGCATTGGGACCCCTCGCCAATAGGAGATCAATTACAACTTTCCTGAAATGTAGGACCATGAGTCAGAAGAAAGGAGAATTGAAATTAACATTAATGTATTATAGTTGAGAAAAGGCTTGGGAAGACTACGATTACCTCAACACATCATATTGCGGGTGATCTGGAGATGACTTCAGAACATAAGAACCATGAATATTGGTTGCAACTTCACTTATGATTTCTTGAAGCTCCTCTAGAGGTGCATCAGCACCATCTGCTGCAAGTTTTGCAATCCTAGGATCTGCCTTTGGAAGAGTAGACTGAGAAACAGCCAAGTCCCGCAAACCTTGGCGAATCAATTCAAAGCTGCAACGAAATTGTCATCATCCCACAAAATTAGTGCAAAGAAAATTGCAAGACAAACTTTCACCAATTTGTGACAACAGTATGCTCAAGTTAACATTTGTTTAAAGGCCTCATGATCTAATATGTCCTCAATGCTCAACTTAACGTTTGCAATTTGTTTTCTTCTAAAGTTTCAATTTTATCCCAATTTACAAACTTAGTTGCACTTGTTTCCAAGCGAGAAGATCAAAATTGAAGTTGAAAAATAACATTATATACTTAAACAGAAAGAACGCTTTTTTAGAGGTCGTCTGAATTGGTGGAATTTAACCATTCCATGAATTTGTCAGATTCTTTTGTTTGGTTGAGAAAAAATAGATCACAATACATGAAATTTATAAATTTCATCAATGCCTCAATTCCACCATTTTGGAGAGAGAAATATTGTCTCAAAGGTGGGAATTTTCAATTCCATTGTTGCTTACTAATGATAGAATACTTAATTTGATTTCAAAAATACTCTCCAAATTCATGGATTTTGATATCTAAACAAGTGAGGGAATGTGAAATTCCATAATACATTGGTTTATATCCCATTGTTTTTATGAAATCCATGGATTTCTTATTCCATCAATCCAAATCACCACTTAATAATTTCCCCCTTTTCTCACTCTCCGGACCACGGTTCTCACCTTCAAAGGGAAAATCCTACAATTTCTCCCCATTTCTTTTCTCTCTCAACCAAAGAAACCCAATACAATAATGGTTGTTTCACATCTTCATTAATGTGGTGAAGTCTAGAGAGGAAATGGTGGAGACTGGAGAGAGCGAGAGTATAAGGATCTGTGTGTGAAAATGGAATTAGTAATTACAAAATTTAAAAAATGAAAAGCATACCTGCAAACCTTGTGAGTTTGAAGAACTTTTGGCAGGACCTTTAGTAAAGCTTCTCGACTTTCAGATGTTATAGTTGTTCTAATGGGCACTCTATTTACACTTGCACTTTTGGGTGCAATTTTGTGAGGATCGAGTTCTTTTGTAAGATTATGAGCCAAGGTGGGCTGTCGTTTATCATTTTGTTTTCCACCTTTACTTGAAGAAGAAAGAAAGCCGGTCAATTTTTTCTCTACTCCTTCCCAAATTACTACTTGCTTTTTAACAACTTCAGGGTGGAGTTTCATAAATGCTGCATCTGGTGACTCTTTAAACTTCCAATCCCTGAAGGAAGGCCTTTCAACAGCAAACAAATTGAGAAAGGCTCTGACAGGTTCTTTAAGCCTCGCGGGCAAGCTGGTAATTTGTGAAGTGCTGATCACCAAACTCTTGCTAAATAAAAGAAGAATATAATCTCTAGCAGGAGGTTTGTAAACTTCCTTTGAATCTGGAAACAGCAAAGCAGTCCTTGGAGCCCAAAGTCCCTGCACTAATTGTCCATGCTTCTGAACAACTGTTAAGACATCTTCAACAGTGTCCTCTGGAGCAAAGTGCTTAAGAACACTAAACCTTTGAACTGGAGGCCCCTATTAGAAATGAACACGGGTGTTATCAAAGAGGACAAAACAGAATTGGTAGCAGCTTTCAAAAATGACAAAAACTGCACCTCAAAAGAAAAAAAAAAAAAACATGCCTTTCCTATCAAAGTTTTAAATTCTTCCTTCAAAATACTAGAAACAAATGGCTGACAGTGAGAAAGAGACAAACTCAAACGCTTATACGACTTTAAAGGAATGCCAACATGGCGGAGAAGCATCTCTCAGTCGGGGTCCTCAGACATGTAATAGAATGAATTCTATTGGGATCTTTGAATGCATAAATATTCTCTCAGTTGTAGACCTAGAAGGAAACCTTTAGACATAAACAGAAACGTGAATCATAAACACACAACTCCTTAACGATATGCTAACCTAATGGTTATGTTTTTGTTGTAGGTTATTCCTTAAAAAAAAAAGTTTGTTGTATTAAATATTTTATCTCTTGATTGGTTTGCATGAATTATGAGCATGGCAAGGCTCATGTTTCACTATTTTACACTGTGAAGTGGCTTGCACATATATCTGGAATCACCTCTCACTTTAGCATTTTTGGAGAGTAGTGGATTAAGCCCAAAACCATTAGAGAGAGCTTTTGGTTTAAAATGGAAAGTGATTGGAAGCAGGAAAGGTGCCAATATGCTTTGGAATTGTGGTTTTGTCGCAATTACATGGAGTTGTTGGGTGGGGAGTAATGCATATATCTTCAAATATCAAAGCAATTTCATTATTGCGGGACAAGGTGGCTTTTCTAATTGGAGGGGTCTCTTTGAATGCTATCCAACTCTATTGGAGGGGTCTCTTTGAATGCTACCCAACTCTATTGGAGGCATTACTTTTTATCTTATGTTTTATGTTTCTTGTTGGTCATTTTTTGAGCTATAGGAAGATCTCTTGTCCTCAACAGTATTACATTCATTTCTTCCTTTCTTTCTTTCTTAACAATACTTGCTGTTCTCCAAACAAAATGCTCAACTCTTTGAAAGACAAACATCTTGATATATCCTAAGTCACTAACATGTCCAACTAGTTATGGTCAAACCTACTACATCACAAAGACATGTGCACACAAACACACAATATTCAGACAAGTGAAATTCATGCAACTCGACAACCATCATTACAAAATCAACAAAGGATGCACATCCATTGTCTTGAGTAAGCACAAACCTCTATAAGCAATTTCTTCATACGTTCTTCTAGTGGCAAAGACAGCAAAAATCTGAAAACATCAAATCACATCTTTAAAATCCTAAATGACAAACAAAACAGGTATGTGAAAACATAGTTATTAATGGGCGCCTTCACTTAGGCACAGCTGGGTTTATGCTGCCAAATTTTTTCCGATTTCTCTTTTACTTCATTCTCGTTTAATTAAACTCAACATCTTAAAAAATACAGGGCTATGCAGCCAAAATTTTTCTGATTTGCAAAATTGCAATAAAAAATAGAAAATATCATTTACAATAATAATTATTGTAATCTGGTATTAGAAGGAACTGATAATCATATTCTGTGGTTACTCAAGCAATTGAGGACGATTATTATTAATTTTGAGAACAATTAATTTAATGTTTATTATTTAGTAGGATGTAGGAACTAGGAACGAATGCAGAATTATAATTCTTGGCATTGGAGGAAGTTTTCATATTATTATTAACCCCAACATGCACCCCAACCCAAAACAAAAGAAAACATTGTCAATGAAGGTGGATCTGGTAGACTTCAAAGATGCATATTCATGCTGTATTTTGCATCTATGCATTTTTTAAGCATGAACAATAGGGAAAAAACATAATTGCAATTCAAAACACCTGTAAAATTAAATAAAAAAATAGCCAGTAATTGGAAGAGTGGAATAACCTTCTTGAAGGACCTTTAGATTTAGCATTGTTGGATGCCACAGGACACAATGAACTCATATAGTCGTACCTTCAAGTACCATAATGCAAAAATCAGCGTACTCAATGCTTCAGAAAGGTAAGCATAAGCTTAACACTCTTTCAAAAATGTTTTTGCTGAATAACTACTGCTTAGGTAAAAAATGATAAAGAAAATCATACGGGCTCATTGTAAACTCCATGGGAGAACCTTCTTCAGCCATCATTTTCTGCAGATAACTAGAAGAGAAATCACTTTTGGAGCCATGGTACTTGAGCGAAATCCAAGACTGGAACGAAAAAGAAAAAGAAAGGGAAAATACAGAATACAATCAATTCACTGTTTTCAGATAATTTAGTGAAAAGCACTAAAGAAATAATAAACCATAAAATTGGTTAAAATGGTAATAATATCCCATCATGAAACGTATCACTTACAGCTCTAAAATATAATTCACCTAAGTCAACTTCTGAAAATTACTACATTATTTCCTAACACAACTCTGATCCATTAAACTTCACAAACTCTTCAACAAATTCAATTTACTGGTTAACTTCAGGGAGAAAAATAAAAGAGAAAGAAAAATACTCCCCTATCCAGGAAGAAAAACTTCCAAAAGAACCATGGAACAACAGCTAAATAACACAAACAACAATGTGTTAACAACTAACATTCCTACAACAAAAATAAATTAATTTATACATATAAATTAAAAAATTAGATGTAAAACTCTTTTACCTTCTCGGCATCTGAAATTTGATCATTTGCTACCTCTGTCCGCTTGATCTGCACCAACACGCATAAAATAAATAACCCTAGGTACTCAGAACTATTAAGTACTAGACACAACTAAACCTTAATCAATCCAGATTATGAAAATGTTTAGAAAGTCTGAAGCTACTATATCCTTCTTCACTTTCCCCCTAAGTCATACAAGATTAAGTGCACAGATGTAAACTAGGCAGTTTTCTGTGCTTCACACGATTGTATAATATTTCATGATTTAAATATTATCATGTAGAACTAAAAATTCTTTTTCTAATTAAAGTGAAACATGATTCTTAAGTAACAGGTGAATTAAAATAAAAAGGCAAAAGGTTTATTCAAATTAAGATGGCTATGTCATCATTTTATTAGAACAAGGCACATGCAAAAAGGACATTAGTTGCAAATATTTATTTTTGATCAATTTCTGCCTTTGTTGATCCAAAATCCATATAATTAATACCTTTTTTCACCTGCAATATTAATATAGAACAAACTTAATCTTAAAATTTTATCACAAAATTAATTTGGCACATGCATATAATGACATTAGTTGCAAATCTTTATTTTGGTCAATTTTTGCCTTTGCTGATCCAAAATCCATATAATTAATATCTTTTTTCACGTGCAATATTAACACAGAACAAACTTAATATTAAAATTTTATCTCAAAATTAATTTTGTATAATTTTATCCCAAACATTCTTAACCTAACAATATTAAACTAATTGAGAATTTCAAACTATAAGGGAACTTCAAGAGCCATTGTGTTTAAAAGCCAATTAGAGAGTAATTTTGAAAGAGATATTAGGTGAGGATCCATAAAAGCCATAAATTAGATAGAGGTAAGGGAGACTTATTTTCTCTCCAAAATCTTTAAATTTTCCTAGCTAAGTTAAAACCAAATACTTAAATTTTAGAGAGTTTCAGTCTCCAAAGAGAGCGTCACTTCAGAGTCCATGATTCTCCTTTATATATATAATTGTGTTTAAAAGCCAGATTAGGAGAGTTAATTTTGAAAAGAGATATTAGGTGAGGATCCAATAAAAGCCCAAAATTATATAGAGGCTAAGGAGACTTATTTTTTCTCTCCAAAATCTTTTAAATTTTCCTTAGCTAAGTTAAACCAAATACTTAAAATTTTAGAGAGTTTTCAGTCTCCAAAGGAGAGGCGTCACTTCAGAGTCCATGATTCTCCTTTATATATATATATATATATATTATATATATATGCATAATATGGAAAAGCTGATTGCAGAATTTGAGAGTGTTGAAAGTGATGTTTCAATATCCATTTAGGCCCAGAAAGTGACATTCAGGCAGGCCAATATGCATAATATGGAAGCTGATTGCAGATTTTGAGAGTGTTGAAAGTGAGTTTCATATCCATTAGGCCCAGAAGTGACATTCAGGAGGCCATACAACAAATTACAGCATGTAATCATGGTTTTGGCAATTTGATTGAGGCTTTGTGCGTGTTGTAAGTTAGAGAAAGATAGAGAGAACCTGCTTCTTTGATGGACCAATAGGCTTCCCTTCACTAGAATCTCCAATCTTAACAGTAGGATCTATGTTAAAAGAGGCAATGTTCCTCCTTTTCAAGTCATTGGAATTAACATGTTCCAAAGATGGTCGAAGCTGCACCACTGCATGAATTGGATTCAGGTGTAGCTGCAAGATGATAAATAACCCAAAGCCTCTTAGAACGGGATATTTTTAACAGTAGTTGGAAATAATTTACAGCATTAAGCCGCACAATCATGATGGTAACTTCTTTTTCAAACAAGATTCAAAGCATGAATCAGAATCCGAACTTAATCGCAAGCTCTAATACATCTTTTTTTTTTTTTTTTAAATATTGAATTAAAACATATGCCATATCGGCGGAATTGGTAACATTAACAATTCCCTTCCTATGCTAGCTTAGGCCTTACCAGATACAAATGTTAAAGGATGTGCCTACGTGTGCAACATACATGTGTATCTGTGTGTGTAACTCTAAAGAGAAGAGAAGATTGCACAATGTGTTGCCACATCATTCAATTTCAGAATTTGATTCAACTGATTTCGAATTCATTAAATGTTAATAGCATTAGTCAATATTGGAAGTTGGATTTTTATTTTTCTTTTTTGTCATTAGCCTAAATTGATTGTCACCCGTTACAGTATGTTAAAACAGAAAATCAACAGAACAAGAATCATACCTTGTTACCAATCAGAACTCCAACTGCATAGCCAGTTGTACAAGATGGCATAAATGAAGATGACAGAGTCTAAGCAAATCCACGAAATATGATTATTAGATTATATTATAATAATAACATTATGGACATATACCAAGTCTTATATATATATAACCAGGTTACAAGAATATAAAGTACCTCAAAGGAATTCACAAAATCAATCAACTGAAACATTAATTAAATTTGATTGAAACAGAAACCCAACCACCACAGACAAATAATCATCATTGATTGTAGAGTAGAATAACAAAACAGATATTACTAGATTTTATACCTAAAATGTATCCCGATTACAAAAAAAATTTGAAACCCAACTAAGTAAAAAATGAATAATATTTGCAGCCTTAGAATCTCAAGGCACAAAGTTTAACTGTGATAGAACATACTTAGGCATCAACTATGGCTAGACTTGGACAATAAATATATCTTCATGGATCATAAAGACCCTATATCCACATTGGTTTCACCTTGACTATTACAAAACAAGGAAAAATTCCGAACAAATGGGCCTTTATTTGAAATGCAAAATTAGAGGCAAACCTGCTTTTTCAGATTGAGTTTACTGGCTTGAGCAGGATCCCAGTTGGTAGTCTCATCTATAGACAAATCAACCTGCACTTCCGTGCTTTGAGGTTTCACTCTAACCTACCAAAAAAAATATATTAAAAAAGAACAACCCTTTATGTCTCTCTTTCTCCTGGAAAGATAAGAACAAAGAAAAAATCTATTAAACCAAAATAATTACCTCCTCGCATTTTTCATCCAATTCGTATGGTCTCCAGCACGGCCTCAAAGGATATTGCATAACATATAACTGAACCCAATTTTTCCAGAAACAAGAACAACAAAATAAAAAATAGAATGGCATATACAAATGCAGTGAATATATCGAAAGAGAAACACAGAAGTTTTACCTGAGTGTCAGAATCGATGGAGGGCGTAAAGAAGACATCAATTTCACGAACAATCATATCCTCTTCTTCTTCTTCTTCCCCTCCTTCAGCTTCTTCTTCGTGTTTGTCTTCATCCATGGGATCATTCACCTTCGGCAGCGCCCTGACCTCCACCTTACCATCAATTTCCATTTTCACATGACCATTGTTGGAGACCGATGGTTCAGTCTTAGGTGCGGTTTCGATTTTAGGTTTAACTTCTTCCTCTCCTTCATTTTTCTTATCAGAGAATGCTTTTTGAGGTTCTACTTTCGGTACCGAAACCGATTCCTGTAGTTCTGGTTTTGCACTTGGCTCTGTTTTCACTTTTTCTTTTGGCTGGGGCTTGAATTTGGAGGATTTAGGCGCGAATTTAGATGTTCGTGAAGGAACCTGTTTCGGTCCGCCCAGTTCATCGAAGTCATCCAGGTCCATACTTCAGTATCTCCGGCGGTGGCGTATGTTTCACACTCTCACGGATGCTCCGGTGACTGAAGTGAAGAGGCTTGGTCTAGTGGGGCTGTTGGCTTTCGCTCAATGCCAAGAGAAAATAAAATATATATTTCACGAGTCATTTTGGTTGGATGATGAGGGGGCCAAGCGGTGTCATTTAGAGAAACTAACTGGGTTAAGAATGGGCCTGTGGTGTGGATCTAGAACTAAAGGTCTTTAAGGTTTTGGGCCGAACTAGATTGGACTTGATCTCAAGCCCGACAAGAAAACTTTTTAGCCTGATAGAAAAAATAAATTATACAATTCGATAAGAAAAACTTTCCTCTACAGCAAAAGGGTGTTTGTTCTTTTAAATTTAAAAAAATTTACAATTTATAGATTTGGTTCGACTCGAGTCCCTCGACTCAACTCAACTCAACTCCACATATAACTTTCTCTGAAAGTATCAAAAGTTTTCATGTTATAAGTTTACACCATCATTTTCTACTCAAATCCACAAAAAAAAAAAAAGTTTATTGGACTATCATTTTCCTTTTGATTTATAAATAAAATCAGTAGTTTATATTATCACACATAAACCCTAATATTATATATAGTTCTTTAAATAATGCAATGATAACATGCAAGAAAGGTTGTTCTTGAACCTTCATCTGCCGAGCTAAAGGCCTGCAACCGTGTCTTTAATATTCATTATGGATTTTAATAGCAATAATTATTAAAATTTTATAAATATTTATCGATTAACCACTATCGATCATCAACAATTAAAAATATTTCAACAATCACGGCTGACTAATCTTTTTTTTTTTTAATAATTAGCACAAACAACTAATTAAATTGGTCCTTATAACTCTTCATTAAGATATTTTTCCTAATGCTTACATGATAATGATAATAATGATGACGAAGACAAAAGACACATATGATTAATTGTACCTTCTATTTGAACAACTTATGAACATTCTATACTAAACTGAAGATCACTTTCAAGCCAGTCGTGTCCAGCAAACCCTAATTGACTCGAAAAACATCACAAGATTGGTAAATTTGTGGTAATTGGGATTTTGGCCAAGTGGCAGAAGAAGTCATTCACTTAATCATAGAAAATTTGACTATATTTATTAATAATTGTGCTTTATTAATTAATAGCTTCTTTCTCCATTAAATACAGTCAACTAATCCGAAATTTAGAATGCACTTTGCACCTTAGAGGTTTGGTAAAATGTAAACTTCAATGACAACCCTAATGATTATTCATTATATTTTAGGATAATAATTTTTTTTTTATAATCAGGAGGTATAATCTACTTCTGACCGTGGAGTGTAGATATTTTTAACTCTCTCAGTAAAGTGTGATTCCTAAGAATCAAATTTGTATTTTCATATTTACAGAAAATTGAGTTTACTTAGCACGCAAACCAACTCTTGTTGATAAATGAATATACTCTTTAATTTAGTATATATAGTTTAGATAATAATACGATGTTTTTTTTTTAAATTCAGACCAAAAGCAAATTTGATAAATAAAGTTCATTTGAAGGTGCATTATAATTTTTTTTTTTTTTTTCTGATCCAACCACGAATCTATTATTATACGCACACTTTATAACTTAATAAAGATGAGAAGAATCAGACCTATTGTGTGCTTAGCAATATCTCGTGGCCCCCCCTTTTGAACAATTGTCACGTGCTCCACTATAAATATACTGCAGCAGCAGTATTGCCAGAGATCATGCACTTCACTCGTATCAAAAAACTTTTTTTTCTAAAGGCATCTGGGGTTTCATGTTCTAATTCCTGCCTTTACAGAAAAATTGTAGACTATGTAAGGATGCTTGTAAAGTTAAAGCTTATCTTATATCCAATGTTTTATTTTTAGATATTCTACCATTATATAAATATATATTCCTGCCTTTACAGAAAATTGTAGACTATGTAAGGATGCTTGCTAAAGTTTAAAGCTTATCTTATATCCAATGTTTTTATTTTTAGATATTTCTACCATTAAAAATATATATATATATATATATATAGTATATATATATATTTAGCTAACTTATATATATTTAGCTAACTTGAATTATGTAATTCAATTTAAGCCTTGTGTTACAATTTTAATAATAGATATTGAATGGTTTTTTGTTTTTTTGAAAGAATAAACTTTTATTTATTATTAGAATCTAAAATAAGAAGACTTCAACATGAAAAGGAAACTCGAACCAAATATAAATATCAGCATACGAACAAGATACCCTAATTAAAGGGTAAACGTTTTGTTTTCTAATCTTTTAACACAACTAACAGTCATATCAAATACTTTAGGTCATATTTGGTAACAGTTTTTAATGTAGTATTGTTAAAATACATTTCTATTATTAATAGTGTTTCATAGTGTAACGTTTATATTACTGTTTAAAGTTCGAGGGAGTGAATTATAAAATATTATTCCCTTTAATATTTGATAAAACGCTAGTTAAACAACTAATAACTATTAGAATAGCCGACAATTACTAAAACAATCAATTTTACCAAACATGTCAGGGAAACAAATTGATATTATACCGGTGCTTGTTTGTCCCTGTCAATGTCTTGCAAGAAAAGAGGGATGGAATCAACTTTTAGAAGATGAAAGTTAAAAGATGGATACTTGCACAGCATAGGTTAGATATTCACCTCTCCTCAGCTCTTTTCTTTATCGTCTAAAGTGGGAGAGAAAGGACTGAAAGAATGACAAGTCATTGACTTGTATTTTTCTATTTAGCCAGTAAGTAATTGTGGAAGGAATTGGCAATTTCATGTCTTGGTCCCTAACAAAGAGGCAGGCCCCGCTGCCTCAACTCTTTTTCCAGACCCGTTTATGGTGGTACTGCCCATTTCTTTCTTGTACTTCAGCAAATGGCAGAACCAGAAATTATAGTTAAGTACAGACAATAAGAGTTAATTATTAAAAAATCTTTGAAATTTCCATATTTATTTATAATGTATAATGGATAATTTACCATTTAATTCATAAGTTTTGTTCAAAATTATTATCACACGTTCTACTGTGTAGCGAAATTATTAATTTTTCCCTATGATTTACCCATTAAAATAAAGCAAGATCACATCAGGAATAATAAAATCCATTATAATCTAAATTACAATGCGATTGACATAGCTTAAAGAATAATTTTTTATTTTCAACGTGTTTATACGAAATTTAATATAGAATACGATAAAAAGTCATTTTACACGTTCCTTATATTGAAGTTCGAATTATTTTTTATTAATAAATTAATATGTATGCGTGATGGTATGTATCGGTATTAAATTGAGAAATGACAGATGAAATTAACCCAGTACTTCACCTAATAATTTTATCGATATTCTAAGTTAAAATTCAAATAACTAGAGATTCTAATTAATTTTAATGGTTAATTTGGTATTTCTGACAACTCAAAGCCAAATCTATACCTATGAGTGCATGCCATTTATGGTGGATCAATCGGAAAAATAAATGAGAGGTAGAGGACAATAGATATCCAAAATGTTATTCGTACAACCTTCTTTAGCTATAACTATATACATATAAAAGTGTTCTATCATTCTGCTAATTAATGATTCAAAAGGCAAAACGACAGTCAATGTTAAAAAATCTTATTCATATTAGTTATTAATTCAAACATTTTTATGGTGAGATTCTTTATTAATGATAGAAAAAGATGAGATCCCATATTAAGAAAAAAAACAACTCTAAATATGCATTTATGGTGAATTTGGTTGGAGCCGCGTGAGCAAGATTAAGTTTCGGCTAATGGGTTAGGAACACGCGTGTTATGAATAAAAAAAAAAAAAAAAGAAATGTTAACCTAAAAAAAAAAAAAAAAAAAAAAAAAAAAAAAGAAATGTTAACCTCAACGACTTTAATTATAATTTTTTTTTTTGTTGAAGCAAATACTCAAATAAAAAAAAATAAAAATTGATACACTAATATGAGACTCTCAATTCCTACATCCCTATAGAAAATGAGACCACCAATTGGAAATAAATAAATTCTTATTATTTAGAGTCAAAATAAACTTTGAATATTTCCAAAATTATTAGACAATTTCAGATTAATTAAAGTTGACTTAATTGATAAAATAAATTCAAAAATAGAAGTTATGCATGGATTCAGAATTCATATTTCTTTTCCCTAAAACTGAAGGAAGACAAAGTTCTTAACACTCGCAAAAATAAAAATAAAAATAAAAATAAAAATATTAACTGAGGGACCCATATGATATAATGCATTGTTTGAAAAAAAAAATAATAATAAAGAAGAGGAGAGGCATGCCAAGTCAATGCAAGTGAATCACCAGAAAAATGCATGCCGGCTTTTTGGTTGTATCTTAGAGCCGTATCGTCATTTGCTTAAAAATAATCAAGGATTAGAAAAATTAAACAATAATTTAAACACATTATTATAAGAAGATGATCTACTTTGTCCATAAAGATTAAAGAAAGCTGCTAATTTGGGTCCATCAGTATTTACAGACTCTTTTTCTTTTTTTTTTTTTTTTTTTTTTTTTTTTTTTTTTTTTTTTTTTTTTTTTTCTTTTTTTTTTTTAAGGTAGGAAATGGCTTCACTGCAAGATATGTACTTTAAGATAAATTATTCTTAATAATTAATAATAATAATAATAATCTAGATGTATAAATCCTAATTTTACAGAATAAAATTCAATCGAGATATAAGTATTTTCCCAACTCTATAATTTATTTTAATTGGTTTAATTATAAAGCTAAACTTTTATTTATCTAATCTTACTATTTTATGTTTTAGGTCAATTTAAGATAACATAGATTTATTAAGCCATTGCTATTATGAGGTGTTATGGAGCTATACCCAATTCATTTTTTTTTATTTTTTTTTTTTTTTTTTTTTTTTTTTTTTTTTTTTAAGGTAGGATGGCTTCACTGAAGATAGTATTTAAGTAAAATATCTTAATAATAATAATAATAATAATAATTTTAGATGTTAAATTCCTAATTTTACAGATAAAATTCAATCGGATATAAGTATTTTCCAACTCTAAATTTATTTTAATTGTTTAATTATAAAGTAATTTATTATCTATCTACTATTTTTATGTTAGGTCCAATTAAGAATACATAGATTTATAAAGCCATTGCTATTAGATGGTTTATTTTTGGAGCTATACCAAATTCATTTTTTTTTATTCAATTAAAAAATAAATTTCATTTGTACATCAAATTAACACGTGGAATCATTTAATAAAAGCATTGTATAATTTTTAGCAATAAAAATTCAAACTAAGTCATTTAATTGATAATATAGTAAATAAGTACTTGACTTATAAACTATAATGATAGAAGGTTAGGGCTTACCAAGCATTGTTTATACAAATATTTTCCTTAAAAAATTATCATTTCTTTACATATGTAAATAGTCAACATACCAACAACTAAATATTAATCATTAAATTGACATTTAATGGTTGAGACATCAATAACTAATGATAATAAAATATGTAATTACTATACGTAATTGTGTTTTTTACTAAACACACAAGACCAATTAGCCAATAATTTAGATATAATTGTAAATATTTTTTGAATATCACTCTGATCTAATTTGAAAAATACATATACAATATTTAAATAGTAGTTTTCAGCAGCACAACTGAGATAGTAATGAGTCCTCTGTCTTACTGGAATAGAGTAATAGAGGTTTTGAGAATTCAAGAAAAAGTTATGGCTAGAAAAACCGTTTACTATGACAATAGGTTTCAACTGGAAGTACAGTGATGTATGCAGCTGAGGCATCTTAATAGATCGGTAGTGTTATGTTGGATAAATATAAAGAAAACACATGACATAGTTAAATATATGCATTTATAGGGATAATTTTGATAAAAATGATAAATTGAATATTTATAATTATATAGATATACTTGTTCGAGCATTTATCGTAAGTAATCACTTTTATAACCGAATTCAAACTTGATTATTTTTAACTGAGCCGAATTCGAACTCATTTTGAACTCGATTTGCTTATAACTCTAAATTATATAAAAAATATTAAAATTAGAAAAAGTGAAAAATGATTGTTCAATTTTCTCAAAAATAAAAATTGTTCAAACTCATCTAATGATTCTTTCAAGAGGCAATAGCCCCAAAAATAAGAATGAGATCATTTGGATAGACACAACCTTCTTTTTCCCAAACCTAAGACTTATGTTTTCTTTTTTGTAACTTTTTCTCTAATCCTCAAAAGCATAAGATTAAGAATTAAGAACTAAACAAGAAAAGAAACTAAAAAAGCAAAGCCACATGGCTTTTCATTTATCCAACGTCTAATGAATATCACACCTCATGTTTGGGCACTGTTCTCTATTTTGGTGGTTGAGGAAATAATAATTTTATACTACCACTGTAACAAAGGCATCAATCATACATGCTCAACTTCACTAATCACTTACACGTGTCAAAATCAGACTGGCTAAACATGTAAAAAGTCTCAAAATCAACGTAAAAGTACTTTGACTTTCAATTTAATGAAAAAAAAAAATCGTGCTAGTAACTCATAAATAAGACATTTGGACTATTGTACAAGTTGTTAGAGTTCAACTCCTTACAAGCTTTCTTCTTGTCCTAAGCAAGCAAACAAACAAACAAGAAAACGAATTCAAACGCTTCACTAAACGACAATGCAGAAAATAGCGTCGTTATATGAAACTCCGTGTCCGAAAACGACAAGTGCACGGTAAATCCTCTTGATTGTAATTGAAAACTTGGACAAGAAGCCAAACTATTTAATTAAGATTTAACCCTTTTGATTAGAAATACTAACCAAAACCACTTATCTTAATTTTTTTTTAATCTTCTTTTTTTATATTCTCTGAAAAGTAAGAGCGAAGACCAAAGACTTTGCCTTTCTCTCTCTCCAAAAAGCTTTCACACGAAGTCTCTCTGTCTCTCTTACTCTGTTTTTCTTTCTTTTAAGCAGTCTTTATAGTTCTACTGCTTATTTCTGATTTGGTTTTTGGGTTTTTTCACTGTTCTTGATTCTCTGGGCATTTGTTTATTCAGTAGTTGACCTTTGGATCGACCGGCGATCAGATTTCCGGTTACTGAGTTTTGAATAGTGATTCTGAGCTGAGAACTGGAGTTTGCAGTCTTTGGGTTTAATGATTGGGTTAATGTGAGTTTTTGGGTCAGGTACTCATAAGAGCTGGTAGGTGGGTTAAAAAAAATAAAAAAGGATATTGACCGGTAGCTGAGACAGAGAAAGAGACTAAGAGAGGGAGAGCTCTTAAACGAAACCCTAGAACAAAAAAGAGGAACTTTGTCTCCAAAAGCTTCATTGAAATTCTCCAAGATAAATTTTTTTTTTTGTCCAGTAGCTTCTTCTTTTGACATAGATTTCTTTTTTTTCTTTTTTTAACTTTTTCATCTATTTTGTCCACTAGCTTCTGATCTAGTAATTTCATTTTCGATTTCTTGCACTCATGCCGGTCGATTTAGATAATTCCTCTACAGCTTCCGGTGAAGCTAGCGTCTCTTCCTCTGGCAACCAGCCCCCGCCGCCCAAATCCACCGCCACCGGCAAGAAAAAACGGAATCTTCCTGGAATGCCAGGTAATATAAAGGAACAGGAAGATATAAATATTGAGGTTTCCATAGTTTTGTTTTTCTTGCTTTAATTTTAAAAATTTTATTGCAGATCCGGATGCAGAGGTGATTGCTTTGTCTCCTAAAACCCTTTTGGCCACGAACCGATTTGTGTGTGAAATTTGCAATAAGGGGTTTCAAAGGGACCAGAATTTGCAGCTTCATCGCCGAGGCCACAATCTACCGTGGAAGTTGAGACAGAGATCGAGTAAGGAAGTAAAGAAGAGAGTTTATGTTTGTCCTGAGCCGACTTGTGTTCATCACGATCCATCTAGAGCTTTAGGCGATCTTACAGGGATAAAGAAGCATTTTTGCAGGAAACACGGCGAGAAGAAGTGGAAATGCGATAAGTGTTCGAAGAAATATGCAGTTCAGTCTGATTGGAAAGCTCACTCCAAAATTTGTGGCACTAGGGAATATAAATGCGATTGTGGAACTCTTTTTTCAAGGTTTTTGTTAGTTGATTTTGGATTTGATTGTCAATTTTTTGAATTGGGTATCGAAATTTCAAGAAATTTTTGTTATTGTTTTGAAGGAGGGATAGCTTCATCACACATAGAGCCTTTTGTGATGCTTTAGCGGAGGAGAGCGCCAGAGCCACTCAGACTCCTAATCCAAATCCGGCTGCCGTGAACCTGAATCCAAATCAAGAATCCGAACCTAAGGTACAAGTTGACCCATCTCCGCCGCCGCCGCCGCCTCCTCCACTAGCACCTGTAGCTGCAGCCCCTGCTCCTCCAGCTCAGTCAGCTGGTGTAATATCTTCCTCTATTTCGCCTAATCATAGTCCAGGTAAATTATATTTCGCTTGGCGCCAAATTTGGAAAGTTCCCAAATTTTCAGTTTGAATATTTGTCGGTTGTGATTTTTGGCTTAATAATCAAGAAATCTTTGTTCTTTGTCCCTCTCTTTCTTTAGATCTTGGAGTCTAGTAGTTTTTGTCTGTTATAGATCTTTGTTTTTTCTTAAGTTATTATAAATAGCACAGTATGTTTTGGTTGTAGTAGAGCTAAAGGAAGCAAGAAAATAAACCTTTCTTCCAAACTATGAGATTCAGTTAGCACAATCTTGATAAAGAATACAAATGAATCAAAAGCTAAAAAAGGAAGAGGAGTGGATTTAGTCTATAGAAAAGGAACCATTATTGAATCTTGCTTTTTTGTCTAAAGTTCTACATAAAGAAAAGCCCAACTTTCCATGACTGTATGTTTAAGTGACCCTTTTTATTTTTCTCTTTCCCCTCGTTTGCTTTACTAATGCAGAGTTGCCAGATAATCCCTCTCCAATTATAGAAGAAGCGCTGGCGCCCCAATCCGCATTGGCTACTGCAGGATTAAATGGTAGCTCTAGCAGCAGCACCAGCTCAAGCAGCAATGGTAGCACCAGCAGCAGTGTCTTTGCTAGTTTATTTGCTTCATCAACTGCGTCTGGAAGCATACAGCCTCCTCAAACTCCTGCATTTACTGACCTAATTCGAGCTATGGCTCACCCTGATCGTCCAGCCGACCTTGCTCCACCATCATCTACTGAACCCATTTCTCTCTGTCTCTCCACCAGTCATGGATCATCAATATTTGGTACTGCAGGGCAAGAGCGCAGGCAATATGCGCCTCCACCTCAACCAGCAATGTCTGCCACTGCACTATTACAAAAAGCAGCCCAAATAGGAGCCGCTGCTACAAATGCATCATTACTTCGTGGATTTGGAATTGTATCTTCTTCATCATCTGCTCAGCAAGACAATATGCAATGGGGCCATAGGCAAATTGAGCCTGAGAATACCTCAGTCACTGCAGGGCTGGGACTTGGTTTACCTTGTGATGGAGGTTCTGGGTTAAAGGAATTGATGATGGGAACTCCCTCTGTTTTTGGTCCTAAGCAAACAACCCTTGATTTCCTTGGATTGGGTATGGCTGCTGGTGGAAGCCCTAGTAGTGGTTTGTCAGCTCTAATTACTTCTATTGGTAGTGGCATGGATGTGGCTGCCGCAGCAGCTTCTTTTGGAGGCGGAGAATATTCTGGCAAAGACCTGGGAAGGAGCTCATGACCTTGTCAAGGAAAGAACTACTATTTCCCCATTTTGACTTGGGGAATTAAGAGGGACATTGTATAGAGTAATTGGTTTAGGGCAATTGTTTTAGAAGCAGCAGCAAGGATAAAGATAGAACTTTGCATAAAAAATTTTGCCCTAATGGAGCTGGAGGTAAGCATCAGGTCGTCAAGAGCAGTTGGCTCTCTTAAAATTGCTGTTCTTCCTCCTTGATGCTGCCTGTTGTGATACACCAAAAAAAGAAAAAATAAAGTTAAAAAAAAAAAAAAAATCCCAAGCTCCCTTCAATCCTTATTTATGAATTGGGGGCTTAAGTTATTCAGTATACTTGAACTGAAGTCTGAGGCCATTTAAGCTTTAAAAAAATTTGCAGCTAGTTGATTCCATGTCTGATCGATGTGGTCATCCATTTCTGCTCTAAGGTTATTGAGATAAAATCATCGGAGGAGACTTCTCATGGAAGGATAAAGTTATAAACTGTACAAATTTGTTTCTGTGAGGTGACAATCAGACATGGACTAGGCATCGTGCAATTTGTTGCTGATAGATGTATTTAAGTTTATCCTGTAATTGTTTATATTTAGATTTTGCTTCTGCAATTCTGTTTCTATGAATGAAATCTAAAGTTATTGTAAGATTCGGAATTTTTGTAGGATCTATTTTTCTGTCTTTGGGTTTTGAGATTGGTTCATGATGGAGACATGAATATCACAATATGAATTGATTGGAGAAGACTAGTAAATATAAAAGATCTGTGCCAGAACAGTGAGTAATGTATTAACCCTGCATATTATAGAAGGATAATGAGGGAGAGAAAAGAAAGAGAAAAAGAAGAACCTGCAACTTAAAGTTCTAACAGCAAATGATTGAAGAGTTATTATTACTTGAAAAAAGTGGGAGAAAGTGATTGATTTTTATTTTTTAATTTTTGCTCCTTTTCATTTGAAAGAAAGACATCAACCAGTGCAGGATCACATCTTTCTGCAACTAAGACCTTGTAAATTTCTTCTCAATTGTCAATACATCATACGCACACGGATTCTATGGTGTCTCCTCCCCAGAAAATAATCGAGATTCCTTACATTTTCTTCTTTTTTATTTCGACATGAGACAAGGAAAGATTCTTGGATTCAAATTCAATAATCTATTATATTTCTTTTCGTGTACATTTAGCCATTCTGCAGAATCTCCACCTCCTCCTATGTTTATTTTATTTTTTCAGTATCAAGAGAGAAGAACTTCAAGTTTTTGGAAATTTTTTTCATAAAATAGACGCTTGATTAACTCATTGCTAAATGCAATTATTGGATATAAATTTTCTTTCGAAAGACTAGAAACTAGAATTAAAAAATTTATAATTCATATAATAGGAAAATTGATACCCTGTTGAATTAAAACTCTTACAAAACGATTAATTATATCAACACGCTATGCTATCAGTAAAATTGAATACTTTCTCATATGAAATTTATTTAAAAGATCATGTTGTTAAAGAAAATTTTATCTGAATACCACCTCATCCAAACAAAGAAACAAGGAAACATGCATGCAGGAAAAAAAATCCTTCAAAGTCAAAAGCTCTTGCAATGTCTCCTGCCATTAAATTCAACGGCAGTAGTAATAGCGGTGTTGGTTTTGCTCACCATGCAAATAATAAGGGTCTACTCTGTTTTAGGATAAGCCCCCTGTTTTTTATAGCCAGGTTGATGGAGGTTGAGTCATAATTCCCAAATTCAGGAGTGGACCACAGAAAAGAAAAAAAAAAAAAAAAAGATTGCAATTTTTGAGGTTAATATAACTTTATTTTTATGGTAAATTAATTTCAATTAATAGCTGAAAAATTACAAAAATGTGAATTTGAATGGTGGTGGTTGGGTAGATCTTGAATACTATCATGTAAGTTTGACCAAAAGGGCAATCATCTCTCGTGAAGCCTAAGAAGTAAGAACAGTACATGAACAAAGGAATTAATAATTAATATGAACAAACAGCTGTTTTTGTTTTTTTTATCTACAATTAGATGGAAAGAATATATCTTTCAATAGTAATCCAAAATCCAAATGTCTAATCTCTCCTTGTCTTTTCCTATTGTCGTTTTCTACTACCTTAGATGTCTCCAAGAAATTTTTATTTTTTCCTTGCTAATTTTAGCTGTTTTCCTATTTGCTTGTGGCTGTATGTTTCTTTCAAATTCTAATGGTTTTATGCACATGACTTCGCATATACAAACAATATTATTGACATAATTTAAAAATTTACATTACGCATGTTGGAAAATGACTTTTCAACTTTTATTATTTATAATATTCCATTGTATAGTATTTATATCACTATTTAGAGTTTTAAAAGTATTCAATTGCATAATTTAATGTTTATATTGCTATTTAGAGTTTTAGGAAGCGGATTGCAAAATCTTTATATTGCTATTTAGAGTTAAGCCAATTGCATTGTGCTTATATTGCTATTTAGAATTTCAGAAAGTGGATTATAAAATATTAGTTTTATATATATATATATATATATATATATATATATCACTTTAATTTTAAATAGATTAGTATATAACATTGGCCGCATAATCAATTGCCCCATACAACTACGGCATAAAATTTTTTGTGGCCTCTTCTACTTTTGAAATGACCTTGGTACCATATCACTTTAATTTTAAATAGATTAGTATATAACATTGGCCGCATACATAAATTGCCCCATAAACTTACGCATAAAATTTTTGTGGCCTCTTATACTTTTGAAATGACCTTGTAACCCCCTAAACTTGATTTTTTATAATATATATACATTTAGCGACGTCATAAAATGTAATATTAAGCAAGTTAATTAGTTTAAAGGTTTTCAATCCTCCTAGTAAAATGCGGATTTCAAAAATAAAATTGTGTTCTTGCTGTCTTTATAAAAATTGAAATTATTTACTGTTCCAATCAGATGAATTCTTTTTAAAGTGTAAAGTTAGAAAAATAAATAAGTTAGCAAAATGTTAATTTAAGGTGATACTGATGGGACACATTTAATTATATAGGGATGTAATAGTATAAGGTTGTCCTACAAAACAAGAAACCAAAGGCCATGATGCCTTCGCTACTTTCTTAACTTGCTGCATAGCATTAATATCCAGCCATTGGTTTATGGCTTTTATAGGCCCACTGTCCTTGCAAAGTATGTTTCTTGTGCCTAATTTTGTTGATTTTAGTTGACAAAAATACATATCATCTTCTTAGTATTCATGTCTTATATCTAAATCCAGTTTCTTTGATCATCATGTTTACCTTAATTTTGTCTTAGTCCTTGTCAAACTGTGGAACAACATGTCTCAAAAGGTCAGATTTTGAGACATTACATTCATACCTAAATTTCCTTTAGTTTGAAAATAAGCAAATTCTTGGAATTTAAGGTGTGGAAGCAACTTCTTCTTTGTAATATTGCAATAAGCACAATGCCTCAATCATGGTCCCACAATTTATGGTCTACAAAATGATATTGATAAGGTAGCTTTCATAACCAAACAATGTTTCTAATCAAACAAGTTTTCCCTGTTAAGTCTATTAGGCTCCAGCTGTGTCTGACTCAAATAATGCAGGCTCATACAGGGAGCCACTCTTTTAGAGCCGTAGTTTCGTATCCAAAGCTTGAACACGAGACACTTGATTAAAAGAAAAGGATTGTCGATCACTTCATCTCAATCAATATTAGTGGATGAAAGAGTTCGTTTCTCCACTAGACATTTTTTAATATCAAGCGTGATAATTGCAAATTTATATTCTTTTCCTGTCACACAAACACAGCATTATATATCAAGAAAACAAAAGTAAAATCAATAATTAAAGATTTGTGCTATTTGCACATTGGCAGTATTAAAGAATATGATTAAGTTCAGGGTATCCAATTCAAGAATTGATGTGCAGAAGCATGGGAAAGAATCAAGAAGAGGTCCACGAAACATTAGGTGCCTAACTTTTGATGGACAGATTACTTCTAACTTCCCAAAATACGGCGAATCAGACATCAACTCTATCTTTCCAATTCAGCATTTTCTGCAACTGAAGTACAATATCAAAAATCCCTTCAACACCTGCTTTCTGATGATAGTGCCCCTCTCCGAATTAGAACTGTTCATTTCTTGAAAATAGACATTTTTTGACATCCTTAATTATATCACATCTTTCAAATCATACAATGGTCGATTTAGATAGATTGTTATTTCAAATGAACATAAATTGGCTGTGTTTCACGTGTAGAATTGTATATATATAATTGATATAAGTAACGAAATTTTGGATATAATTAAAATTTGTAATGACACGTCACAATATTTTTTTATATCTTTAATTTACTCTTGGTTTGCACGCTTGTTTTCATATTCAGACATTAGGTAAAACTCTTACGATAATCAAACTCATTTAGGGATGCAGTTCTCTTGCTTTAATATAATCCCACGTTGATTTTCGTCCTTTTAATTTAATATATTATAGATTTAAAAAATTTATGAAAAAAAAAAAAAAGATTTTTCTTTATAGTCATGTGGCCATATATTGCCAACCCCAATCAATAACCATGATCTATAATGAACACATGAACACGACAATGGCCCAAACCCAATTTTGTAGTCCTGAAAATGGGTTAAAAATAATTGGGCTTAACAATAAATAAGGCCCAATTGCTGAAAACAAAGCTTCCACAAAAGGAGTTGCCCCTTCATGATATCAAAGAGTCCAAACTTGTTTATGGGTGATAAAGGCTCAGCCCATCGCCTTCCAAACCTAATGCCCCTAAATTTCTGACCAAGCATACAGTAGTGGCTCACAGCCCGTCTCTTTAATTGTGGAACAACGACCTCCCACAACTTGACATTTGTTATTCTGTCATAGATCAAGTCACAAACAAACGTCACAAGCCGTTTGTTTAACCTGATAAAAACAGCAATTTTTACTTATTAATTAATATTGAAATCATTTTAAAATTAAAACCATAATTATAAATATAACAAAAAAAGTTCAATTTATCAAAAAAAAGAAAAAAAAAAGGAACAAGTACAATGATAAGTGAAACATATTTGAATCTTAGACTTTTATTGTTTAGTCTTTCGATATTTGACTTTAATTCACAAGTAAAATTTTCTATTGTTATATTAAAAAATAACTCTTAATATTTCATTTTATTAACTATTTTGTTTTGATTATTTACTAAAAATATTTTTATAACTTTCTACTGTTTGAGATACTAAAAGGTAAATAAGTCAAAAGAAAATAATAAATGGAAAATAAATTTCAACGAAAGTGCAAGTTAATATCAATAAATATGATATTAAAGTAGCCTTTCCATACATATTAAATTACTATATTAATGATGTGTCATTTAGAAAACGGAATCAATTAATAATAAATAAATAGTAACAAATTTCCATTTTGTAAAGTTGTTAAATTTCTATTATAATTAATAAATAAAATTAGTTATTTTAATAATTTATTTAAAAATATTTTATATAGAAAACTGTTTTAAATCTTTTTTATCACATTAAGCACATAAATTTTAAAACTAGTAAATTATTAATTAAATTATTTTTATTTTTCTTTATTCACCGTATGAGTGAAATTTGAATTTTTTTAAGTTTTCTGGCACATTTTTATAATGAGATTGCGTCAATAATAATTTTTAGATTAGTTTTAATATTTTGATTGGTCAAAACGCTAAACGTTAATTTTTATTTTTGAAGAATTTATGAAAAACTTTCAAACAATTAATAACTGATTCAAGATTAATTTAAAAATTAATATGAAATAAGGCAAATCATAATCTTATCTTCTTTTTTATTTTCCCAAACGGTAATAAATTTATTATGCAGAACTACAAATCAACAAGGGTAAAATTGAGTGAAAAAACAAAATTGTGGGACTTAACGGCAATAAGAGCAGTTTCAAAGACTTTAGGTGAAAGAATCAGAGAACACTTCATTTGGCTTTTCCTTCTCTCTCTCAACGAACAGAGACAAGCTAAGTGATAGAGATTTGGAGAGAGAAGCTCCGAAGATATAAATTCATAACCCAATCTTCGGAGCTTCCATCAAGAAAAGTCTCGATATTTCCTTTCCCCTTCTCCGTCAATTCTTATCTCTCCCTAAGTACCAAAAGGTAAGTTATTTATTTATTTTATAAAATTCAATTCCTATTTCCATATTAGACTCTGATGCATTGAAGTTCATGCTAAAATGTTATTACCCATCTGAGCAATACCAAATACCCATCACCATTCCAGGTTCCTGAATCCTGATGAAAATTTTCGTTTTCAACGAGGTTGTGATTGGAGAAGCAGTGATTTTTGGTTGAAGGGGCTAAGATGCCATCTGGGTTTCTCGTGAAGCTGAACTTAGGATTTAGGACATTGATAATTGCTAGAAATTCAGCCTTTTCATTAAATAATCCCACTCAATTATCAGTAAGGCGTTCTCTTAGTGGATATTCTATGGCTGCCTCGGGTTCCAAAGCTGTGTTTGGTGATACTTATATTGATGATATGATTACCACTTGTGGAAATGGATTGGACTTTTCGAAGCCTAGCGGTGTTTTTTTTGCGGATAGAAGTCGAGCCAGTTGCTTAAAGGCAAGCGTGAGAATGAGAAATGGGGAGCTGCCAAATAGTCGTTTGGTTTGTGGGTATTCTTCATTTGATGCTATTATAGGGAGTAGTAATTTGAATGGTTTTGTTGCTGGGCCATCGTTGAAGAACTTCCACACCTTGTCTTCTGCTAAATTGTCTGCTGGAGCTGCTCGTGATGTGTCGTTTGACGGAAATTCTCGTGAGGAACAACTGGGAAACTCCACTATGGTGTCTGGCCAGTACGTGCTTTCACCTCCTTCTGTATGTTTTAGCTGTCATTTTTCCTTGTTGTGATTTATTTTCGAGTTCGGGGTGCATATAGGTTGAACCATGTGGTATTAGAATCACCTCCAAAATCCAAAAAAAAATGGTCTTTATATTTCACGCTGAATGTATGCTTAGCTTAATTGAAAAGGTTCATATACGTCCTTTTGGATAGATAGTCGTTCAAAATGATATTTGGATTGGCAATTTGAGTTTTAACTTCAAAATTTCAAGAAATAATTCAAATACTCAAGTTGTTTCAAATGACCAGCTAGCCAAATGCTTTCTCGACATTTTCCTTATGATGGAATGAGTTTAATAATATAGAGTTAAACAGTTGTGTCATACTATAACAGCCTTTCTAATAAGCAGACAAAATATATGTAGCCTCTGAATTTGCTTGGTATTGAGCTGAGAGTTATTCTTATACGACAGAACCCTGAAGCTGCTCTCAGGATCATGTTACTTGCCACATCCTGATAAGGAAGAAACAGGTGGGGAAGATGCTCACTTTATATGTGCTGATGAACAAGTCATTGGTGTAGCAGATGGAGTAGGAGGCTGGGCGGATGTAGGAATCAATGCAGGATTATATTCTCGGGAGCTCATGTCAAATTCTGTAAGTGCAATAAAGGATGAGCCTGTGGGTTCAATTGATCCTGCTAGGGTGCTAGAGAAGGCACACTCCAACACAAAAGCCAAGGGTTCGTCAACAGCTTGCATAGTTGCCCTTACAAATGAGGTTCGTTGTCTTATTTGACTTGCTTGTAATACCCAGTAGTTTTTGTTAATACTAGACTGTTTTGGCTTTTGTGAATTGTAATTTTTAACTAACAACATAATTATAGACAATGTTGGTGAATAGGCGTTTCTTTTGTCATTATGTGTTACAATCAGTTGGTTCATGCCATTTGATATGTGTAGGGTTTATTTGCTAGATGTCTTTGATAATTTTAATTTTCCAAAATGCGAGGGGCTCCTTTTCTTGGAAATTGTAGTCCCCCCGTTCCAAAAACATAGTTCATATTTTTTGTGTGTCCCAAAACATAGTCTACTTTCCTTTTTGCATTATAGTCAATCCTTAAATTGTCTATTATACCCTTATTAAATTTTATCTTATTTTTAATGACCCTCGTTAACTCTTACTTATTATTCCAATATATTAATTGCTCGATGGGCATAATAGGAAAATTGTATGAATATTTTTTATCTGTGTGAAAATAGAAAGTGGAGTATTTTTTCGGGATAGAGGGAGTAGAATCTTCAGTCTGCTTCAATGTTGGCTGAAGCTTATTCTTGTACTCGCAATGGAATTACAAATCTAGAATTTGAAGTCTGAAGTCTGTAATTTATAACATAAAAAATTGCTGACTTTGCTGACTCCATTTTGTCTGTTCCGATTGCATGAAAGCATCTTACTCTTCCATCTCTGTCTTTGGTGGGATAGGTTCCTTATAGTTGAAGATTGACTTTAGATGAAGTCATGAAGATGGCTATACCTATTAAAATAGTTTTACTATTGGCCGCGGCACATTCCTGTGTGTTAATTTAAATTTGTTGGTTGTCTCCCTTTTAGCCATGACTGTGAATTTATTCCAGTTTGGACTTTATGTGGTCCTTGAATTGTTTGCTTTATTTAGTGTAGCCTAACAATGAAACTATACTGTTGGAGACTGTGTAGTTTTATCTGGATTTTTTTCTTGTATCAGGGTATACGTGCTATTAATCTAGGAGACAGTGGATTCATGGTGGTCAGAGATGGATCCACGGTGTTCCAATCCCCAGTACAGCAGCATGGCTTCAATTTTACATACCAACTAGAAAGTGGGAATCACGGTGATCAACCAAGCTCCAGCCAGGTCAGTTAATTCATAAAAATGGTACATAAATGTTTTTCGAATGTTTACCATAGTTTCTGTTCAGGTAATAGAAGCGAGCATTCTTATGTTTGCTCGCATGATGCCATTTTTCAACTGTTTATAACTGCTGGGAAAGAACCGAGTTCAATTTGTTTCTTGAGCAGACATCTCAATGATTCTCACTCTTTCTTTTTGAATGTAGAGCTATTAGTAGTCAAATTAGTTTGTTAATTTGAATTCTTGCTCCTGTTTTTTTCCTTCAATTTTATAATTGTAGTTTGAGACTTTGGTAAAGAAATGACAACCTGACTTAAGCATCTTTTTTGAATCAATTGCCTCAGGTATTCATATTTCCTGTTTCTCCTGGTGATGTAATTGTTGCTGGAACGGATGGATTATTTGACAACTTATATAACAATGAGGTTACTGCTGCTGTTGTTCATGCGGCAAGAGCTGGCTTAGGGCCCCAAGCAACAGCTCAGAAGATTGCAGATTTGGCACGTCAACGGGCACTGGATAGGAACCGACAGACACCCTTTTCTGCTGCTGCTCAAGATGCTGGGTTCCGCTACTATGGTGGTAAACTTGATGACATAACTGTTGTAGTGTCATACGTAATGAGCTCCAACAATTTGTGATCATGTCCTCTCCTACGAGGCTGCACCACCAATTGTTGGTATCGTGACGCACTTCTTTATATTGGGTGGAAAAGCCTGTAGGCCGTTGCTGACTTCTTGCCATGAAACCTGTATCTTTGATCACTCTTTTTTTGATAAATGAAGCTGAGCATCTTTGATCATTCCATTTTTCGTCAGTGAAGCTGTTATTGTTCCTATGGTACTAACTTGATGGTGATCATTCACCCAATGCATAAAAGAGTTGAAATTTTACCAGTGAATTTAACTTCCTGGAAACATGAATTGGGTTGAACATCAAAACGTTCAAATACTGACTGCAATTTTTTTATTGTGCTGGACTGCTAGTTATGTCCTCAAAACAAGAAAAGTTAGGATTGATGTCCAGACAGAACAAGCAAACTTGCAGTTCATAAATTATTTTACATGTAAGAACTGGTCTTCAAACTAATCGAAAAAAAAACAATCAAAGCTCATTACAAGGTGCAGATGATGTCCAGGCACAGTTCACAGAGCTTATTACAATGAGGGATAAAAAGCAGCTTGGAAACAGGACAAGCAAACTTACAGGAGCTGTTATTCGCTTATATACAGAAACCGAGCAAGCGGATGCCCTTCAAAGCTTCCAAACTTTTCTCAGGGCTCTTTTTCCTGGTCCACTATCACCTTGGTATTCTCTCTCTTGTTTCCTTGTTCCTTCTTTTTCTTCCTCTGATTCTTCAGATCTCTTAATTTCTTCTTCTGGTTGTACTTCCCTCTCCCTTTCCCTCTCCTTAGCTTCTTCTTCTCGTTGCCTTTGTCTCCTTTGCCTTTCTTCTTCTTCTTTCCTAGCCTGTTCTTGCTCCCTCCTCGCCTCAGATTCTCGTCTTCTCCTTTCCTCTCTTTGCCTCCTTTCTGCTTCTTTACGTTCTCTTTTCTTTCTTTCCTTCATTTCTCTCTTTTCTCTTTCTTCTTCCTCTCGTTTTCTTTCTTCTTCTTCCTCTTCCCTCTCCCTAGCCTCCTCTTCCTCCCTTCTCCTCTCCTCTTCTCGTTTTCTCTCTTCTTCTTCCTCTTCCCTCTCCCTAGCCTCCTCTTCCTCCCTTCTCCTCTCCTCTTCTCGTTTTCTCTCTTCTTCTTCCTCTTCCCTCTCCCTAGCCTCCTCTTCCTCCCTTCTCCTCTCCTCTTCTCGTTTTCTCTCTTCTTCTTCCTCTTCCCTCTCCCTAGCCTCCTCTTCCTCCCTTCTTCTCCCTAGCCTCCTCTTCCTCCCTTCTCCTCTCCTCTTCTCGTTTTCTCTCTTCTTCTTCCTCTTCCCTCTCCCTAGCCTCCTCTTCCTCCCTTCTCCGCTCCTCTTCTTCTCTTTTTCTAGCTTCCTCTTCCTCCCTTTTCCTAGCCTCTTCTTCCTTCCTTTTCCTCTCCTCTTCTTCTCTCTTTCTAGCCTCCTCTTCCTCCCTTTCTCTTTCTCTTTCCATTTCTTCCTCCATCTTCCTTTCCTCTTCTTCTGCACAAGAAATGCACTCCAATATGATTTCTTCCTCTTGGGGATTCAAGAGCTTATCAACTGTGGTATTTGGGACATTGAATGATAAAGCCAAGATCTCTTTGTTCAAAGTTTGGAAGACAGATCTCTTCCCTGCTAGAAATTGAGGGTCATTTTTACTTGTTGATGTGCTAAATCCCATAAAAACTAATGACTCATTATTGAAAGCCATTTGAGCCATCGGATGGAATCTTGGTATAGCAAAAACATCTCCTTCTTGAACCCTAAACCTCATGTTTTTGCATTCTGTTTCATTTACATTACTAGAACAAACCACTCTTACCATTCCTAGTCCTTGCAGAACCACAGCTATCTCATTTGCCATTGGGTTCCAATGCGGTCCCATCATCGATCCCTGCAAATAAAATCCATCTCTAATTAGCCACTTTTTCCACATATCCTCTCAGAAAAATTTATAGCAATACTAACTATATATACCTTTGTCAAGTTCACCATGAAAACACTAATGCCAGAACCTTTCAGACGTTTCAAATCTTTTTTGTCCACAGTCACACTCCACCCATTACAGTTCTCAAAATCTGGTTTACCATCTAAAAGGTTAACTTTCTTGGTTTTCTTGTGGCCACCATTGCTGCTATACAAGGTACCATCTTTGTTCCCAACAAAAGCTTGTAATAGTCTATCTTCTATCTCCAAAAGTATTGATTTTTTCTGTGGCGCTGCGTGCACTATATCTGGTGGCCTCATCGCACTTTTCATTTCTTCTATTACCTCCTCAGGAACCTTGAGGCACCAATTAATTTTAATCAAATAAATATGTAATTTACTACTAACCAAGTTAATGACAGACAATTACCTTAAAAGCTGATTGGAGGAGTTTCGTATCAAAGCCAAGGACTAGATCATTGATGCTAGAGTATGCTCCAATGTGTGGCTCCTGCATAGTGACAGAGGAAAGTCAATTTTTAACTTCCTAATCTATATATACATTAAGAGGGAATCCATGTTAAAGGAAAGAAAGAAAGGGCAGGTCCCAATCATGGGTCTCATACATAGGTTCCTTCATCTGCATTTGAAAAGATAGCATAAATCCTTAGCTTCTTTCTTTCTGTCTCTAAGTTACTTTGCATAAAGAAAACTGAGCCTGGATGTAACCTATACACATCTCCTTTCTTTATATCCATTCTCTTCAGTTCTTTTCCACCTTCAGCCCAACTCAGTCTCCCACTCCCTGTATCCAAAACAAATTAGACTCGGGTGCCAGAGAAGGCGTCAAGCAAAACCTAAGAGATAAAAGGAAGAACAGAAGGGAAGAGGAGAATTTAATTAATTACCTGTATTGACATAAAACACCATGTCAGAATGTAGAATAACAGGAAGAAACAATGAATTAGGCTCTAATGTAATAAACTCAAGATGGTAATCTCCAATTGTTCCAGTGGAAATATCAACAGCTGAGATTTGTCCATACTCTGTCACTATTAATGACTTCCTATCTTCTCTCTTGACCAAAGAAGGTCTCATACCAGCTGAAGAAACATCCTTTGCTTCAAGAGAAAAACAAAAGGGAAGCGAAAGAAAGAGTAATAACAGTAAAGATTTCATAATTAAAGCTTCTGCGAAGAATGAAAGGATAGATGCTCGAGCGATCACTACCAATGGCGTTCAAGAATTGAGGTTATATAGAGAGGAAGGTGACGAGTCTTACGTGTCGTTGATATGGACACGTGCAGGTTCATGCGACACGTAGCGGATGGTTAAAATTTTCATTTCCGCTAAATCAGAACTTTTTAATTAATTACGCAGGCTTGGTCTTATCATTGAATCAATATATTGTTGCTTAATTCTCGCATATTTTCCATTTTCCATTTTCCGCTTCGGCTATAAGAATAAGAGAGAGAGAATTGCTAATTGGGCCCAAATGACAGGCTCAGATTTCAGATTTGCCCATGTCATGGCCCATCTCTATTTTATCTCATTTGATGCTTTCGATGAAATTTTATCCTGCTCCTTCCTTTTGTCCTGAAATTCCAAAAAAAAAAAAAAAACTAAGAAGACGATAATTACCAAATTTGGCTTCTCTGTACATGTCTTGGGATTTGTAACTTCTTTTTTTGTCCATATTTTTAATTTCCTCGGTAATTATTCAAATTAATAACTCTTTGATAATTATTCAAATTACATGCGAACGAGGATAGTATTCGTACAAAGTCCTTCAATTATAAATTTTTAATTTTTAATTTTTAATTTTGACAGATAAAACGACAGAACGTTTTGTTAGCGGTATTTTGTTTTCAGTCGTTAACTGGACTTGCTGAATGGCGTATGTGTTTATTTTAAGTCGTTTTGCGCGTTGTTTTTTAAGTTTTCTCGCCATACATACCATGTTTCCATGGGCATGGTTAATTTTGTTATTAGGCCGCTTCACATATTAAAATTGGAATGAAATTAGACCGATGTTGTTATCTTAGTAATGGGCCCATTGGACCTTTATGCTGGTCTTTAGTTTAGCCCCGTAGCAAATATACTAGTTACTGGTACATACCTTGAAAAATATTTTAAAATTATTTATTATTTATTTTTTAATTATAATATTAAAAATTAACTAAAAAAATATTAAAATAATTAGCCTATGAGACCATAAAAATATTTATAATAATAAAAATTTCGTATTTTTAAAAATTTTATTGTTAAATATAAGAAAATATCAAAAAAATATAAATTATGAAAATAGCCAGTGATCGATGGTGGTGTTGACAGTAGTTGTCAGTGGTGGTGATTGGTGGTGAACGATGACTTGTAGTAGTTGTATTGGCTACCAGTGATTGATAAATTAAAAAAATTATGCATTTATAAAGTTACAATAAGTTTGTCAATATTCGAAAAATATTTTATTCTTTTAAAAATAAAAAGTTTTTTTTTTTTACCAAAAAAATATTTTCTGTTGATTTATTTTTTATGAATGTCCCAAATAATAAAAAATTGTGCAAATATTTTTCTATAAATTATTTTATGGAAAGAAACGAAGCGGTAATGGTAAAAACTTTCCATTTTCATACTAGCACTTTTAATTCTTTTTCCTACTCTTGGTGAGTTTTTCATTTTTTCCTTTTTTTTTTTTTTTTTTCTGAAACTCTAGGAAGGTTATTCCCATAACATATATGGCAATTATAGTTTTGCACTTGCAAACCCATTGAAAAAGAAAGAAGCTCAAAGAAGAAAAACTTTATAATAATTTTTCTCTATCTCCTTCCTTTTGTCCTCAAATTTCAAGTAATAAAATACAAAAAGGAAAAAGAAAAAGACAATTAACAAGTTGACTTCTCTATCTATCTATCTATATATACAACATCTAGGGATTTGTAATTTTATTTTTTCGGGCATGGACCATATCCTCAATTTCCTTATAATTTTGAAACTCTAGTTAAATATGAACCTCCAATAATAATAAAAAAAATCTATTACTTGTACAAGTGGACAATCTTCGACTTGGACATTTCAACAAAAGATCAAGTTGAGCAAGCAAAATTAAAATACGTAACTTAAACAAAAATATTAAAATAATTTCTTTCAAGAAAATCAATTAGCAGTGGTCTGATTAGTCTTTTCACTTCTCTTTACTATAGTTATTTTCACCAATTTGATGAGCCAAATAGAGACTCATCATTTATTGTGTACCGTTACAGTATTATTTCGGCCCATAAAAGTCTTCAATGAATTAAAAAAATAGCGATATGGTAATTACTTAGTGGTCCCCATAATTGCAAAGAAAGAGAGAGCCCATAAGCCACGTACAATTTTAAGAATCCAAAACAAAGTAAATGAATTATTGTGGTCATAAAGAGACATATAATTGAATCAAAGGGTATTTTTTTGCAAAGCAAATCCAACATATCCTAAAGGATCCTCCCCACCCACACACACTCATATTGTAATTTATAAGCTTACTTGTAAAATAGAGGATAGAAGATCCTCCACTACTATCCCCACTCAAAATGACCTTACATTAATAATATTGCTAGCTTAGCTACCTTTCTTTCTTTCTTTGCCTTTAATTTTCTTTTCAGTGAGTGTATAGAGACCCATCTTTTCTTTCCCCATGAAAATCAAATAATTTGGAATCTCAAACCCTAACTTTTGTGCTCTACAAGCTCCCTCTATATTATCTCTTTTCCACCGCGTGTGTTCCGTGTACTTAATATCCTTAATACCTAAGTATTTGACCTAAAAAATATATTTATATGTCCTCCAACCAATAAATGGATATATGGTCATTTACATATATTTAGAGTAGGTACGATTATGATATATATAAGACACTCTAAGGAAAAGTTTTTCATTCAATAAAAATTTGACCTCCAAATTCAGATAAACAATTTAAATATTGATTCGATTTAGAAAAATAAATTTATTTTTTTAATTATCTGAATGAATAAATCGGAGGTCTAATAAACTGAAATAGAAAGTATCTCATTTGATCGATTTTTTTTTTTTTTTTCTAGTGCTCCTACGCAATGGTCGGTCTATTGGGATTTCACATTGCTCGTAGACTTGTATATGAGTTATATATATGAGCTGCGTTAGCATGCATTGTGAAAATTACCATAATTTATTTATTTATATAAGATAAAATTCTCAACTTTTGTTGATATTAATAAATAAATGAAAAGATGCAATAGGATGAGGTTTAGAAAAAATATGATATATTAATGCTACTCCCTCTGAATACTAATCATGATTAAGAGTTGTTATACATAAAATAATATTATAAAATATGCTTCTAATAATTTATACTTAGATGTTAATCACGAGTTTGGAGATTATCTAGAAAAAGGCACAAAGAAATTAATTAGGGCCGGTGACATTGAAATTTCTTTAATTAATTATTTGTTTATATTGGAATCATTTGAGTTTGGTTTCTATCTTTCTAACAGAATGGTCGTTTTCTAATTACCAAGAATATGCTTGGAATTTCATGTAATAGACCTTCATTTGATTACATGATATTCCAAAAGTGGGACTTTGGATGCTCCATATTACACAAAATCAACTCACCCAAGTAATCCACTATTGCCTTCTCTCTTTTTTTTTTTTTTTTTTTTTTTTTTTTTTGTTAATCACGAGTTTGGGAGATTATCTAGAAAAAGGCCCACAAAAGATATTAATTAGGGCCTGGTGACATTCGAACATGTTCCTTTAATTAATTATTTGTTTAATATTAGGGAGATCAATTTGAAAGTTTGGTTTTCTTAAATCTTTCTAAACAGATATGGTCAGTTCTTCTAATCTACCCAAGATATAAGTGCCTTGCGATATTTCAAATGTTAATGGAGACCATTTCGAATGATTACATGATGATTCCAAAGGGGACTTTTGGATTTGCTCCGATATTACCATCAAAAATGCAACTCACCCAAGTGTAATGCAACACTTATCGCTTCTCGTGCTGTTTTTTTTTTTGATGTTGTTTTATGTGTTTTTGAATTTTATTTTTTAATTGTTAACTAGGATAGAGATCATATAGCTTAAAAGAACATATAAGTGATTTACCTAGAAATTACTGGAGTATTTAGGGTGAAAAATAAGAAATAGAAAGATATGATTCCGTCTCTAACACGTGATTTGATCAAATATTGAGATTTTTGAAGAAAGCTCACTATGCATTGAGAAATAGTAAGATTTTACCTCTGCTATGCTAGAGTAGTACAAATTTATAACCATTGATGCCCAATAACTCCTCCTTTTTATATATATATCGTACTAAATTAACAATTAACTATAACGAAGAGAGGAGCAATTGGATCCCTTAAATTTTGTGTGTCGAACGAGTGTCATGGGCGTAATAATTTATAATTAAGAAGAGAGCATAAATACGTAATACTTAACAGCGCTTGATTTAGTGCATACACAGGTCGTTGCGAAGGGCGTGTGAGTGGCTTATGCCAAGAGCTATGAACCATCTTTTTGTGGACACCTTCTCCTTGAAACGCTAGATAAATATTCAGTTTCTTCTAAGCGACATAAAATGGACGGACAGACTTTTAAATGATCTTAATAGGTTGCAATTATTGTATTGTGTTATCAAAAACAACGGTATTGGACCGTTATCCCATCTGATAATGGTCTGATAATAAAGTTCTTATGTTCAAGATGTATGACGAATTTGAAAATATCGAATTTTGTATATATATATATATATATATAAAAGAGGAGCATTGGATCCCCTTAATTTTTGTGTGTCAGCGAGTGTCATGGCGTAATAATTTATAATTAAGAGAGACATAATATAATACTAATCAGCTTGATTAGTACATCACACAAAGCTATAACCATCTTTTGTAGGACAAAACCTTTCTCCTTGAAACCCTAGATAATTTGTTTCTTTCTATAGCACATAAAATGGACGGACAGACTTTAATCATCTTATAGGTTCAATTTATTGGTATTTTTATCAACAACGTATTGGACCGTTATCACCATTGATAATGGTCTGCATAATAAATTTTATGTTCAAGATAGAAATTTAAAATATGAATTTTATATAAATTTTTTAAAACGGGTAAAGAAACCTCGTGATGTAATAAAATAAATAAATACCAAATTAAAAATCAATCAATGATAGAGCGTTATTGCTCATTCCTACACAGAACATATTCTCTCTTTTCCGTCTTTCTTTCTTTCCCTTCGCCGCCAAAGGCAAAAGCTAATCCTACGTGGGCGTGAAATCTACGCGCTGACTATGGATACATAATAAGATCCATTCATGTCCGACAAAAAGCCGTCCAGGTGGGTCATGTAAAGTCAGCCAAGACCAATCAGGTCAGACTTTTATGTCAATTTGTAGGACCCATCTGTTAAGTTCTGAAGGTGGTAAGGTAGGGCCCTACACAGTACACACTCTCTCTCATCAAAAAAGAATTCCACAAACTTTTTGTGGGGTAGGGTTTCTTTATTATTATTATTTTTTTTATTTTGATTAGTGTGAACGTGTTAGTGTTAGTCATAATTCTCCAGCAGTAAGTATGTTTATGTTTGGCGTTTCCGTTGCTAAGATGTCAATTTAAAAATCAAACCTTTAGCTTTTTAATTGCTAGACTTTGCTGCTACCCTAATTATTAAAAAATCACATAAAGAGCACAGTTATTATGAAAAATGAAAAATAAATATCGATTGATGAAATTAAATTTAATTAGTCCTTTCCACACAAACTTAAAGTTCTCCTGCATTTAATTTACTTGGTACTATTTTATATACGTGGTGGGGCCAACAAAAATGTGGAACTTTAACGCCCAGAATTGACTTTTCCGTCGTTTAGCGATTTACATCGCATTTGCTTCTTTTCTTGCTTCAATTTTCAAGATTTTGGTGGACACTATCTTTCTTGGTATGAAAATATAAATCTATAATTGAACCTAGCCAGCTTCATTTGCATATTTAATCAAACTTTAAATGGAGGTAACAATTATAATTAATAACTTAATTAATAGTATTTGAAATTGTTTAGCTAACACCTAAGTATTTTTTTATTATAATTAAAATTTTTACCTTGCTTTTCTTTTTTAATGTGAGGGAGTAAAGTTCAAATGTAAACTAGGCTAAATAAAGATGAGAAATGAATAATACTCATACAATTCAATATCATAAGATAACACCTACGATTTTGACATATGTATTGACTCTTGCATGAGTTCCTTCTTCGTCTTCCATAAAAAAAAAAAAGACTAAATTAGTTTACTGAATTTTGGCTTTTGGCTTTTGGTTCTTGTTCATCAGAAGCTTATCAATCAACTTCATTAAACAAAACCCTAAAAGGAGAATTGAGTGTTGCAGTGACCATACCAATGGAGGGGCTGACAATAATACTATACCAGGAACTATTTGCATGAGCTAAACCAGCACAAGCTGTCAGCTGAGCTAAGAGAATCCCAAAAAGCAAGGCAAAGTAATAACTTGAGCTTCAAGCTTCAAAGAGATAAAAGAATGGCCTGACTCGTGTCGAGCATGTAATGTATGTATCTATCACATCCTCACATCTATACACACACCCATGCACACGCAAAGATAAAAAGCCAGCAATCATAACCACCAAAAGCCCCTCTCCCTTCTCTCTACCTCCATTTCTACACTCAAACAGAACATTTCTTGCCTAGCAATGAAAGTTCCCGTTTCGTCCCCACAGAACCCGAAACACACCAATATAGCCCGAAATATCGCCTTTCATACTGATAATACTACTCCCAATTTGACCTACGAACCTACCTCTGTTCTTGACCTTCGCCGGAGTCCTAGTCCAGCTTCCGGCAAACCCGTTTCTGCAACTGATCATTCTCTTGAGTGGGAAGAACATGTTCTACAAAATTTCGACTGGGATTCTATTATGAAAGAGTTGGATTTTCATGAAGATTCTGCTCCTACTTTTAAGACGTTTCCTCAAGTTGGTTCTTGCGAGTCTATAGTCCACAATCAAAATCTTCAAGAATTCACTTTGCCTTCACATGCAGATCCTGCTCAGTTTCTTCATTCTGATTTTAATGATATAAGCTTCAATGTTCTACCAACGCAAAATTTGAGTACTACTCTTGATTTGTCTCATAGCACAGGGAACTGGAATAATTTTGGGTATGATCTTATTCAAGAATTTATTCGAGCAGCCGACTGCATCGACTCAAATGAATTACAACTCGCCCATGTAATATTAGACCGTCTCAACCACCGTCTACAGGCACCGGTCGGAAAACCTCTAAAACGAGCTGCCTTCTTTTTCAAAGAAGCTCTCCAGTCTTTACTCACTGGGTCAACTAGGTCAGTAACTCGTCTTTCTTCATGGTTCGACGTCGTTCAAACTGTAAAGGCTTATAAAGCTTTTTCAGGTATCTCTCCTATTCCTATGTTCAATCATTTCACCACCAACCAAGCTCTCCTGGAAACCCTAGACGGATCTCCACCTTTTATTCATGTTATAGATTTTGATATTGGCCTTGGTTGCCAGTATGCTTCGTTCATGAGAGAGCTATTTGAGAAAGCTGACTCGTGTAAACTCACGTCTCCTGTTCTTCGAATCACTGCTATCGTAACAGAGGACTGCGCGATTGAAACTCAGTTGATCAAACAGTGTCTATCACAATACGCTATTGAACTGAAAATCAGATTCCAGATTGAGTTTGTTCTTTTCCGTACCTTTGAAATGGTATCTTTTAAATCAATCAAGTTTATTGATGGGGAGAAAACAGCCATTCTTTTATCTCCTGCTTTCTTTGGCCGTTTGGGCTCAAGTAATAGCATCACCGCATTTGTAACTGAACTCCGGCGAGTGTCGCCGGGCGTTGTTGTTGTTGTAGATAATGAAGGGTGGACAGAATCTGTTGCCACATCGTTTAGGAGGAACTTTGTCAATAGTCTTGAGTTTTTCTCCATGATATTTGAATCGCTTGATGCGGCGGCCGCTGGTGGAGATTGGGCAAAAAGAATAGAGATGTATTTGTTAAAACCGAGGATTTTTTCCGCCGTTGAGGCATGTGGGAGACGGGTGTCACCGTCGTGGAAGGAGGCGTTTTGTGTGGCGGGAATGAGGCCAATGGTGTTGAGTCAGTTTGCGGATTTTCAAGTGGAGTGTTTGCTGGGGAAGGTTCAAGTGAAAGGGTTCTACGCGGCAAAACGGCAGGCTGAGTTGGTGCTTTGCTGGCATGAGCGGCCCCTTATTGCCACATCAGCATGGAAATGTTAGAAATTAATTAAATAAATATGGGGTTTTGATATATATATATATAGTAGTAGTAATTACCTATTATCAATATTATCATTATAGGTATTTTTGGGATGTAATAATTAATTTATCATCCCAAATCCAATCAAATTGTTTTTGGTTTTTGTAGTCTTTGTTGGTATCATGCTAGAAAAGTAGGGCTGGGTGCCTTTACTCAACCCCTTGGCCTCTCTCTTTTGTATAATTAACATACAAATTCTCCATTCTATCAAAAAGATTTGGAGAAGCATAAATTGAAAGGGATAAAACCCAACTATGGATCCATAATCATCCATCTATTTTATAACCCTAACTTTATAGTTAAGTTTACTTTTGTTTATTCAACTAGCTCTACGGTTAGATAATATATTTATGTTTAAATTTTCCATCTCCAATATTGAAAAAAAAAAAATCAACTAGCTGATGATACTAACGACATAAATAATTAAAAATCAAAACTTAACAGATGATATAATTTAACAGTTTGGCAATTAAGTACTAAATTCTAAACTTGAAAATACTTTATTTATTTTCTTTTTTTTTTTTGAATATCTTGCACAAAGTAAGATAATTTTTTCGTTTTCACCTCTTTTGTCTTTGTAAAAATAGATTTGGAATAGATTGGTATTTAATTTGTTTTAGTATACCAAGCATAAACCAACAAAGTGAATATTTTATTACCTATTATAGTAAGGGCAATTTAGGCAAAACAGAACCAACACAATTCATCAAAATTTTTTGGCTCCTCTCCTCTCAAGATAAACGGCGTCGTTCGGGCGAACAAATTGTAACGAACCCCCTGGTTTAGAGGGAACAAAGTTTCTGTTATGAGAATTGATATTTGATAGTAGCGCGAAATTTCCCCTGCAAAAATCCTTAAACAAAACAGAGAAATTCCTCCATTGTAATAAATTCTCTTTATGCTGATTTCATTTATGGAATGGCTTTTCTCGGATCCAATATAACAAGCGAGGTTTGCCTGAATCTTAATCTTCTTTTGCGATTTCATGTTTTTCTTTTCTTCTAATCGTAGGGTGTTTTATTCGAGCCTCTGTGTTGATCACAACGATCAGATATTCAATATCGTTTATTATGTTACTCTTCTTTCATTCTAATTAATTGTATAATTTTGAGTTTTGGAATGCATCAATTTGATCTTTTTTCTTATTTTCCGACTCAAATTTATCTAGATTACGGAGCAATATTAGGGCTAAGTGCTTCTGAATTACTTGACCACGTCTGTATTGTTTGTTGCTCCGCTTGGCTAGTGGAAATTGAAGTTCCATGCACTTGCTCTCGTCTTCCTTAGCAAAATTGTCCAAAATATAATTGGGATGTGAATTTAGCATCATTAGTATATTAGTTAAAAAAAGCATCTCAAGTATTTTTCCATGAGCATTATTGTCATGTATAATGCTATGCAGGTTGGGTTGCGGTTACTTCTCTGCCCACTTGGTTCTAACATTGTAGTTCGAACAGCATGGTGAGCCTTGATTTTTGCGTCCTTGCCATTGTTAATTTATTTATTATGATAGCATGCTGGTTTATATTTTTGCTTTTCCAATTTCTTTACTTTTTTTCTGTATTCTCTCTCTTTTTTTTTTTTTTTTTTTTTTTTGTGTGGTGACTCGTCCCGTTCGGCCGCTAGTGGAATGCTTATATTATGGAGAGGTTGCCATGGCGGGGTGCAGCTTGGTTGGTGTGGCTTACCGGTGTTGGCTACGGGTGTGAGTAATCGCTTACTGTCGAGAGTGGGTGTAGCGGAGTGTGTGCGGTAGGTCGGTAGCTGTCAGCGTGTATAGCGAATAGAATTTGGGTCTGGCCGAATCATAATCAGGTGTACGTTGGGGGTCGTGGAATCTGGTGGCTCGGATTGTTAGTGATGGGGCCGTAGCATGTCCGTGCTAGGTGATAGGATAGTTGAGATTTGAAAGAAAGAATCATCGGTACAGGTATGTTTATTGTTTTGCTTCGCCTGATTCGACATGATCGGATTTTGGTGTGTCAGCTGTACTGAGAATGGCGCAGTGATTACGCAAATGGCGGCGTGGACAGGAGGGGTTTTGTGGCTGGTAGGTGATGGCGAGATTATTGTGCGGCGGGCGAGGAGTGGGGTCGCGTTCCTGTCGCGTGGGGCCCGGCGGCAGTCACGGGCGTTCGGTGCGTCGTGAATGTGGGTTCTAACATTGTAGTTCGAAACAGCATGGTGAGTCGTCTTGATATTTTGCGTCCTCTGGCCAATTGTTGAATTTATTTATTTGATGCATGCTGGTTTTTTTTTATTTGCTTTTTCCTTCTACCTTATTACATTTTATTTTTTTATCTTAGAGTATTCACATCAATTATTATATGATATATTATTTTATTTTTTGAGACCCGGGGTTTTTCCTGTCATTTTAATGTATTGAGCATACTTATAAAAATTTTGGTGGCAGAAATTTAATTAGGACCTTCCTTCTTTGCACGGCGTCATGAAATTTTGTGAAAAATGTTGGGGGAATTAAGTTTGTAGCTGCTCTTACCAGCTGTTCTGTGGGAGTTGTTTTACCGTATACTCCCTTTCGGCATTGGGGAAGTCAATGAGCAGCAAGAAGTGGCTAATATAAGCTGGCAGGATTAGAAGGTTGTGCTTTACTTAGTGTGAACGATGGATATATTTAGGTATGGGCCTACTTACTGCTTGCATTACAGTCATAGTTTCCTCTTTTTTTTTTTTTTTTTTTTTTGAGACCCATTTTCTGTCATTTTAATTATGCATCTATAATTTGGTGCAAATTTAATTATGGACTCTCATTCTTAATTCCGACAGATCATAAATATTGTATGATTGGGAATTAAGTTTATGCTATGCTCTTACAGCTGTTCTGTGGGAGTTGTTTTACCCGTATACTCCACTTTCAAGGCCATTGAGAAGAAAGATCAAAATGAGCAGCAAAAGTGGCTAATATACTGGGCAGGTTAGAAGGTTTCTTTTACTTAGTGTGACGATGGATATTCTTAAGGATATGGGCCCTACTTACTGCTTGGCATTAACAGTCATATTTCCTTCTTTTTTTGTACAATTGCAGCATATGGTTCCTTCACCCTTGTAGAAGCATTTGCAGACAAGTTGATCTCTTGGTACTGTTCTGGACACTCAATTTTTATGTTATAAATTCTGAACCATTCCCATTTTTAGCATAAGAGATAAGACAAGCTCTATCTAATGTCGCAGATGCAACATATGAAATTAGAAAGTTCCAAGCTGTGGCCAAAAAGATAACCAAACTTCCATGTACACTTGCTAAGCATATTTGTAGAATGATGTTTCTTAGTTTTATAAATTTGACACTTTAGTTCTTTTACAGAATAAAACCATGTTATTAATCAAAACAATTTTTTTTTTTTTGAACCTAAGTTTAAGCCCATAATTTTTTTTTTTTTTTTGGTTTTGGAAAAAGAAAGGGCCAGAGTCTAAGTTAGTCAAATCTCATGTATCTATCATTCCTTGATCATTCTTTCACCTTTTGCAGGGTTCCAATGTATTACCATGTGAAGTTCGCATTCCTAGTGTGGCTTCAACTCCCCCTTTCTGATGTAATTTTTAATACTGCAAAGATCCTGGAATCTTCTTTATCAATGTGCTTATTTTCATTATTTCTCTTCCAATTTTGCTTTCCCCCTGTCCCCACGTTTTTATTTTATTTGTGTGTGCACGTGTGATTATTTGAAACATTAGAGTTGCTTAATGAGTGTATAGGGTTAGTCAGAAGATTGGACTATTTAGAGTACCCTGTTTTTCCTTGACTTTACGTTAAACATTCTGGAGGGGTCCATTATCTTCAACTCTGACAATGCAAAAAAATGAGAAATTTTCATTCTCTATTTCTCCCCTGTTTCAATGGAACATTCAAATGGCTCTAATACTGGACTTAAGCTCTGTATTCTTTCCTCAGGGTGCAATGCAATTGTACAAGAACCACCTGCGTCCATTCTTCTTGAGACATCAAGCTAGGGTTGATCTGCTTGTGGGCTTGACATATGGTGAGATGGTAGGGCCCTATTCTAGTTCAACATTTTTGAGAGTTTTAACATTTGTGAACATGCCAATGCAGGGGTATCAATGTTCAAAATACTAAATTTTAATGCAGTTTAAGATGTTATTTGGCTCAGCGTTTGGTTAAATTTGAGGAAACTATGCTTGGGCACTTTTTCTAATATTCAACTTTTTAGATGAGGATACAGATAAATGGTTACTTGTTCAAATTTGCAGGTCAGAATTATCAGCAAACACCAAGCAGAAATTGAATATGCTAGGGCTATACTTTTGAAGATCACAGGCCCAGGTTAGTGCGTTGCTACGGCTATTTTGTTGACATGATTAATATGTTACTTGGCTAACGCTGAAATATGTTATCTTGGTCCTGGAGCAGCTGACCAAACGTCAAAACGTGAATCTGATCTGTCAGTAGAGCACCTAGCAATTGAAGGCGAGACAAGGACAAGCACAGATACTGAATCTGATTTTGATGATTAACTCCATTTATGTTGTTCATTTACATGATTTCATATCCTCGTATATTCTATGAAGGTAGCTCCCTGGCACACCTCTGTCAGTTGCAGTAGTCTCCGAACTCAATCGGCAGAGAACTTCTGATTGTCTATGGTGGCCGGATATGGGTCACAAAAAGTAGTGCAATTTTTTAGCAAGAAATTATAATTTTTTGTCACCGGACTGCGGATGGTTTGTTATGTATTCCTTGTAAAAGATCATCCACTTGAAAATTTGTCTAATAGTAGGCAATTCTATTTCCAATTAAAGTCGTTACCTTCTCTATCTTGTCAGGAGTTTGAGGTCAGTATTGTTAATTTCAGCATTGCTGGAGATGTCCAAGACGGAAACTGATAAAAATGACATTTCTTTAGCCATTTTTCGTAAACTGTAGCAAGTAGAACAAAAGATAATGTGAGCTCCGCTATAGCAAAAGATAATCTAATTTTAGTATAGGGACGTTTGTATGTGTTTTGCACCTTTCCTTGAAAAAATGCTTCGGTTGCAAATCCATCAGTTTACACATTTAGATAAATACATATACTGTTGATGTTTGCAGAGCAGCTACCGTAATGGTAAGATAACCAAATCAGTATAAACTTGTCCAAATAGAGAGAAAAAAAAAACCTCTATTCCTTTTCATCCTCAATCAAATTCATTTGATTAATAAATACAACAATGCGCATAAACTAAATGAGGCGCAGACTCTGACTGAAAAATTTGTAAATAAAATGTTACAATTTTAACTGAAGGGTTAAGGCCTTAAGGGTGTAGATCGGTAAGGAGATCAGTAAGGAAAACCAATGTTCTATGCTCAATTTAAGCTAGTCATAATCTAATGATTGTCAATATATATTCTTCTCCACTGCTAACTGTTTCCCTCATCAACACGAGACTGAACAACTGAGGATTGGTTGCTTTGTTCGAGGTTAGCTACTGCATCTGGTCCGTACATTCGTACCAACTCTTCCTGAAAATGAAACCACTATTGTTATAGAAAGGCATATATGTCAATTAATTAATAGACATTTCCTCAGTTAGAAAATAGGAAAATCACAGTTATCGAGTGAGTGAGAAAGATGAAGTTTCAAGTAAAAAGCTAGAGATTAGTATTAGAATAAACCTTAATGGAATCATTTTCAGATTTGAGTTTCTCGCATTCTTCGGAGATCCTCTGCAGTTCATCTCTAAGATTGCGGTTGTCATTGGTCAAATTCTCTACCCTGGCTTGTAGCTCTTCACACTCCGCCTGGCAAGGATGATAAATCAAAACATTGACAATTTAAGAACAAACGAGCAAGTCAATAAATATATTATGATGAACTTCTAAAGATACTATTTCCCAAATTTGCAATTGCGTTGGCTCTCAAGACCATAGAGCAAAAGACAAAGAACTGCAACAAATTTTTAACATTTCCTTACAGAGGGAAAGCCATAATATGCTGAACTCACAGAAGAGTAAAGGCAACCTAGATGTGCGTAAGTCCCGATATTGTTAAAATTGCTTTCCCCAGATCTTTATATCTTGTCTGATCGTTTTGAGGATCATATGATTTGTGAAGTGTCCTAACTATATGAGCTATAACAGAATTAAGTTTCATTTGGCCTGCTTCTAGGAGCTGCAATGACGCCTTATCTTCTATAGGAAAATAGTTGGAATAAATGTCTAGGCCAACTGTAAAGGAAATAAATATTTATATTCTCTTCCAACCCCCCCCCCCCCCCTTCTCATAGGAACATAATAGTTGGGAATTAATGCTTCTAGGCCACTGTAAAAGCGTAAAATAAATATTATAGGTATCTCTCTTCCAACTTCCACCTCCTCTTCCGCCCCCCGCAAACACCAAAAAAAAACAACATGGAAAAAATTTACGATAACACTAAATGAAAATAAAAAGTGGGACCAATATTATTACGCATATGGCAGTATATACATTCTGGACAAAGAAATAATGTGAAACACCTGAAGTGTGCGGGAAAAATGCAAAGACTGCAACACTATGTACCCACTGCTCTTCCGTAATCTTTGGATCTTTCCTGTGCTGAACTCCACCTGTTAGTATGCTGAACCATCTTTCTCCCCCCCCCCAAAACCAAAAAAAAAACATGGAAAAAATTAATAAATAAATGAAAAAAAGTGGGACATATTATTCGATATTGGCGATAACATTGACAAAGAAATAAGTGAACACCTGAAGTGTGGGAAAATGCAAACTGCAACTGTACCTGCTTCCGTAATCTTGATCTTCTGGCTGACTCCCTGTTAGATTGCTTCCTCTTCTGCCTTTTCAGCTCACGTTCATCCTATCACAGCACCAACATATAACTCAGTGGAATTGATATAAGGCTAGCTCTAAGTACGAATAAATACTGACCCCAAAACCAACAAATGAGAAAATAACATAACTCATGAATTTCCAGAAGAAATGAAATATAAGATGGAATAAAAGATGTGTAAAATATGAAATTCAAACTGCAAGTGTCAAGCCAATGTATCAAAGAAAGGCCAGTTGCAGCAAAGCTGAACACGTGTTAAATTGTATACTTTATAATTAAATAAATTGAAAAGAAAAGAAAATGAACACATGTTCAAGAAAACTACAAAAACTAACGGCAAATTCCATACTTGAATCCATTGCTCAGGCATTATTGCAGGAACTATCGCTGATGAAGTGCCAGATGCGTTTGGTCTAATTTTTGCAGCTCCAGAAGCGGCGGCAGCAGCGGCAGGAGATGCATTCCATAAGTCCATTCCAATGTTCAGATTAGTAGCAGGCATAGACACAACAGGTTTCCCTGGGACTGCAGCCTGATTTGCCCCTGTAGTATTATTTTGTGCATTTGATGCAGTAATGTTAATATGGAATACAAATAAAAAGGATGTCCCAAGTGCATTAGTTCAATAACTAATGTGGTTATAGAACAACTATTATAGCAAATGGAACAAGAAATAATTGGAATGAAGATAAAAAAACATACCATCTGCAAGCATCTGATTAAAACTCCCCTTCTTATTTGCAGCAAATTCCTAAATAAGGCAGATATTCATTAGAAAATCCAAGATCCCTATACAACCAATCTACCACAATTTGCAATTTGCATCAGCAGGTCAACACGGAAAAATTGCAATTCGAATACTAACGGTATCTGATTTCATATTATATGCATTGATTTAGCATCAACAGTTTCTACATGCTGGAAGATCATAGCCATGATCATTCAAACCAAGCGATAAAGTCACTGCATATTGCAATTATTAAATAACAAGAAAAGATTGACATATACCTGTTGGTTAGTGTTCTCATCACTTGCATCTGAGGAGCCATCGCTACCACTTTCAGCACTATTTAAAGCATTTAATTATCAGACAAAAATTCATTATACGGAACAATATATAAGTATATATTGAGACATCTAAGAGATGCAAATAAAAATTCAGCAATTAGCTAAGGCTTGACAAACCTTTGGGAGGCACCATCATTTCCAGAAGCCGAAGCTGCCTTTACGCTCTCAACTGCCTTGCCAGCTGAAGTTCTCTTGGATTTTTTGGCTGAAGCCCAGTCTTTTCCGTCAGAGCCCTTTCCTTCTAACTCCGTATTTGTTTGTGCTGAATTTGGTGTCTACAGAAGAGATGAAAAACAGCCAAATTGAATAACGCAATCAATACTACTGAGTTATATAAAGACAGGGAATAATGCTGAAATGCAATCGTAACATTCAATATTACCACAGTCATATTAGGATGGGCATATACTCCCCCAGCAGGATATAAAGCTGGATATGGAACCGGGGTCCCGTAGGGTGGGAGTAAAGGATGCTGAAAAGTTTGCAACAGAGAAGCAAATAAGAGACTCCTCTTTGTCAGGATATCTAGAGAGACATACCTTTTCCAAGTATAAAATGCTAAACATTATTAAATAAAAGAGACATTTACCTGGCTTCCCCAGAGATATGGATGAGGAGTTGGAGATGGAACAGTTGATGCAAAAAAGGGAGGTGGAGTAGCTCCAGCACCATAATAAGCCTGGAAATATAGCTGGCTTGTAAGTATCATCGATAATTTAAGAAAGCACTATTTAAGCTATGAACTTCATAGACATAAACCTGCATAGAATTTGACCAATCAGGATATGAAGGTGTCGTTGGTATCTCCTGCAAATACCAACAGACATTAGTAAAGTCATCCATGGTTCGCACTGTACATAAGAGATTGTCTTTCTTTTTTTTTTTTTTTTTTTGGGGGGAACTTCAAATTAGACATAAAAACCTGCATAGAGAATTGGGACCAATCAGGATATGAAGGTGTCGTTGGTATCTCCTGCATAATCACCAACAGACATTAGTAAAGTTCATCCAGTGGTCAGCACTTAACATTAAGAGGATTGTCATTTCTTTTTTTTTTTTTTCCTTTTTGGGGTGTGGTCGGTAGCTGAGAGGAGGAACAGTACTTGAGTCGGAAGAGCTGGATTGAAGGTCTTAAGCAGGTGTCCGCTAATCCTGTCGCGCCTGTTCCCATAGCATTAAACTCAACAACTTATCACCCAGTTGCAACACTTTCAATCCGGTTTCTTGCTAAATCTGAGGCAAATATCTAATGAAGTTCCTGCCACATTTTATACGATTACCATGTACATTTAGAAACTCAAAATAGTTTTCCTATTCCAAAAACCCACTTATTTACTCGCTTGCTTGATAAGAACATGAAAGCAATTTATCTCAGCATTTAAACCATGTAATAGGAAATTATAAAATATAAGGCAGTCTCAAGAATTCCTTTCAACATGGAGTACTAGGGCATTTTTTTTTTTTTTTTTTTTTTTTGGGGGGGGTGGGTGGAGAGGAGGAACAGTACTTGAGTCGAAGATGCTGGTTTGGAAGGCTTAGCAGGTGTGCTATCTTCCCCTGTCCCCATAGATAAACTCAACAATTATCACCAGTTCAACACTTCCAATCGGTTTCTTGTAAATCTGAGCAATATCTATGAAGTTCCTGCACATTTTATACGATATAACCATGTACATTAGAAATCAAAATAGTCCTATTCCAAAACCCACTTATTACTCGCTGTTGATAAGAACATGAAAGCAATTATCTCAGCATTAACCATGTAATAGGAAATTTAAATATAAGGCAGTCTCAAGAATTCCTTCAACATGGAGCTGGGCATTGAGATTGTTCACCACAAGCAAAAGAATACCAAAAAGACATCAAGTGGCGAGGAATGGACTATGTAATATCAAGTTAAAATCATTATCAGCATAAATGCCAACTGCAGATTACTAGACCCTCATATTTTATTCATGAATACAAACTCCAACTGGTTTTGGCCTCTTCAATATCATTGCTATATATTGTAAGTTTTACAGTAGATCTCCAGCACCACTTCATTTGCTTCTGCCAAATTCTATAAAGAAAGCTTGAAGTTGAAGCTATTTAAAGATTCAGCAGGAAACCAAACAGTGGAAAAAGGAAGGGGAAAGAGCACAACTTGAAAACCATATTCTAATTTATTCCAATCTTTCCAGGAAAGTTATGTTCCTTTTTCTATGCAAAAGGTCACCTATGATTCACATCTTCCAGTAGGTTGCATCACATGATTCTCTGTTAGAAAATGCCAATGTACTCACTTCAGACTTGCTAGTGTATCAAAAAAGCAAACATCAAAACTTCACAAACATTAAATTAGAGATCTTAGCTAATTGTTTTTGACCCAGAACATAACCCCCTGTACCAGCTAAACTGGCTGATCAAGCTAAACATTCAAAGGAAATGGCAATAGAGCAAACAGCTTGATAATACCTTAGAAGAAAAACTTAGGTGGCCCAATCAGTACTACTGTGGGCCATGCATACGATGACTTTGCCATTTAGCCAACTGCACGTGGTTCCATCTCAAACCCAATGGGTCAACCCAGACTCCGTGGCTAGTTTGCAATATAATTTTTGGAGTTCAGAATATTTGGACCTGTGCCAATGATAACCAAGATTCCTAAAGGTTGAAAGACAAACAATATCCTACCACTCCTAGCATATTCAGAAGAACCCCTTCATTACCATAACCTGTCAATTATCTTGATATGATACGACAAAGATCAAAACCTAGCAAATTTCCGTTCATTATACTTGAACATATTCCATACTCCATTATGACCATTCATCGCACAAAATATAGCAAGCCAGCATTATCACAGTCTCTAACTTGAACAATATAAAACATAGCAATCCTAGACTATCACACAAAATATTTCTTTGCGCTTCTGCTAAAAAATGAGATAGAAAGTCATTTTTTCGTTCCCAACCTGAAAGTTAATGTTAGAAAAAAGTGCTACATATGTACCCACCCCTTTAGAGAAATACTACTGTCGTCCTCTAGTTAATATGCTAGAGGGATTGTTCTTACCTTACATGCACAGAAAATTTGACAATTGAAGTGCACAAATCCAACGCCTAAATCAAATTCCAAATATTCACACATAAGTGAAGCTAAGCTAACAACTGGACAAAAGCGAATAAAGAACCACCATAACGAATTGTTGGCAGTTCCCTATAGCAATCTTAAAACTAAAAACAAGACAAAACCCAATTCAGAAATACTCGTAGAAACGAAGTTTTATCACAAAATTAAGCTCCCAAACTGATTCTACAATAGAATTATAGATCCAGATGCATAGTAAATAAAATTTGAAGAAAAAAATAAACAAGCCAAAACATCAGGAACCAAAAGATACACATGCATAAACAGAGTAAAAAAAAATTAGGTGAGAGGGAAAGAGTGAGAACCTGGTTTCATGTCGTGGAAGAAAGAGTAGTGAGGTGGAAGTCCAAGTGGGATACTTTATAAACACCAACCAAAGAGAGAAGAGAAAGAGCCTTCCTTTCTTCTAGATACTGTCCCTTTTTTATCTAAAAAGATCAACGGTTGATAACTTAAGACAGAGACAATGTCAACAGCTAAGACAATAAAGAAACTAGCAATCCCCTAATCTCAGAGTTCCACTGTCTGTGTCTGTTTTGTCTTTGGAACTTAAAAAAAGATCAGATTTTTCTTGTAAACAAATTCGCAGGAGAGAGAGAGAGAGAGAGAGAGACAAAGAGAGAGGTGATAACTGATGATGTGGTGGAGCGGTGGCCAATGGGAGGTTGAGGACCAGGAGGAGGAGGCTGGAGGTGACCGGTGGGCGAGAGATTAGGGTTTGTTGGCGGTGACACGTGCCAGAAAGAGGAATCCAGCTGTCGAAGTTTTACTGGATTGAGTTTTTTATAAAAAAAATATGACTTGCGAGCTATGGATGATTCATCGTTGACAGCCAAATGGATAATCTTTTCTAAAAAAATTAACAACCAGAAAAATACAACCAATTCCCACCACCTTATTAACTACTACTTTGCTTTGTTTCCATATTTTGCCATGTCAGCATAATGGCAAGTTTGTAAGTTTTAACAACTTTTTTTTTCAATAATTAATTTAGAATTTTCAAAAATATCTTAGCATGTCGTTTTGCAAGTAATAAAAAAAATAATTAAATTTTCAAGAAAAAAAAGAAGTAATAATGTTTGAAAATATAAAAAATTATAAATTATCGTTTGAATTAATGAAATATGAAATTTATAAACTCTAATTCAATAGAATTTACATTCTATCATTAGATTAAAAAATAAACATTATGTATTTAAAAGATATTTTTATAATAAAATTAAGTGATTTAAATTTCACATCCATTGAAACAATGAAATTTTCATATGCTGAAATTTATGGATTGTATCTTATGTTTTCTCAATAAAAAAAATTAATAAATTTGTGAAATATTTAAATTTCATCTTCAAATCCAAATGAATTTTAAATGCAGGTCTTAAAATTTTCAATTCAATCAATTTTATAATAAAATATTAAATAAAATTATCTGAAATAACAGTTAGAGATTTTGTTGTCATTAGAATATTGTCCTCTCTTAGAACTTTTTAGCCCCATGTTTCCAATTTACAAAATGCCAAAACATTACATTCAAAAGCTTTTCTAAATGTCTGACTACATCTATAGCTAAGCTGAGACGCCACCTTTAAGAAGTAAGCCAAATTGCAAAGCAGAGAACAGTGAGCACATAGCTGTTTTTTAATTTTTATTTTTAGCAAGAAAAATGGTACAAGACTACGATCTCCTGAAACTTTTTCCTTCATTTCCTTCTATCTCTGTAACCTGAGTTCTTCTATTTGATGTTTAAGAAAACAATGGCTACTAAGCAAAAAGCCTAACTTCTAAAAAGCTATCTAAAGCATGGGGAAGACGATTGATTATGTACATAAAATTCACTTCTAATATGGGAATTCTTTGGTCCTTTTAACACCAAAACATAGCTTCATCAGGTAACCAGGTTAATCCGATAGGCATTTGTCGAAACACGATAGGAAATTGGACAACTTGCTCTTTCTCTTCTTGGCCTTTTCATCAGATTTCTTCGTCGCATTGTCAGTGCCTGTGTTATTTCTGGTGTCTTCAATCTGAATTACTCTAGGAGGTGTCATCTCTGCAGGACAAAGTGTAGTGAGAAACTTTTTCAGATAATTTGTAATTTCCATGAATTCAGGTCGGAGAGATGGGTCCTCTGACCAACAGGATTGCAAGAGAGGGACTAATTCTTCAGGAATATTCTCCAAGCTAGGCCTTTCCTTCTGAGGGTAACAGAAAGAGAAGAAAAATCTTAAATCTTCTTATATACATGATTTTGGAAAACAAATTACATGGAATAGAATAACAGCTATGATGATTAGTATTTTCTTAAAAAAGTAAGGTAACATACATGGGCAACAGCAGCATATGCTACAGTTATGTGATCCCTTCCCTTGAATGGAGCTTTGTTTGTAAGCAACTCCCAGAGAACGATTGCGAAACTATACACATCGACCTTATGGTCATAATGCTTTTTCATTCCAACTCGAAGTGATGCTTTGCTGAATAACTAATTTGCAAAATAGTGAGAAACAATTAGACAGAATAATAAGATTCATCGCATACAGAAGTTGAAACCAAGAAAAGAAATAAATACTTCAGGAGCCATCCACCGGTAAGTGCCAGCTTCACAGGTCATTTCATTTGTTATTTCCTCTCTGGCTAGCCCAAAATCAGCAACCTTAATTCGTTTCTTCTCTTCTGTGAGAAGTAAATTGCCTGCACTAACCACAAAGTGTATGTGAGTAGATGTTAGCAATTGTTCAATTATTAATTAAAGGTTCATGAGTATAAGGAAGCTTATATGATAGAAGACATCAAAATGAATTTTTATTAAATCCTTCTAGAATTCTTGGAATAAATATGATTTGCAATTTGCAGTTTGTTTAAGCTTGGACTACGGTGCTTTGTGAAATTAATGGGGAAAAAAAAATCTAGGATGAAAAGATGCTGAATTACTAGGCTTCAAGTCTCGATGAATGATGCCATTGTCATGCAAGTACTCCATGGCTCGAGAAATATCTAGTGCCAAACTTATACAAAGTTTCAGATCCAATCGTCTTGGGCGGATGCTCCACAAGTACTTCTGTAGGGTACCACCTCTCAGAAGTTCAGTAATTAGAAACAAAGCTGGTTCCACAGACACGCCAATCAACTGTTCATACAAAGTTCATTTTACGACCAAGGATATTGTTGATGGAAATATATATCTGGTACCAAAATACTAAAACAAAAGAAATAAACATAGTAAATGTATTGAAAAAGTGAATTTTATTAGTTCTAGCAAGTTAAGAAACCAAATAACTACCATAAGTAGAAGGGCAAGAAAGCAGAGATATTTATGATAGCAAATCAAATTTCAGATGTGTGAAAGAAGGTCTGAATTACAAATTTTAATGTGCTGCTTGAGATATTGCTAGAGCGTTTCTCTCTCCAAATGAAATGAATAAGCAAAGATAGAACAAAAGAGCTTTAAATGGATAATCAAGCCTAATCATAGAAGTGGAAAGATAAACCACTATAGATGATTTTCTAGTACGTGGAAAATATGACATGTGCTTACACATATAGTAATGCCAGACAAAACGAAAATATAGAAAATCTGAACGGTTAACTTAAAAACAACCAAATCATTAGCTGATATATTCAACAGTTATGCTGCAAAGTGAAAAATAGGAATCTTAGACGAAGGGTTCAGACTTATTGTCTCTGTTAATTTCAACCACTAGGAAACTAGGAAATCACATAAAGATGTACAGAAATTAGATAATAAATTCATCTGAAATTAAAAAGAAAACATCGATGAATATGAATACAATGAAATACCTTCACAACATTTTCATGGTTCATCTTAGCTTGCAATAAAACCTCCCTCTGAAATTTTTCCTTATGTTCAAGAATTACAGCTGATGTTCTCATTGGCTGTATTATCTTCACAGCAACAGGTCTGGACTCAAACCTAGGAGGAGTTCCCAAATAACATCAACATTATAATCCAGGATATCACTTCTCAACCAAGGTCAGTATACGAACTCGAAATGTTCAGAAGAGAATAATAAATGCACACACAACAAGCATACATTTCAAATTTACATATTGTTAAAATCTAACAAATTTAGGCCAAATTTTCCTAAAAATATGTTAAATATTAATTCATCTTCTACCATATATCTTCATTGTTATTGTGCAAGGAAATTTTATCTACGTCCTAAGCATAATCCAAGGGTTCTTTTCCTACAGCTAATATTTTAGATCGAAATATTCATAATGTCAACCAAAGCAGAATGATATAAACTGACTTGACTAAATAATGACAATCCAAATAACTAGGAATTGTCAAAAATTTTATTCAGTTACATTGCACCAAAGTAGATATGTGCATCTCATTTGCAGGGATTATTCTTCTCATTCATCTTGTGTTCTCTTGCACCTTAAAAAGGAGTTATTTCAGTTCTCGTGTTCCATCTACATTCATTTTTCTTGACTCCAATTGTAACTTCTTGTATTTCATGTACAACACTTCTCCTTATCACTCTTGCACGTAAAAATGCTAATTCTAGCTGTAGTAAACATTTAGACACAATATCTTGACTACCTTATATGCAGATGACAACGCATAACTAGCTTTGATGCCTTCATTTTTCTTAATTAGATGACAACTACACACAACTGAACAACTGCTTCATAAAAAAATGATGTCAAAGAACACAGTAATAATATGTGCTTAGGAGTTCCCATGGCCGTTGTTTACTTATATATGCAAATAATGCAATTATAAATCCATTACCTTGAGCTCTCAAAGTTAAATCTCAATCGATATAAGGCAACTCCTCCAGTTATGATAGGTACCCATACCATATAAAGCATCTAATTTACTTTGATATTTATAGAACATAAATTGCTAGAGATTTACATAAATTGCTTAGATTCTGCCATTTACTATTTAGCATATGAATCATTCAAAACGTTTATCAGTATTTATTTCAAGTTTAAGGAACTCTCACAACAGGAGGTAGAGATTGCATCGCAGACATTGCTAGTGGATGTTGTAGTTCACAATACAACTCATCAATCACCACATTGATGTCAAGTTAATTACTTTAACAAATTCTGTTTCCTAAAAGCAGAGACTGTATATGGCAGTTAGTGTTGTTCATGCTTTATAACATAGAAGCTACTCTGGCAGTTTCCATAAAGACAACTAAAGGACTTCTAGCAACTAAAACATTTTAACCAATTTTGAATATTGCGGAGTAACTCAATTCAACTAGCCAACTCAAAAATTTTAATGCTCTCCTACACTACCGAGTACAGACAAAAGAATCCAGAAGTTAAAATATTTGTTACAGCCATGAGAATTGCCACCCTTATGCAATTCTGAATTATTCATTTACATGCATGGTAATAATCATATACTGACAACGACAAATTAATACACATCACATGCATCGGTGACGAGCCAGGATTTAGAAGGGTAGAGAAATTTTAAAACTTTGGGGGGAGGCAAAATAGTAAAAAATCATACATTTATAAGGAAAATTTAAAAAAAAAGAAAAAATCGGTCCAGTGCATGCATGTCCACGTGCATGACAGTGAATGCATCAGTCAATTACACAGTGAATCCAAATTAAATGAAAAGCTTAAGGGAAATCCATATTACGTAAATCTAAACTGCAAAAGGATAGCCTAATTGTTGTTTTACCGTGATTTCTTTTTTGCTTTAAGAATCAAAGATTTTTCGCTTTTTGTACAAGTTGATACCAACCATAGAGCTCTTTATCACAATGCAGTGGATCATAAGAATATTTACTTTATTTTTCTGCTTTATGAACAACAACAACAAGCATTTGTTCATTGATGAAAAAAATGCATAAGCAGGAAATGTCATTTCTTTTTCTCTCTTTCCTCAACACAAGGTAGTATATGAAAAACATGAAAATGCAAAGTTAGCACATGGGATCCTACTAGAGAAACAAGCATCCAAAACAGAGACATTATTATAGAACATGAAATTTCACTAAATTAATATTCAACTACCTATAGTGATTCTAGCTCACAAATATCATTAATTTATTGTAACAGATAGAGACATTTCCTAAAATTGTATTTAACTAATAACGCCATATGTCAACCAACACAGAACAAGCTATTAAATGATTCTAAAACCACTAAGGTTAAGCATTACAATTAAAACCCAGAATTCTAAATAGCAAAAATAACACAATTATCAACGGCGCAAAACAAATCACACATGAAAAGCAAAAAAAGAAGCTGTGAACATGCACATAATGTGATTAATTTAAGTAATAAATACAAATCAACAAAAAGAAAAGGCCTTTCATTTACTGCAAAGATAAAGAACATACTCTCCCTCGTAGACAAGAGAATAAGGCCCTTCAGCGATCAATTTTCGAACAAGCACACGACAAGGATCAATAAGCAAGCTTTTATCGATGTTGAAAACGAAGTCGTTCTGCAAAATAATCTCTTCCTCGTCTTCGGCATCGTACATTGCCGATGTTTTCTTCTTGTCTTGGTTAAGCCTTCGGCCTTGCATTACACAGTAATCATACATAGAGAGAGAGAGAGAGAGAGAGAAAGAGACCAAGAGAGTGTCTTTTATTTTATAAGAAAAAACAAAAAGGTTTTTCTTTTTCACAAAAACAAGAAAATTAGGGGATTTGATTACATGTGTTTTATTTTATTTTATTATTTTTAAAACAAAACTTTATTGGTGGAAAAATAAATAAATAAGAGTTTATTGTGTTTGGGAATTTAATTATTTGGCTATTATCTTTATTAAGTATATTTTTGATAGCAGAGAAATTAGAGCTTGTTCCATATTATTATGTTTAAAAAATTATTTTTTTTGAATGTATTATTTATGATTGAGAAAAAAAAAAGAGTGGTAAGTAATTGTTTTTGTAAGTTTCTTTGAAACAAATTGTTTTTTTAAATTTTATGACTTCAATTAAAGAAATATTTTTTTGTTTACCAAGATATAATCTAGTGGTAAGTGCATACACGATCTGATAATAGATTCAAGTTTAAATCCCCTCCTTCAATGTTAAATTTTTTTTTTTATTTATCTCATATTATACGGTATTTTTCTTTTTAAAAGTACAATAAATTTATTAATGATTTAATATTTTTTATTTAATATGTCTTGTTATCTGTAATTTTTTATTCCTTTTTTTATTAGGATGACATTTAATATTAATATAAAAATATATTAAAAACATAGAATTAAAATTTTATTATTCAAACAGTATTAATTACTTATTCTTAATTTTTTTTAAGTCTATCTTTATGGAATAGATGAAAAAATATTTATAAAATATTTATTTTTCTTAAAAATTTAAACATTAAAATCAAGTATTTCTTTTTTTGTAAGATACCCTTTATAAATATTGTTTTGTCCAAAATTATATTTCCATTTGAGAAAATTAAGAAATATTAATTAACTTTTTTATTTTAGCTTATTTGTATTAAACACAATAATTATTGTGTACAACTTCTGAAATCTATTATATTATACCGTCGCCCTTTCTCTCTCTTAATTTTTGAGGCAGATTAAATGATAAAGAATTACTAAGATTAGACTAGGTGAGAACAAGGATATTTAGTCATTAACAAGATATTATATTATAATTTAAGTGATTTAATTGATTTTTTATTTATCATGTGAAAGTTTTAAATGATAAATAAAATCAGGCAGTAGGAGCAATATATTTATAATCTGTAATCTATATTAATAACATATATAGAAATGATAATGAATGCGAAGAACATTAGGATTTTCAAAAAAAATGCCCTTACTAGGTTTATAGAATGACAAAAATATCATTAAAAATTTCAATTTGATTGGATAAAAAATAAAAGTAATATAATTTTGATTGATCATATTAATTAATTTTCTATTTAAATTAAACTCTATTGGATATTTATACTATATAAAGAATATAAATACGATATGAATATAATATTTTTAAGGATTATAATTTAATTTTGATTGTATTAATTTCTTATTTAGATCTAAATTCTACAGATAAATTAAAAATTTACTCTCCGTCCTACCTTAATAGTAATAAATAGGTATTTTACTTTATTCAACTTTAAGTCCTCTTTTAAGATTTTAAGACTATATTAATTATTTTTTAAATTTTATTTATATTTATTAGGTGTAATTTATTTTTATATTTATATTTAAGAATTGCGATTTAGATATTCTACCATGTATTTTTAGAAAATTAATTAATGAAGATCTATGGATTCTAAGACCAAATATTAGAGCATCAATTGCCCGTAATTCCTTTCTAAAATTAGTGATCCGTTTACTAAATTACTTACATGATTTAATTCCATGGATTGTTGTGAAAGATAATCTAAAAATATATATATATTTTTTCAGAATATAACTACCCATACCCGAAATTTATTTTATTAACAAAAGATAACTAGTCTGATAAAGAGGGCTTCCATTATTAGTATATCATGTGGTCTTAGGCCCATAATGTAAGGCCCATTACTAGTTTATAATTTCATAATAAAAAAATTAATTCTAATACTAATATTAATGCTTGTATATTACCTATATGAGTATTAAGTTATTGACATGACATCATGTCTTTAGCAGCAGTTATTAAACCCGGACTTAACCAGCAGGTTGACCTAGAAAATTGGTAAACCCAATCTTTTGAGCCACTTTTATTTTTAAATTATTTAAGAAAGAAAATGATAATGAAACAGTTAAACCGTAGTTAAATCCGCTAATATAGATCAATTTAATTGGACAATTGCATTTATTGTAATTATAATTGTTCAATTCATTGTAATTATAATTGTTTATTTAATACTAATTAAAATATTAATTACCAGTTAAACCAGTGGCTCATCCACCGATTCCGGACGGGGTTCAATAACATTTGAAAATGATTAAGAAGGTGCCACGTTACCCAGAATAAATTAGTGAAAGATAGAGAAAAAGAAGTTTGTCGTCCTTTTTTCATATTTTTTATTTTTTACTTTTTATTTTTTTTGGTGACAGATATTAGACATTTGAAAGACAGTTGTTCATCAATGTGTCGTTGGCTTCTGTCTTCCAGTCAGTTATACTTGTTGGAATTTCTAAAGATTCCAGATGTGTTCTCTTTTCCATTTTTAATTTGATAATAATAATAATAATAATTTACTTTATTAGCATCTTGTTTTCTTTTTCTTCTTTTTGAATCGCGTAATAATATTATTTATTGTAATTTCTTTTTTTTAAAGAAGAAAAACTACAAATTAACCCCATTGTATATGTTTCTTCACTCTTAACAAATTCAAGATTTCAAGATGGTTGAAAGGTGGTCAAATTTTCTTATTGGGCAACGGTCAAAAATGTATAAAATGCTATCTACCAAGTTTTAAAAGTGATTCGTACGAAAGTTTAAATTCAAAATTTCGAATTAAAATTTGAAATTATTTTAGTATTAAAGTATAAAATTGTTAATTGCATAAACACTTAGATCAATCAATCCCAACTCCCAAGTCATTAACTTGAAGATAAGGCAACACATCAATGTTTTTTCCAAAATTAGTGTGGTCTTATCCTGTATATAGTTGAGCCTTATCTTCTCTCTGAGCGTTTTATTAGTTACTCTATCTTTGTCCACGTGAAGTGTTGATTCGGTCTAAATTTCATAGTAACTAGATATGGTTTCCTTTTCTTCTTTTCTTTCAAATATATTCTTTTAGCTTTTTACAATAATTTGTAATCTTATACATAAATTAATTTATCAATTATTATTTATTTTGATTAGTGTTTCCATGTTCGGCTAAATTTAGATTTCAAACTTTAACTTTAAAGTAAAATTCGTCTGAAAATGCAATTTATTTTTCCTAATCAACCGGTAAATTATTTCTTATTAATTGATATTTATGGTTTGGGAATCAATATATATATCTATACTATGCTTGTATGTGAAAATGATGTAGATTTGCTTCCTGATTATATTTGTTTTTATATATGAATGTTGTTTTATAAAACAGAGCTTGGAAAGGCACAATTCAAACGTGTTCTATATAATTTTTTAAAAAAGAAAAGAGAGGTACGTGTGAGAATAACATCTCCTTGATGCTTCCAGTCAAAAAGACAATTAAGTTAATTACTTAACTAATGACATTTAAATTTATAGTCAGAATTAATACACCCCCTTAATTAATAATTAACCATTAGATAGAGAAAATTAATTTACATTAATTAGATTTCTTACTTGATTGATTACTATCTACATACTAAAATTAAGCTACCAATTAACAATAATTACCCAGTTACATGTACAGCTGATCGTTAAACCATTCCATGCCATGAATGTAATAATTTTCAGGCATATAAAAAATATCTCCATATCCTTCCATCCCAAATTCTCCAAGAAATGTTGGCTTCATAGCTTCCATTGAAAGGGTTGAGCTTGGACTGTTACTCGAAACTCCATCTATTCTTTCTGTTAATCGATGAATCTCGTTCTCTGCTTCTGAAAGTTGTTCCTTTAGCTTCAAAACCTGAAAAAAAAAATAATAATAATAATAAGAGATTCTTTGGATGTTTTAGTTTATGCAAAATTAGTGCAAAGCGTGCAGTATTCCACGTGCAAAGAAGTGGGCTTTGATAGGCCCAAGAATAGGTGACATTAAACAATTAAATTTTGTACGGGAACACTAAGGGATTAGAGGATTAAAAGTCCTATTTGTTGTGTAAGAAAGAGGCAGTGTTCTGTTGCTAGTCAATTTTGTTCACTTTTATGCTAAGTTTTTTTATAGTCTAAACCCAACAACGTGGGTGGCATAGCTTTCTTTAAGCCAGAGCTCATGCAAGTTAAAAATGGTGGGTCGCTGTCTCCTTTTCTTGTAAAAATATTAAAAATATTCAAAGCCAATAAGCTTAGTTTTGGCCCTGCTGTGGTCATAAATCAAGGAATTATTAGGCACGACTTCGCATAAGATAGTTTCATGTTTGCTTATTGCTTAGTAACTAAAGCTATCACTTTCTTGATTGGTTCCCAAGAAAACATCAGGAAAATTAATTTCAAGAACTCGAAACTGAATCTGTATGATAAAGAGAAGGAGAGATATGAACCTCAGATTCAAGGCGACATTTTTCAACAACAATACTTTCATGGGCAGTCTTCAGCTTAGTATACTCTTCTTCTAGTTTCTTGTTCTTCCAACGAGCTCTTCTATTTTGAAACCAAACAGCAACTTGACGAGGATCAAGACCCAGTTCTGAAGCAAGCTTGTCCTTTCTTTCAGACTCCAACTTATGTTCATTACCAAAATTTTTTTCAAGAAGATTAACTTGCTCTGAGCTTAGTTTCCTCTTCTTCGCTCCACCAACTCCTCCTTCTCCTCCTTTGTTCTTCTTTCTCCTCCGCCGCGGTTTTGCCTCACCTATATATACATCAATCATAATGGACTTATATAAAAATGGAGTCTTGTTTTGTCAGAGCTTTATTAATTGAAAAGAAAAGAAAGAAAAAGAAATATATAATGTGTTGTTTGATCTTTATTTGTTGAGGAGTACTAACCTTGTTGTGGAACCATTTGTGTGTATACACCAGGGTACAATTGAGAGAGCAGTACCATGTGATCTTCAACCTTGTTACTCATGGTGGTTGTCATCTTTTTAGTTGTCACTCTATTTTTCTTTCTTTTTTCTCTTCTCTCTGTATTATGAGTAAGGTGTTGGAGGAAAAGGAGTGGACAAGTTGGAGGAAACATGGGAATGGTTCATTATATAAGGGGCTGAGTACAGAGGTGTTTGTCACGCACAAGACTTTTTTTTTTAAAGTCTTTGTAGATTAGGTGGGAAAGAAGGACTGCTTTTTATGCTATTTTCAATATTGCCATTCAAAAAAATGTTATGACCTTAATGTGAGACAAAATAAATAAAAATAATTAAACACCAAAGTGGTTAAACTATTAGAGATAAATTATATTTCTAAATAAATTTTATCTATAAGGTCAAAAGTTTAAAATCTAAAGTCGTCGTTATTTATAAAGTTAATGTTAATATCCTTTTAACTTTTTTGTGAGCTGTTTTGCAGAAATAATTCACTCAAATATACTGAGAAAAACTATCATAGAATATAGCCAAATAATAAACTATAATTATAAACCAACTGTTTATATATAAAATCTGAAGTCGTTGTTATAAGGAAGGTCAGTGTTAATGTCCTTTTTACTTGTTGGGAGATGCTTTGTGAAAATAATTCACCCAAACGCACGGAGAGAGACTACGGGTAGTATACAGCCAAACAAACAATCACCATCACCCAACTCTACACATATAACAAAAGCAAGTTGTACGAATTCATGGGAAAAAAATTTTACCATCTCCCATGATGGATGATAACTAATTGTTGTCCCTTTAGCAAGAGTTGCTGTGCAAGAATTATCACATTTTGGTTGGTTGTAATTAACAAAATACTATTAATTAAGTGTGAAAATAGATTAATGACAATTTTTAGTGATTGAGCTAGGGAATTAGAGGAAAGGATTAGGCTTTCCTAATAAAGTAATTAGTGAAGAAAGAAAGGTCATTAAGGGATTAAGACGTGAGGTGAGAGAGTACATACACAGAGACACACAAACACAATCTTGTAATTTCATTGTGTGGTTGGGGATCCCAAACCTGAGCAGTGAGCAAACCTCGAAGTCAATAAAAAAAAGGTACGGTTGGCCTCTGGATTGGGACATGCAAGTCACTTTTGTTGTCCAATCGGGTGGTATTCCTCTCTAAGTAGCCAAGCCGCACTCTTTTTGGCTTAACTAATAGCTATGGCTTTAATCCACTAATTAATTATATTTTTCATGCGTGGCTCGAGATGGGTTAAAATGTAAAAATTTCCACCAAATTGGATTTTGTTATTAAGAAATGAAACATCAAGGAAGGACCCATTTATATCTTTTTTTTTTTTTTTTTTAAACCAGGTTTTTAGAGAGAGGGAGAGGGAATGATTAGAAAATAATAAAGATGGTTAGAAAGCAATTTGAGTTCCACTATAGATGTCGTCACTGTTGACGTCTAGTTAATCACTTAAACACATCATCTTTTGGAACAAAAACAATTAACACCAACACCAACCTGATTAGTGTTAATTATTAATAAACAGTCTCGTGATTGTTTATCTCTATAAATAAGTTTTTAAATAGTTTTTTTTTTGTTACAGTATATATAGTTATTTATAGTGTTGGAGAAGAAATGAACCGGAAATGCAGAACTGTACAAAAATTTCTTTGATTTCCGTCCAATCAAACAACACAAGTCACTTTTCTGATCCACTATAGAGGGGTTCTTTCTTTTTCACCCTGTCTTCTTTCTCCTTTTGCAGCTAAATTGGAAGACGGTGACGAGTCGGACCTAAATGGAATGGATAAAATGGATAGGGAACAAGTGGCATTTGCTTGACCAGCTTTCTAGGAATATTCAAGTGGAAACAAGAAAAGCATGGCCACTTTGCCTGTCATTCTAAAAGTTACTGCAATTGGATTGGAGTAAACTCAATGAGTCTATATCTGAAAACACAAATAAAAAGGAGAAAACAAAAAAAGAAAGCATCAGGGTTCTGAAGAAGCTCTACCCAAGTTTCCTTGCAACTTGCAGCCAATAAATAAATTCCAAGTTTTGGGTTTTCTATATAATGAAATATAATGACCATTTTTTTATCTTAAAATTCTATTTTTTTAGTAGATGCTAGCAGGGTTCAGCATGCAGTTAGATAGCAAGTGTTATATAGGTAGGGACCCAAAAACAAAAAAAAAAACAAGGAAGAAGAAAGGATTAGACTGTGAGGGGGGGTTAGGTTTTTCAACTTTCGATTCATATTCCACGATCAAGAGACAGACTGCCACTAGCTAGCGGTACGAACCCGAAAGCACCCATCTCATTTTGCCAGTAACCAAGAAAGATAAACCCTAAAAAGCTGCTACCCTAACTTTCTAATGCTTAATTATTCTTCCACAGGAGATTGATTGGAAGTGGAGTGCCTGAATTCAACTCTTTCGTGCATTATTATTTTTATGTTATATATAGCTTGTGGGTTCAAGAGCATACTTGTTGTCGTTGCATTCAATTCCCAAGCAATATTTTATATATTTTCTGTCTTTGGTGCTTCTATGTCGTGTCAAAGACAAAAACCGCTCACGAATGCATGCCATCAATCGATCTATTTGTATTTTTAAAATAATTAGAAATTCAATATATATATATATATGAATAATCCTTTTGTTCACATAAAATTAGGGTGTTGAATTTATAATATCTTAACCACAATAAAAATATTTTTAGTATATCAACATACATAGCGAATTTTAATTATAAGACTCAATTCATAATTAAAAGTTGTCATTATTGATATAAATTTATTTGATACCACTTCATTCGAACAAACATTAATTTAATTTAATTTAATGTTTGTGTGATTGAGCACTTTGATTTATTAAATAAAAGGTCACCGTAAACATATACTGTATTTAGCAAACTGCAATAATATGATTATTATGATTCAAAGCATTTTTAGTAATACCAACATGCAATTGGATCAATAAAGATATACTACATATATCCTTAGGCAAACTTTATATGCTAAATCAGAATTTAAAATCAAAAGTCATCACCAGAGTTTTACTTAAATACAGCTGCCAATCAGAGAAAACATTAATTAATATATATAGTGTAATATTTGTATGTAATTAAACATATATAAAAGGATGATTTTGTTGAGAGAATTTGAATTTTTTTTTTAGGAAAGAGAGAATTTGAAACTTTGGTTTCATGTGTAGTTGAACATTTGACTTTTCAAACTTTGATTAAGAACATAAAACTAGGAAGTAAAATCAACCTTAATGGATATGCTGAATATTTATAATGCAAATAGTTACAGTATGGACGCTGAATAGAATAATATAGCCATAAATGGCTGAGACAGAGTCAATGAAGCCAAGTGAAGCTAAGCCACGTTAGATTTTATTTGATGGAGTGAGTGACAAGGACAAGTTGGCTAAGCAAAGGGCACATGGGGTGCAACCAAATCCTTTTACGCGTGTCACTTCCCCCATAATCTCTGTTGGGACCACATATTTTATCCATCCACGTGTACCTTTCTAATAGACATAGACACTTTTGCAAGACCTGCCCTGCCCACCAATTGGGACTCTCTCTCTCCTCTTCACGTTTTACCACTAACGGTAGAGCCGCCATTATTTAACCCGGCCCCTTCTTTGATTATTACCCACGCTCCTTGTCCTTCGGTAATTCTAATTTTTTACCTCTTGTCCAAGAAAATTTTATCATTGAAATCATTAAAAACCAAAAACAATCGTCATATTCCACACCATATCCAACAATATTTCTTTTATTTAATTAGGAATATGTATTTAGTCGGTTATTTTCAAATTAAATTAAATCAATATAAATCACATAAGTTAAATTAATTAGTACACGTAATCTTATCAAATTAAATTGAACTAAATCAATTCGATTGGATTTTATTTTTTAGCTCTTAATGATTTGATTTTTTTTGAATTAATGAAAACTAAACTAAATTAAAAGATTTTGTTTTTTTTTTCAAAATTGAAAACAAAAAGCACATTAAAAATCATTCAATTTGATTGATTTTGTTAATTCTATCAAACCATGTCTTGTCTAGCTTTATATTCAACTACAAAAATGTTTGATTTGATTTAGCACTTCATGGAAATAAATGAAGTCATATTAGTTACCATGTTAAAATTCATCCATCAATTGTTCAAAATCGAAATATTCGAAATTTAATTATTGATGCTTGACTCTTTTAATTATTGATCGTTACCGCTAATAAAATTTTTGATAAGAAACTATGATAAAGTACAGTGTAGCGCATACATTTTTCTTAAAACGGATGAAAGATAATTAGAGAGAGATGGATAGAGGCACACAAAAATGTGAAAAGACTTATTCCTTGTTTGATTTACACAAGCTTATCTCTAGAAATAATCTATAAATGCTTCAAAATTGCATGCGTAGAAACTTTAGCAACCTTCACTTAGGTCTATTTGAGAAAAGGTCAGGCTGCCATGTGGGGGGTTGTTGAGCTTTTAGTGTTAAGGTTCATTTCACCTTGCAACATTAATTACAAGTTCCTAAATAGGGCAAAGGCGAGAAACGGAAGGAGAAGAGGAAGCATTAGCTCTTTGCTCAAATAGGGTGATAACCCTGTTGTGGGACACTTTCGTTTTTCTAGCAACCAATGGACCCTCTTCAAAGAATGACACGTATTCATAAATAGGTGGAGGATAGTCAAATGAACAAAGAATTGATTTGATTGGGTTTGATTATTGTGAATGTAAATTCATTGGGTTTTAAAGTTTTTAACGTCTAGTCTAGTATTAGCAATTGAGAGAATTAAGTAATTAATTAAAATTTTTAGGACCTAATAAAGTTTTGACAACTACATTGTTATAGCTTCCTTCATATGCTAAGATAATGGAGGTTCTCTTGAAAGATGGGCTAATTCTAATTCGAGTTCGTGATATTTTAAGCAATTAGAGATAACCTCGTGTTATTAACTGTTGTATTTCCTTTATTTAATCTAATTTATTATTACTACAAGTTATTATTTTAATTTGAATATGTCATATAATATATATATATATATATATATTGGTAAATTCAACTCTAATACCATTGACTCAAAATTTATCACTACTAAATTTATTTTTCCTTCCAAAGCAAACCACGAATAAAAAAAA